GTATTATCGTAGGACACTTTGTAGTCTAGATCCTCGTGGAGTTGCTGGAGAAGGCCGGCGTCGATCAGCGCAGTAGGACCTGCATCGACTCCGGGCTTGCACTGGTGGTAGGCCGGAGGGTCAGTGCAGGAAAGAGTAGGAGTACTATATACTATTTTACATACCTGCCCTTGAGCAAAACCAACGGCCACCACTCCCACCTCATTAGGCTTGGAAAGGAATCGCTTCTTGATCATCGATGGAAGGACACCGTTGCTGCCATTTACTTGAGCCATTTTTGGCGTTTCCTTATACTCAGTTGGCGGCTTGTTCGTGGTTGATCAAGTAGGTAGTTTGTTTGAAGCAACGAACGCAAAACTAGCAACAAGGCGGGTATCTGGGTTCTAGAAAGCTTGATTGATTTCCGCTCTGGCTCGAGAGAATAAAGTGTGCAGGTTCCAACTCTAATAATTAAGATATATATATAGAGTCAGGAACCTTTGGGAGGCAAAAAAGCAGGATGCAAGTTAAAACGACAATTTTGCGTCCTGCAAGAGAAAAATGAGACAAGCCAAGGTCCAAATATTCAGATTTTATACTGCTCTATTTTTCCTTTCCCTGCAACTTTCTGTAGCTGTCTCAGGGTAGTGTTACGAACAGGAAGAGAGTGGAACAAAAATGAAGATAGCCCCACCCCAATTGGAAACACAGTTAGGAAACAAGTCAGATAAAAATACGGGTTAAAATAATAAATAAATAAATAAGAATGAATTGTTCTGATATTCCCCTCGTCAAATTGTGTGGATGGCAACGTAGGGAATGTACTTGTACTGTACAAAATCGAAGCGCGCTTTGGACCACGGATATCAGCGGCGGCTTTCAAGCGACGAAAGGAAAGGTGAGGGAGGAAAAGCGCCTTAAATAGTGACCCCCGGAAAAAATAAAAATAACAAGAAATAATAAGCATCGAGAGGGAAGAAAACAAACCAAACTACTGCAAGGTAGTATTCCAATCTGTTCCCCCTTTATCCCATCCCCATCCCATCCACCCGGCTCAACATGCTTTTAGGGGAAGGAAGATGGAGCAACGAGGGCAGCGAGGGTCAACGCGGTCGCTTTATATCCCGCCCCATTTCCCCTAAGTACATGTTTAAGAGAGCAGTGTCGTCATAGACTGGAAACACCGCTTGCCCGCCTAACCGATATTGTAACAGTCACGCGGCCCGCTGGTTATCGTCGCTTTACCATTGATGGCGGGGGGATACGATACGATACGGCTTTGATCGCGATCCAGCACAACAGCGGAATGCCGCTCAGTATATACGTTTTCGGAATACATGTAGGGGTATATGGGATATTATATATTACGACCACCGTTGTTCTTCTTCTAATGTACAGTATGGTATTTATTACATTTCGATCTACATACATATATGTGAGGAAAGCGCATCCAATCCTGTAGATGGTGTTAGCTATTTTTCTTGAGAATAAGCTCTCGCAAAATCTCCTCCGCCTTTTGCGCTTCCACTCTGTTTGCGTCTCCAATTCGCTTGATCTGGCCAACAAACCAACCAATCTTGCCCAGTTGGCCCTTCTCGCGGATTTCGGAGACCATCTTCGGGTTCTGGCGCATGACTTCCTCCGCTAGCGCAATGTATTCGCCCCGGGAAAGACTCTGGAAGCGGAGGTTTTCGTCCTCCACTATCTGAGCAACAGATCGCTTGTCCCCGTCAAATACCATCGCAAGAAGAGATTTTGCCGAACTGCTGGTGATCTCTTTTCGCGAGAGCAAATCTATAATTTCCGCCAGGCTTTGTGCGGGAACCCGCCCGGAGTCCCAGGGCAGGCTCGACTTCGTCAGTAGGCCGCCAAGTTCATGGAGCACCCAATTGCCAACCGCCTTGCCCCCCGAAAAATCGGCAGACAGGTCAGTTTGAAGGCCAATGAGGATGTCAACGACATCCTGGTAATATTCTAGCCGCTGGCCGTCATCAAGTTCAATCATTGTCTTGGCATCGGCAGTGGACAGTTTATATTTTGGATTTCGGACAAGCATCTGAAAGAGCGCATCGGGTAGTAGTGGCATCTTCATTTGGAGGTCGCAAATAACATCCTCTCCGATTACCACTGGCCCCAGATCCGGGTCAGGCATATAACGATAGTCCACTTCCCCCTCCTTACCACGAAGTTTCCGGGTTTCGGTGCTGCCAAGTGTCCAGCCTCGTGTCTCGCCCTCAATGGTGCCACCTGCCTCAAGTACCGCAATTTGGCGGTCCCTTTCTGCGATGATGGCATCTTCGACGGCTTTAAAACTGCTTAAGTTTTTAATTTCGGTTCGCTGACCGAGCCCCACTATCCCATGGTATTCATGGTCGCCAGCCCCTTCACTTCGCTTTCTTACTGATACGTTCACATCCGCCCTAAGCCCTCCCATTTCCATGCCCGTTGTCACTGCTCCAACTGATTGAAGAATCGCCTGTATTTTCCTCACGCAAGCTGCGGCAGTTGCAGGAGAGTGGATCTGTGGTAGGGTGATAATCTCAATTAGAGGGCGTGAGACACGGTTGAAGTCGAGGAGGTACGTGGACGACGGAAGTTCCTGTGATTTCGCCGTATCCTGCTCCATTTGTATTTGTTTTATGCCGATTTGAACACCCTCCCCATCTTCTCGAGCAATTCCATCGTGCTCTTGCAACCAGATACTGCCGTTTTTCGCATATGGTTCTAAGGCAAGCTATGTAAGCATAGATACTTGTTGACTTGTAGATGTAGGATGTATTCAAGTACCGTAGTATTGTGTTATTTGGTAGCCTGCAGGCTGGTCCTGATAAAAATAATGTTTTCTATCGAAACGACTGACTCGTTGGATATCGCAATTCATGGCAAGGGCGGCGCGGAGGGCTGGTATCAAGGTGGAGGGTTGGAACAGCTTTCCAATCGTCAGTAAAAAGGAACAAAACAATGACACATCATTATAATGAATCCACAGTCAGAAAGAAATACTAACCGGCTGACTCCCTGGAAGCGCAATGTCAAAGAGAGCTACGTTCGAGTTTGGGATGTCATCAATGGCCGCGGAGGCTCCTGCTCACAGGGTCAGATTTCAAAGGCAACGGCACAACCGACGAGCAACGATCATTTACTTGAAAACAGCTTCGCATCCGTATCCAGTTGCGCATGTATTTCAATGCCCACAGTCAATTCCCAATCGTCATGCTTTGCCGGGGGTGCGCTGCCCTTCCGCTTGGCTGCGCGTTTCGCTTTGGCCTCTTCCTTCAATTGTTTCCGCAAAGGAACGTACTCTGAGCGGCTTCTCGGGGTATCTGTCCGGATATCAAGAGAACATCGCGGCGAAGACGACCAATTTCTCCTCCCTTGCGGCCTGGAGCTCTGGTGGTGGAAGGGTTCCGCAAGTTCAACCCCTCGCGCAGCAAGACGGTAACGGGAATATGCACCACGGCGGGATAGGCATTGTCGTATCATGTGCATAAATTAGGGCCGTCAGCGCCGCCCTCGAATATCACTTGCCCCGGATGTAGGAAGGTGAACAATCGGGAAGTTGAGGCTTGGAAGGCTGAGGTTTCAAGCCCTCAGGACGTCAGAGCGTCCACTTCATTGGCGCGCCGGAATAGGGTAGAAGAACTTTGATTACAGGAAATACGAGACAGCGGGTGATGATTTGTGGTGTGAAACGAGCATGAAACGGGGACCCGGTAAAATTACGGTAGTTACCGTACCGCGTAGATTGGAACTACATACAACTTTCTCAATGTCCCAAAACCCAAACAATTTCAAGCTTGATTGCTGCCAATCACTGCTATAAATGCCATATCCCCCATTTCCATCTTCCCACCAACTTCAAGCCAACATTATTACGAGTTCTCGTCTGGGTTTCTGCGTTTCCAGGGTTTAGATGGGAAGATGTGGCTTTGGTGGCAGCTCACCTCGCATTCCCATTCGCGCCAACATGTTGCTGCCCCGCAAAATATCCTCATTGACGCCGGGCATTGGCATGGCCCCCATCTACCAATCAGTTTATTATTGGAAACCCGAACTGTGACACCTAGATGAGCCCCGGGGTGGGGGAGGGGGGCGCGGGGGTTGGCTTACGGATCTACAGTTAGTCTCTTGCTCGCTTGTTTGAAGAAGGCATTTCGATTTTGCATATCTAGCTGACGAGAGGCGGGTTTTTGGAATTATTAGAAGCTGCCACCGGTCCAGTCACCAGGATATTCCAACTCCGGTTATGCTAGATGTTGGAGCAACGGGAAGCCAATTATCGTAGTGGTTCAGTCGCACGTCGCACTTGGTTGCATCTACTCCGTACTGCGTATGTGACCCCGCTGACTTGCCCAGTTAGTTATTTAGTTAACTTAGTTGAACTAGTAGTTAAATAACTAATAATAAATATGGCAAGCTATGACTTGCAACGAACTACTGCGAACGACAGCAAAAATATTTCGACCAAGCTAAATCCGCATTCTGGCGAATGGGCTCAATCGCGCAATGTGCCCTGTTGTCCATGGCAGGCGAGCGGTGCCAGCATCTTACGTGCTTATTACGGGGAACAAGTAGAAAGTCCGCTACGCTAATATTAAATAATGATTCTATACGCACCCAGCTATCAGCCATGAGGATTAATTATACATACATAAATCTATGCCAACCGGGTCTTAGCGCTACGAATGGCGGATGGAAAGGGCAAAGAATAACGAAGAACTGTTCAACCCTTGAGCTTTTTGCATCCTGGAGGTGGGTGAGATAGCGAGTCACGGTTGGCCAACGCAGCATGCCAAAAAGTATAGTTAACTATATATGTGTACAAAATATGTATGTACGTACGGTCTTGGTGCCAATTTGAGCCCAACTGCAACCATTTATGTACCGCGTCCATACAATGATGAAATCCTGCACTCTTATAATTATGATTGTAGCATAGATAGCAAACTGTGATCATAATCATGCTGAGGGTGTTCGGTTTTTATGCCCCACGGAAGCACTAGTGATGATTCTGACGAACAAGACTGACACTATTTAATTAATAGCTACAAGTTTCTATACCCGCTACCAAGGGTCTGATTTAACCTAATAACTACCTGCAAACTCAAATAAATAGAAATTTATGCGCAGAAACCGCCAGCGTTTCCAGTCGACCCAGCAAAGGCCCGTCCATGATTCATGACACTGTCGCATCCTTTTTTCCATTTGGTTAACCACCGCCCAGGGGCGTTTCAGAGTACGTCGCCGGCTGTTGCATCCCATATGTATCTGGCGCAGGGCGCATTTCTTTTTCTCTCATTCTCGCTGTAGTTCTTAACCCCCCCCTGTCTTCCCCAGAACCAACTTCTTGTTGCCCTGCGCCCTCAAGATTTTCACCTGATCTTGTTATCTGCTCCAGCTGCCCCTCAATCGCCGAGCAATATTTCAACATCAGCGCATCATCACATTGTGTCCTGAGGATTCTCTTTTTGCCATAGTCATTATATACAACTGATATCTGGCTTTTCGGAGTCCCTATTTCAGAAGCCATTTCCCTCTACTTGTTCAAATCCATCCTCTAGCCAGCCCTGCGGCTATAACGTGATACCCAGACAGTTTCTACACACAACAGCTCTACCCCAGCGTGGGTTTCCATTTACCCGTGAAACGTGAAATCCCTGTGTGAAAAAGAAGGAGAAGAAGAAGAAGAAGAAGCGATTAGCCAGATATTCCTTATCTTCTGACAGAACTGAGATCTCAGATATACTCAGCACAAATTCTTCTCATCCTTTCTCAACTCCTAGAATATGCCCGGGAAGAGCCATAAGAGGGACGGTTCGAAGAAATCATCATCCTCTAGGAATGCTGCCGTGGATTCGACGCCTGCTGCCCCTGTTAAATCTTCCAGTTATTCCAATGAGAACTCTGCCCCTATTGCACGGCCCCGACAACGTTCCAAAACTTTTATTATCAAATCACTGGCCGACATTGCTTCAAAGGAACCTCCAACTCTGAAAGGAAGCTCGACTGAAAGGCCAAGTGAAGCGCAGCCTAGACAGCCGTCGCCAAACGTATTTGAGTTTTTGGATAAGGACGACTCAGAAGACAACAGTACCCGCTGGCCGCAGGCCACTCTGCTGCGACAGCCCTCTGCCACCTCCTCAGCGTCCCACGGCTCTAGACGAAAGTCTAGTGCGTCCTATAGCTTCAACTCAGATTCGGGGGTGTCATTCAGAGAGCACAGCCCTGATCGAGCTTCATCAATCTCCTCTGCAGAATATCAACCTGCAACACCACCTGATATCTCCCTGAATACACTCAACTGGAAATTTGCAGATGAATCCCAAACTCGCCGCCGCCTCAATATGGCTGGAGCGTACATGACCGATTCGGAGACAGTCCTGGATAGCCCTACTTCCCCTATTCCCGGATGTTTGGATTTCTCTACTCCTGAATCATATTACACCCACGCGAAGCATACATTTCCTCAATGCCCTCCAAACTCCTCTATCCACCCTTCGTACCCGTATCGTCAACCGAATCTCGACATGCGCAAATTCAACATGAGCACCAGCAAAAGGCAGCAGCGCACTTCCGTGGAGTCAGGTCCAAAGCGAAGCGAATCGTCCGATGACGAGCATCCGTTACTCTATCGCAAGTTTAAGTCGCTAAATCATCGCTTACTCCGTCATCTCCAGGAAGAGATCGCACAGATGGAAGAGGATCTTACCATCCTTGACGAAGTTGAAGAAGTACGACGAGTCACAGCCAATGTTAGAAATGCCGGAAGACAGAAGCTGCTGGCGACAAAGTATCAGGACCTTCAGTCTGAAGAATTATCTGTTCTTCAGCAGAGAAAGTCTGAGCTGGTGGAAAAGCTTGTGCCAAAAACCGAGCAATATAGTAAGCTCAATCTCCTTCCTCCATTTGTCTTTCCTTCTTTTCCCTCTCGCAAGGATTTGTGATACTTACCCTTCCTCTAACTAGATCGTGCTCTTTGCTCATATCGCGAGGTTTCCCGCAAATTGCCCGCTGCCACCGACGAAGAAGTCGAAGCCTACCGTACCTGGATCCACGAACATTCCTCCACTACCAAATCCGATCTAAGATTCCTTGCAAATGACAATGACCTTATATTGCTGGGGGAACGCCCATCCACCCCCCGTACTCCCAATCCTATATACTCCACGATTGCTACTGTTTCAGCAGCCATCCTATTCCCGCTGCTGGCCTTCGGCGTTATATCTGAGTTCTTTGGACGCATTGCCGTGGTCTCTATTGTTGGCGGGGCTACTGCTCTGTTCGCTTCGAATGGACCACCTGGCAATGAATATTTGATCGACCCAACTGATGGATGGAGATGTGCTGCACTGTATGTACCTATAACCCCCTCTACTAAATACATTTCTATAGTATAAGATGCTGATTCGCTCATAATTTCATAGATATTTTGGCTTTATGTCTGCCGCTGCCATCATTATTTAACGACAGCTTACTTGTAACGAATTACGAGTCTCTATATCGTATTTATGCTATGCTCTGTGATTCCTGTGATTCCTGTGATTCCTGCCTCTGGATTTCTTCTCTATTGTCTTCTTTCCCCCTCATCTTGATGGCGTATTCGTCTTCCATTTCTAGCATCTCAGTCCTTCTCTTCATGCATTTTTTCCCTTCATTGCAGTACATAGCCAGCGACGCATCTCAGCATCATCAGCGTTACATGTTCTATTCATATTTTCCATATCAAACGGCCACCACATTACCATATAGGACTTTTTAAGTATCTGTTGCCCACCAGCGAAATACACATGTATATAACCCGCCGGACTGGTCAGGACCGGTGGAAAAGTTGACACTACATGTGTCTTTTCTTTTCCTTTCTTTCGTTTTATTTATTTATTTGTTATTTTTTCTATGCGGAGTTATATTCGGGAAAAAGTGGGTGAGAAAGCGGGGTTGGAACAGAAGAAGGGGCATCTGGGCAATTTTCCTAGGGATTATGTTATCGGTTGACTTATTTTTCCTCTGCTAACTCTCCCTTGCATTCATTCTTCGATCTTTCAAGTAACTAACCCTGAGCGGTAGAATGGAAGTCTTTTTGGAATCATTTCTATTTTCTTCAAATACCCTCATCGTGTTTCGGTTGGTGTATGTCATTGGTAGTAAATATCCCTTGAAAATTCAAATTGACAAACTTGATTTCTGCTTCTAGAGATACTATGGCTGAGATGCGCGTCCAAGTCTGTAGATAAGCCGGCCACAATTGCTATGTACCCCCGATAGCTTGCTGTTCTCATCTGAACTCCAACTAATAGGGGATAGAAGAGGGGTAAAAAACATAATAGACGAGATCATGACTCCATGCGATAACGTATAATTAGTCTACAACTATTAAAAGAAAAAAAAAAAAGGTCAAACCAAACGAACCCTATAGTATAATATATAGCCTGCCCCATCTGGCCCATTTCCCATCGCGCTCTCTTCAAAAAATGAAAACTTACTTTTGAATCAGAATCACTGTGAAAAGATCTACTTCCGGTTAAGAAGCGAAAAAAAGGGAGAGTGGGGGGAGGATAAAAAGCAGGAACCAGAATCAAAAAAGCCGTTGCGTTCGACCCAACGCTCCCATTCGCCCTTTCACTATCCACGTCGGGTTGGTGGAGGAAAGCTAAAGCAACGAGGAAAAGAGAGATAAAGAAAACACAAAACCGGAGATAAAGCCAAGTCCGCCGCCAGTATTTTTGGTCGCCAGAGGAAATTTATTAGGTGCCTCAACTGAGGAACTGAAAACTTCTGCATCGTATTGTCACATGTAAGGAAATAATAATAGGTAACAGGTTAGAACGAAAATGTAAAAAAGTTGTACTCTTCCCATTGCTTCGAAAAGGATTGATAAAAAAGAAGTGTTGCGATGAAGACATGGGCAGAAACCAATATTAAGAAGGGTACAAGAGAAAGCAACACAAAAATGTCTGCTAAAAAAATAAATTGAGAGACCAGACGACAAATACAAGTCTCGTTTTTCGTTGTGCTGAAGCCAGAAAAGTGAAGATGCAAATATAGAAAATCAAGTTGCGTAGAAGAGCCTCTATAAAAGACAAGCACGAATAGTTACTGTTGGCTCTCGTTTTTTTAACTTATTCCCATCGTATGTTCCCCAATAATGTTTTTCTGTCCTTTATTGTGTCGTGCCTGCCGCAGACCCCACTGGCGCACCATTCTGTCGATTACCTGGTGGAAGGTTTCCTTGGCCACTGAATTGGGGGTTCAACCCTGGCTGTGGAGTGCTGGATTTTTGGCGTTGATGCTCGGCTAGCTGTGCTTTGTTGCGATCCATAAGCGCTGCTTGTTCAGCTGCGCTCCGGGAATAAGTCATTGCCGCAGCGCTGTTGGAATATCCTGTTGGCGCCGGGCTGGCTTGGGAAGCACCGAATGTTGGAAAGTGTGGTGGTTGTGGGGTTTGTTGTTGGAAGTATCTCGGTTGAGGATTAGTCGGAGTAGAATTCATGTAAGGGTGCCGTTGTGGAGACGCACCAAAGCTAGAGTGTCTCTGGGGAGATGCAGTGTGCGGGACAGAAGCAGGTGAACCATATGGGCTATCCTGTGGTCGTTGTTGATAAGGCGGCTGGCTTGCTCGGTGGGGATAGGGTTGAGTTGGTGCCTGCGCAGGGGAAGGCATGCGCTGGGAAGGGTATGGTCCGATTCCGACCTGGGTTGGCCGCTGGAATTGCTGAAGGATGTTGTTACCTTGATTATACTGGGGAGCTGCAGGTTGTGAGAATTGAGGTTGCGTGTACCCCGGCCGTTGACCTGATGGCTGTCGAGGCTGATTATATGGCTGAGGAGAATTACTTGGGGCATAGTGGATAGATGACGACGGCTGTCTGGTCCCATAGGCTTGGTGGGAAGAATGGCCCATTGGAGTCTTTGTTCGAGAATTGGATGGATATCCCCGGGCCAATGAAGCATTGGGTGCTGTTGGAGGTGTCTGGTATGGCGATGGCCGCGACGGGTTCATGTTTGACGCAGAGGGAGGGCGGGCTACATTCGGCATCTGGGAAGCTCTGGGTATTTGTTTCTGCTGCATAGAGTAGTCATCTTCCTCCATCATGCCAGGATAGTCAGCGCTCTCCAGAAGTATTTTCTTGCTGACGTTTAATTCCGCTAATTGGTCTCCATCCAGTTTAGATACGGCATATGGAGGTAACGTGGCTATCATTGCAATTAAACTTGACTTGAGAGTTTCATAGACGGTAACTTCCGTAGCTGAGGGCGATGACGCATCTGACGGTGTGGCGACTGCGTCGTTCTGTATCCCAGACGGAACGGGATGTGTCTGCCCGAGGTTTCGTATATGGCGATACGAGTTCAATGTGCGTAAAAGATCCGAGATATTTTCGAGTACTTCTTCCAAATCTTTATCATCGTTTCCTCCATCAGCGCTTTTCTGTGGCTCGATTAACACGTTGTCGTCCTCTGGATCAAATGACTTCACAGCTTCTTCGAGACTTGATTCGTCTAATGGTTCGATTTGTAAGTTTGTGGTCTTGCTGTCTGTCTCTTCGGCTGTCATATCATTTCCAACCGACAATAATGCGTGTAAACGATATTGGCCATGTTTATCCCACCAAATTTGCTCTTTCGCGTCCTCAGGTACAACCGCCCCAGAGCTATCAAACGAAGGTGCGAATGATGAATAAAGGCCGCGAAATTTTGCGTTGCCGTCGTCAAGGGAGTGTTGGAAAGGTTTTGAAAGATTCCTCCCGATATTTGTATCGCTCTTTGGTCTTCGATTTCCCGGGCGAAGGGAAGGCTCATATCCGTAATGTAGCCAATCTCCTGAAGGAAGAGATAAATAACTGTACCCTCTTTTTTCATTTGGCGAGTAATTTGCGGCTATGGTAAGTTCATATGGGTCAAGCCAAGTGATGGTCGAATTCTTTGATGACCGAGGTTTGAGCGGGGGTTGTAACTGAGGAAGGGTGGGGCGAGCTGGAAATACGTCTGCTATGGTCCTGGCTTTCGCTTTATCCGATTCCGCGATTTTGACATTGAAAGGGATGACTTTGGATATAGTAATGCCGTTTGGCAACGCTGCTGCTTCATTTATTGTAGCCCGTACCCCCGCGCCAGGTGGCTTACCTTGGTCGCGAGAGTCAGGCTGCTCGGCGATCGAGTGTTGCAAGCTCGAAAACAAATGTCTCCCGCGAGGGCATTTCCATATAGCGTGAGAACCATTTTGTCCTCCCGATCGTACGCCCTTCTACTATTATCCCTGTTGCGGGGCTCGGTCTTCTGAAGCTCCTGAGACTCAGCCTTTACAAGGGCAGTACCTTGTAAAGGGCTCCGGAGGATAAAGTTGTCCAAATGCTTTCTAAATATGCGTGAAAGGTTGACTAATTCCGTCGAAGATCGAGAGTGATCTGATTTGTTTGCATTGGCTTCTGACTCACGACGTCGTTCGATAACTAAACCGGACGCGGTCTCAACATCATCAATTACTTCTTGAATAGACTTGTATTGACCCTCCTCAATTTTGCACTCTATTGTTTGTGAATTGTTGGTAGCATTTGATAGTTTCGCGCGTTTAGGATCTGGTTCGACCGCATAATTGAGGGGAAGGGGAATTTTCAGAATACCAAGATCTGAATCATATCTGTAGAATGGGATTAGGAACCAAGTCTCCGATCCGCTTTCGGAAATGGCGGGAAAAAGGGAGTTAGAAGGCACTTACTTTTCTAGAACCCGTAGAAGATCTTTCAACGTTTGATCAAGCAACTCCCTTCTCGAGGTGACAGTTGGGTCTGATATACCGTCCCCTTTCGGAGATTCTTGGTTGGGACTGAGGACGCGTTTTCGCTTTCCTGGGGTTGGGAACGAGGATGAGTCCGAGTGCAATTGCGGAGAGGTAAGTTGCCCGTTCGTGTTCGCCGGTGCGGCCGAATTATTGGTCTCCATGCTGGATCACGCTCGCTCTGGTGGATCAAACGCCCCAGCGTGGGATGAAAGAGTTTGGAGTGTTGAGAAAGTCAACTTCGTACGTCGCCTTCTTGGACAGGTCAAAGAACACAAATATAGAAGGCGACTCTGAAACCATTTAGCGCGATCGTTCAAACCGAAGTTGCGACGCTCGATAAGCTCCGCTTGTTCAGGGAGATCTTCGGCGTTCTTAGGTTGATGGGGGACCGCCAGGCTTTTGCGAATTTAGTCAGGCATGCAGGGGAGGGACAAGGACGTGACAAGACGCCAAGTCGTCCAGCAACAAAGCACACAGGAGTACCAGTACAAGCAGCGTGTGATACACCAATCGTCAGGACACCAGAACAAAGGCGAGATATTCAAGAGACTCGCACCAGCGGAGAAGGTTGGATGAGGACACTAAACGAGACGTCGTTCTGTTCTGGCGGCGGCGATTCAGGAACCCCGTGGTGCATTTAAGCTCGGCACGTGACCACGAGACCCGAACGGATTTTCCTACCGGCTGACTAAACATCTCCATCGCATCCATGGAAGCACATATCCTATTTTCTTGCAACGAACAGGAGATCTACAAGGCCACTCCGCCTCGCAAATCAATTAGTTAACGCATTAGAGCGAGAGCGAGGCAATTCGGAGAGTTGCCGTTTTTGATTGATTGATTTGAATTTACTCTATTGTTCTATTGCAGCTCCCCTTAATCTTGTTCTCGCGGCCATTGCAGTGCTCTTGTACCAAAGATCGATGGATGTCCTCCATTAGCAGCTGTGTTCGAGGCCGGGTGGCAGGCTATCAGTCTGGCCGGGCGGTATCTAGCTATTTCTCATTGTCTCAACTACAGGTATTCAGTTCCCACCCTGTACAATCTCTCGCGAGACTAGTTCTGACACTCCTGTAGGATGGACTCCCTGTCCGCTCCGCTTCCGACCCCTCTGGACCTCTTACCGCAGGCCGGTGCGACTCGCGGCAATTTTCGAACATATCACGCCGTCTCGCTATTCCGCAAAAATATGGCAGTAACTTAACCGTCGTTAGGTTTCTTCATGCTGAGCGTTCGTTGGAATTAGCCAATAATGACCATGGGGCGGTTCGTGGCCCTGGCGCACAAGGCGAGACTACAACACGGGAGACGAAGCGCGAGAAGGCGAAGAAGCATACATCGTCCCCTTCGGCGTACCTAATAGCTGTATTGGAAAATTGCGGGTATGATGTCAGCATTGCGAAACCGAAGAGCCATAGCGTGGATCTGTCGTACAATTCACCCAATGCTACATCCCGCATCTCTACTAAAGTTTGGCGAAAGACCAAAGCCAAGAGCTTCCGGTATCCTAAGGCGCGCCTAGCCAGCGCAACAGTCGTCGCAGACTATCTACGTTATGTTCATCCATTGCTTGGGTCAGAGCCTCCTGGGACCGTCCCAAATCAGAGATATGACAAAGCCTTTGACGATGCCCTTCTTACAGTTTTCAACGACGAAGTGCTTCAATATTTGTCGGATAGGGGTTATTCGGTAGACGACGTGATGGCGTGGGCCTGGATACTTACCTCCTCCGAGCCACTTCAGGCGGCAATGCGCTACAAGGTCTTCGAGAAAAATGCTCATGAAAATAATTTGGACAGTGCTAAAGTTCCACTTTTTGTGTTACTTTTCACTCTACGAAGAGAAAACATCTGTGCTACCGCCTTCAAGATCCTCTTGTTCCAGACCTGGGATATATTAAGTGATAGCCCATCCAGCGACCAAACCCCGGAAACCTCCTCTTCCCCCAAAAGGAGTGCTTGGAACAGATCTGGAGATGACAACACTATAATGATCCTTGCTGTGCGCCTTATACGGCTTGCTGGACAAGTATGGCCACAGGCGTTTCCTTCCATAGCAGCTTTGATTACCCAAACGCTTGGAACTGCCTCTGCCGAAAATAAATCGAGTGAGGCTTACGAAAAGAAGATTAGAGGTCTGACTGTTTATTATAACAAGCTCCTTTCGCTTTTAGCAGTTCCATGTCGACTTGACCCATATCGTTCAGCTATATTTCAGCAACGCGCTCAGTTTCAGTTGTTGAGGGAAATGTCAAAATTTAGCCCTCCTCTCCCTGTCACTAGGGAAGGTTATCAAGCTATTACTAACGTACAGCTGGCGCAGAAGAAAACTACCCTGGAGCGGCAGTGGGCAAATTTTAAAGCGCAGTCATGGCCGCCCTGGAAAGAGGAAAAGCTCGGTATCGATTTCGAAAGGGGAAATGAAGGCAGCGAGAGCAGGGCGTTGAAATCTATTTCCCATATGAGGGATGTCGGATATGGTATGACGGCGTGGGAGCAGACTGCAGCCATTTACGCTGGATGGGATACTGATAAAACTCCAACAATTCAGACGAGAACCTTTCTTCCGAAGCCTAACCGCTTTCGAACGTCGTCCTCTTCAGACCAAACTCCTGCGCAGCCTTCTTCGAGAGCTAGTATTGGTATGACTAAACCTGGGGATAATGAAAGGTACTTCGATCTCTGGTCTGCTCGGATACGTGCTACAAGGACGTTAAAGGAGGCATGGGCATGTTTTCTGTCCTACGAGAACAGTGGACTTCCCCCCCATAAGGCTATATATTTTGCAATGGCCGAAAAAATTACCTTTCATGACCTCTCCCAAAGTTCTCATTCACAACTCTCGACAGAAGCCCTACCGGGTGATGGGAAGGAGGTGTTTCCTGAACCCTCTTCTCCACAAGATGTCATCTACGTTCACTCTGAACCGCCAACATTGGATGACTTGCTTCAGCAAATGATTTCACATAACATTAAACCCTCAGGAAGATTGCTTGTTCTTCTTCTCACTCATTCAAAGTCTATGGAAACGGGTATAGGATACCTTCTCGTTAGCAACTTGCCCGACGAACAGAAGTCTGCTCTGGTTTCCGGCCTCTTTCGAGGCCAGTTAGAGAACGAGAAATTTCTTGCTGAAATACCGGACGACATTTTTGCCGCATTCATACGACTTCTTTGTAGGTTTTCTGTACTCAATGAGCCGTCCGCCGATGACTCGAACACGCAAATACGGCAGTTATTCCCGGTATTATTTTTTCCCAACAAAGAAAGCAGCATCTCTCCCCCAGATTCCAAGCGGCGGTCGATCGAAACTGAGCAATTTCATCGGCCTAAAGCCCTCACTCATGCAGTGCGGCTGATGAAGTCAAGAATGCCACGGTATTTTCCTGCATGGAGTCATTTCTTGTCAGCACTAGCTACGGATAGAGTTAAATTCAGCAGCCACAGGATTTCAATTCCCATGCAGCGTGTTATATCATGGTGGGAAATCTGCCGTGTTCTGCAGTGGATGCAGGATGCCAACGTCCCTCTCCAAAGTCGAGGATTCGAAATCGTTTGCTCTGCTCTTTCAAGGCTTATTTTGGCGGCCAGGCAAGACATGGAAGGTGCTGAACATGGCTTAGGAATAATCGAAAACGTCACCAATCAGAAAGATAACTCAGTAGACTCGTTGTCATACTCGACAATTCATGAAATGGTTCAGCAGAGCGTGGCTTTCCTTAAACGTCAATTTGATATGATGGAACTGACGTCGGGGGAGAAGCTTCTGTCATCACTGGGGCTATCTAACGAAAAGGGTGGCAGTAACATTCCTGCTATGCTACCAAGTACATTCGAGGCAACCTCGCCGTCTCTCCTACACGCATATGCTCGAGTTCTTGGTCTAGCCAGCGATCGTGCTGGATTGTTAACCCTTCTCCGGTTGATGAGTAAATATGAGGCTGGCGTAAAATTCGCTTCCGATGAGCGCATGGGTGGAAAAAGACTTGTACGTCGTACCGTGGTGGCTGCAAGAGTGTTTTTGGAGGGCGGTTGGGAGCGGACATCTGGCATGTCTGAGCCTGGGGCTTCGAACGCAGCTCCTACTTCTAATCCTCGCAGTTTCCACTGTGGGAGAGATAATCCAGATAATCCAGATAATTCTGGGTCCACCCAAAGAGCAAGATCGTTTGCCGATCCTATTGTTAGTGAAGCATACGACATCATTGAGGGTACGGAGCTCTTGTCGCCTTGGCCAACAGATGAGGAGGTTAGGGAGTATAAGGCTGTACTAACCGGACAACGAAGATGATTGCAAGTACATACTTGCGTGTATATATATACTTATATCTTGTATAATAAAATATGAAAGTGAACATATTGAAAATGATACCCAAGTACCTTAGATTTTGCAAAGCTTTTGACGTCATATTGGGAACTGCTGTGCCACAACAATATTAACACAATTACAGAGCAGAATATATATATATATATTACACCCAAGGATCAATTGTAGGACGAAAAGCAATAGAACAACATGCAGCCATCGTGTTTTTAAATCCTATCCCCAGCAGGCGAGGACTGTTGCATCTCATAGATCTACAGAGTAGAGACGCCAAGAATGGATCCCGCAGTACGGCCGCAGCCGCTCCTGGCCGAATCGCCGAAGCCAACCCTGGTTCAAAATGTTCGAGCACAAACAACAACCACGCCGATACTCTACATACACACATTTCTGCCTGTTTGGCACTGCCTCCAATTCATCTCATAATGTCTCTCCGCTTGGTCCTCTCTCCATTCGCCCTCAAACGATTCGCTGTTGTCCAAGTCCGCTACAATAGCACTGTTGTCGGCACCAGCGCCCATGGTTCTGTAATTGACGTCCAGCAGATCCCCGCACCCGGTGCCGGGCATATCAGAGTCCTTCTACTGAACAGACCAGAAGCACGGAATGCTATTTCGCGACAGTTGCTGGATAGTTTGACCAAGCATGTTAATTATATTGATGCTGAAAAGGGGGACGGGCCTACGAGGGCTTTGCTTCTCGCGAGCAATGTAGACGCGGCGTTCTGTGCCGGCGCAGACCTGAAGGAGCGGGCTAAGTTTACGAGAGAGGAGTAAGTTTATAAATATATATATATATATTTAACGTTCGCTTCTTTCTGGAGATTTTGTTTCATGGTCCGTAGCTGTGCTTCTCTTCTTAACGAAGCCCCGAGGATATCCGCTAAATATGTGATTATTATAGGACCGAAGCATTCCTCGCCCAACTACGACAAACATTCGCAAGCCTTGCTGCCCTCCCAATCCCCACCATTTCAGCCATCTCATCAATGGCTCTTGGGGGCGGCCTGGAACTCGCCCTGTCCACGAACCTTCGTGTCTTTGGCTCGACGAGCATCGTAGGCCTGCCTGAAACTCGCCTCGCCATTATCCCCGGGGCAGGAGGCACGTACCGACTACCGAAGCTCATTGGTGAGAACCGGGCGCTTGACATGATTCTCACCGGTCGCAGAGTCAGCGCGGCGGAGGCGTACTTCCTCGGACTCTGCAATCGACTTGTGGAGGTCAGCCCTGAGGAAGCTGCCCAACCAGGCGCAGCGAGAGAAAAGGTTTTGCAGGAGAGCATCAAGCTTGCCCTGGATATTTGCGAAGGTGGCCCCATTGCGTTGAAGCAGGCCATGAAAGCGGTTCGTGGGTTTGAAAAAGGGGCGGCAGCGGAAAACGAGGCCTACCTCGGTGTCGTGGAGACGGAGGACCGATTTGAGGCGCTCAAGGCCTTTGCGGAAAAGAGGAAGCCCTGCTTTAAGGGCAGGTGATCGTGCGGGATATATGCGTCGTATATATTCTCTAGAATGCCTCAAACGAGGCATGCGGGGCACAGGGCCTCGATTGCGGAACGGTTTGTATGGTGCGGACACCACAAGCAACCAGGCAGAAAAGTATTTGGCAGAAATGGTTAGAGAGCTCAACTTGTATAATATGTACGGAATTTTACTTGGGATTTGTTCATATCTATCTGGCAGATATGAGTTTTTGCGGAGATATGCAGTCTTTACGAGCATCTATCATATGGGGTAAAACATCCGGTGGCTGTGGCCTAGTCAAATCGATTTGATGAAGTCATATAACCCAAACGGCTCTTTGGAAGGTGGCTGGCTTCCCTGCAGTTCCCGTGAAAAGATAGTTCATTTCAACCTCACGAGAGACTACCAAACAAGCTGCAAGGTTAATTAATTTATGGGGCCATAATGGACAGCTGTGCTCCTTACATTTTTTTCTTCTAGTGACATCATTTGTTTTGTGTTATAGACCTGGCCACAAGGACTCGCTTTTGCGTTATTTTCGCCATTCATTCACTCAGTAACTCGTCCCGACTTTTCGAAATGCTGCCCTATAGAATGCTGTTAGGCTAACGACGGGGGCATCTTCCAATTGCTTTCTCGCTCTCCAGCCCTCCAAGGAACCCTGGGTGTGTTTCACTGAGACTTCAAATGCGGAGCCCTTTCAGCAAGCCAGGAAACTGTGTTTGTTTGCCTCTATGAAAGGGATGGTTGTTCAGAAATTGCATCAGCTGAGATTGTGTGTGTGGATGCACCAGGTGTAGAGTAAGAAAAGACGTAGGATGTTGGCCTGATATTATCATGTAGTCAGTGGGGTGCATACAACAGAACAACATTTCCATTTCAAACTTCCGGATAATTTTTCTGTTTTATTTATGACTGCGCCATTTTCTTGTGGATTCGATATATAGATATCATATCGCTTGTCATACCAGGTACATACATACATAGAGAGGATCATTTCTCTTGGCCCCTTCTGAGGAATTGGGCATTACAATGCTCCATCCCATTAAATAATAACTAAACACTAACAAATAAGCTGCTATGAAAAATACTACCCGACGTGAGCTCAGATTCGTCCCCCGCCGTCCTATTTAGGGGATGGATAGGATACCTACATGTAAGTGTGCCCATGTACGTTCGGGTCGGCATCTAATGAACTATTTGGAGTACTTACGTTATTCGGCCCTCCTGGTTTTCATATCTGGCTATAACGGTTAGATAACTGGTTTTTTGAATGATAAATCCCACCGCGCCAAATTGTATGAACCGTGAAGAAAGAATTTTGACGTCATGGCCAGGCTTCTCATGTGCGCAAAACGAATCATGAAACAACCATCAGCTACTCATCAGAAATCCAGCTGATGGCTACTTTCAGCTTGTCTCCTCTTTTCTACGTCTTGCTTATTTCCAGCTCTTCAGACGCTTCTCCGTAGATATATATAGACGCATGACAAGGAGAATGGCAGAGACGAAATATATTTATAAAGAGCCATCATTAAATTGCTGGCATTGAAAAATAGTATCCGGCACGCAGCCAGATGTCATGCTTTCTTAATAAATAGAAAAAAGCCTGGGATTCATTCGGCTGTGGGCCATGAGTGGTTGGAGATATTTGAGGAGCAAGATCGCCTCGATATGGTTCGATCCATTGGTTTGTAGAGCTCGTTGCCGCATCACGGAGCCTACTTCCAACATTATTGAGAATCCTACGTCCCAAAAACGCCAATAGGTCCTTCTATCAGATTTTCTCCCTGGCTGATTCGCTTTGTGGCTGTACCTGGGCTCTCACCAGGAGGTGAGGTGGGGTGTTTGTCTGCTGTGGCAACTCAACTTTGTCATCCTTTTATTTGCTAGTTAGATATCAAAGAGAGGACTTGGCCCTGCGCTATTTTTATGCATCTTCATAGGTTCTTGCAAGTTGGTTGCCCGTTCCCGGACCCACAGGCATCGCCCGGCCGATTTGTGATTTTTAGTGCCGCACTCCCCGTGATGTGCGGCTCTGTGGGTGGGGGCGGGATGGATGGGCCCAAGATGGGTTTGGAGTTCTCGACGGGGTTCTCCCCAGAGATCTCCGGGCGCTTGTCTTTCCCCAAAAGCATAAATAGCATAGCACGGCGAGCAAGAGACAAGCTAGCTATTAATATGTCGACTTTGTGCAGGGTACCTCGAGGTATAGTAAGCACTGACACTGATTGCCCCGTCGAGTACGAAGTAGTAGTGTGACTCGCGGGCAGGAAAACCTACGAGAGACAGCTGAGCTGACCTTGCCCACTTGCCCTACGCTACGCCTGGTATGTGTGGTATGGATATGTGTGTGCGTGGGGTGTATGCCGACTCATCCTTCCGCTATTGAGTGATTCCGCACAAGAAGAGAAGGCTGTTCAATAACTACCTACCGCTGCTCACGGGATCAGCTTGTCCGTCACGGCTGTCAGGCAGCTTCAAGTTAGTTATACCTCCTGTACTCACCCAACCTCCGCCTTGTTATTGACTCCTCTCCCTTTCCAACCTCACTTTTCGGCTTGTCCTACCGCACTCTATTGTTTTCCATTCGAAGAACTTCATAGAAGAACCCCCGCTATTCACTTGGCTTATTGTTGTTTGCAACCTGGGCAGCCAGATTTCATATATATATGGGGATGCCCCCCCGGGTTGTTTGCGGTGGATTCTGGAAATATCTAAGGTTTCTAGTCTGAACAACCATGGGTTCTACTACCGCCAAACGGTTCGACGTAAAAGAGTTTGGGTTGACGGAAGTTTACCGCTGTGCCGAGCCGCTGGTACCACAGGTTGAGTAAGTTGTGCTTTGTTTGTTGTCGAGTCTTGTCCTTGGCCCCCCCCGTATTATCCGGAGTTCATGTATGTGTCACTGACTATATATGCTGGATATCGGTATAGCATAGTGTTTGTTCATGGCCTTAACGGTACTTCCTATAACACATGGGCAACCAAAAAACCCGATGTTTTCTGGCCTGGCGATCTCCTTCCTCATACCCTGAAAGGCCAAAATGTCCGGATATTGACTTACGGATACGATGCAAATGTCGCTTCTTTCGCAAGGGGGACGTCGAAGGAGAGACTACATAACCATGCTGAGCACCTTGCCGGTCAGCTCATTGCAAATAGGAATGTATGTTTGTGATGAGATATTTCAGACGGAGGTTTGCGCTTCGCTAACAAGGGTTATACAGCTGCAAGGTGCGGTCGAGCGGCCGATCATCTTTGTATGCCACTCTCTCGGTGGCATCGTGGTGAAAAGGACTCTCCTATACTGCGAGCATCTTAGGCACCCAAAAACCCAACATCTTCGGTCAACATACATCTCTACATATGCTATCCTGTTCATGGGAACACCCCACAACGGCTCTGATCTGGCGAACCTGGGCAGCGCTATACAGACATTATTCAGCCTGGTGCCGAAAAAACTATTCGATACCACACCGAGTTTGCTGAAGACCCTGAGGCCTGACAATGAGATTTTGCAAAATGTTAACCGCCAGTTCGCGGAGATTATGGGCAGGTTCCGGATTTACTTTTTCCACGAGTCCAAACCAATGGACTTGAAAGGCACTCGCAAGTTCATTGTGGATGAATCTTCTGCTGCACCAGTGATCGAGGGGGTGGAACGCATGGGGATTGAGGCGGATCACGGTGCCATGTGTCGATTCGAAAGCAAAAAGTCGCCTGGTTATGAGGCTGTGGCAGAAGCTATTCTCCGGTATACGAAAGAGGCACCAGGCGAAATCGCTAATAGATGGATACAGGAGCACCGAGCTCGAAGAAATAATATGAGAGAGGAAGCTGAACGTCTTCGTAAGTTGTCATCATCCCATGATTTCTCCTCTCATACATGAGACCAACCCCTGGTAAACCCTGAAGTCAGATTCTAACTGAATTAGTGTACATGGATGACATAATGCGTCGGAGTCAGTCGTCTCTCCATACGGAGAGGTTAGATTCACTTGGTAGGTCATTTCATATAATAAATCCCCTTCCAGTGTTGAGCTGGTTCCCAGACATTCAGAGTAGCGGACGGGAGTATTGAGTTTGATGTCTCTTGTCTCGAGAAACAAATATTTTCTCGAGCCCATGGAATCATTATTAACCTAGTACTCGGGATGTCTAGATAATGGCAGTCGACTAACAATCATTCATATAGGAAATTCAATATCATCGTTGCATACTGGGCAAAATTCAGAGTTGATACCCATCACAAGATCTCAACTGATGTCCAGTGCCGAACTACCTCCACTTCAGGAGACTGGGGAACCTCTCCTTGTTGCTCCTCCAGGATTTCACCCAAATTGGGTATTCGTTGGTATGGAAAAGGAGCTCGAAGAACTCCACAATCGGCTGTTCAGGGTGAAAAGGCGAGCGGAAGATGTGGTTTCCGTCCTTATATACGGTGGGTCAGGATCGGGAAAGACACACCTTGCCCGCCAGTACGTCTTTAATCAGCGTGCTACGTATACCGGTGGCATCTTTTGGATTGATGCTCGGTCCAGGGAATCATGTTGCCAATGCTTCTGGGACATTGCCGAAAGGGTGTCCTCAACGCAGCAGAAAGAGTCCCAGGATCCTGACTGGCGCGACAGAGACAAGTATATTGACAAGGTCTTGAAATGGTTCGGCTCAAGGCAAAACTGGCTTGTGATATTTGACGGCCTATCTTGTGACGATGATGACGAAATCAACGAGTTCAAGAAGTTTATCCCATATAATACAAATTCGAGTATCATATATACTTCTGTTGATCGCACGCTCTGGAAAAAACGAAGGCTCTTCGAACCTTTTGGTCTGAAAGTTAGACCTCTGTCTGTCCAAGATGCGCGGACGCTTCTTTTCAAGGATCTTAACATCAAACAGCCCACTTCAGAGCAATTGCGGAAAGCGACAGAGTTGGTGGAGCATTTTGAATGCTTACCACTCGCTATCCATGCTATGGGGCATCGTCTTAGTGCCACTGGAAAAGCAATCGAGAAGTTTCGTATCAAACCTCAAACCACAGATAAACGACTTGCGGAGCCGTACCGTGGAATCATGGCCGACTTGCAAAACAACCAACACATGGAGGCGGTCAATTTGATTACCATCCTCTCCTTTTTCGGACACGACGTCCCCGTTGGGATGATCCATTTGGGTAGGAAAGCTCTCCTCGAATGTGGTGTTGAAATTCGTGCCCCTGAAGAGGAGGGAAGCTCTGAAAGGCACATAGATAACACCTTCGCCATCCTCATTCGATATGGCTTGATCGAGCGCGCGCTCGACCCCTATGTGTCGAATGAACACAGTCCCGCTCTCCGACGAAGCACGGAGTTGCATGATAGCCACCCGTCTTCAGAACTAGAGAGTTCACAAACGAGCGGCAGCCAAAACCCATCATCCATCGGGGCCAATACTTCCATCGACGTTGTGAAAATACACACTGTGGTGCAGACATTCTTCCGCGATGAACTCTCAAGGCTGGGGGTTGGGGCGTTTGCGTGGTGGCTTATTGTTTCGACAAGGCTCTTCTTGATGTCATATAACAATGCCACTGCTAGGATAAGAATTCAGCAGTCTCCTGGCCTTGTCAAAGACTTTGGCCAATATGAAACACATTCGAGCGTTCTCCTAGGCCTCTACAAACAACTTCGACCCCATAAGCGCAACCCGGATCTACCCCCCGATTTGGTGCCATTAAACCACGCGCTGTCTCAAGTGAAGAATGATATTTCGGAAGAAATTAAACATCGGTCACCAGTGGCGTCGCAGCAATTAATGAAACATCAGAAATCGATTTTCGACCGAACTAGTAGCACGTCCTCAATGCCTGATACGCCAACCAGTGGATCTTCCCGGTTTACTTGGGAGATGGATGTGGACAATGACAAGACCCATTCACCAATTGAATACATCTCTTCCCGGAAACCGCTACAGCACTTTCCATCTACTATTTCGCAGCATTTACCACTACCTGTTGTAGAAGATCAGGGATATGAATCCGATTTGGAGGGCAGCGGGACTGTTCCTGCAATGTCTCCGGTTCCATCCCAGACCACAGAGGTACCTGAATCTTCGGCTATCGCACAAGACGAAGGCGACTGGAAGGTCGTTACCGCAAAGCCGAAGAACCCGAGCTTCTTTGGGATGGTGTCGCGCCGTTTGGGAATAAGAAGAATGCGTGGCCAAAGAAATCTGGGAAGCTACAGACCCGTTCATCCCGTTGTGTCTATTTCTGGTGTCCACGGTCATGGATCACCGAGTCGCCCGCAAAATAACGATGGAGAACAGGAGGTTTCGGCTAAATCCCAAGCCGAAGCATCTCTCGCCGCAGTGCGTCGGGCGAACTCACCCCCAGCTCGTGGTGGGGAAATAGAGAAAACGAACTCCAAACCAGCTCAGAAACAGAATTACCCTACTTATGCAAACGTGCTTGCTGGAAGACGCCCGAGTGCCACTTCATCATCTGGCCGATCCTCTCCACCCATAGGTTGGGGATCAGATAGCAATAAGCTTTCCGAGAACTCGGTCCCAGTACACCCCGGAAGTGCCCCGGCCCAATATGGCTGGTCACCCAGGTCATCATCCGACCACTTGACCAACTCGCATCATAGCGAGGTAGGTACGGGATCGTCATGGAAACGCCCAGAGAATGAACGTGTTCTAACTCCGCCGTCACGCTTTCATTCCCGCCACCCGTCACGTTCGTCAGAAGGATCAAGCGGAAACATTCTAGGTCTTCAGGACACAGTTTCACAATACCAATTGGCAGCGCCTTCCAACCGACCCTTGCCGTACGAAGCAGATATAACAGTAACAAAACCGCGATACTCAAGCGTTGTTGTCCCACCCCAAGACACTCAAGGCCTAGGAGTTGCATCATATCTGAATACCGCGGCCTATGGTCCTTCTATGGGACAGTCAATCCCAGCTGGCTATTCATCCCAGCCCATGTCGCGAAATGTTTCTGGTCAATCCGACCAATCGCTTCATACCGAGCCAACTAGAGTGCCACCTAGGTTTTCACCTGACCTGGGGAAAAGACTCTCTTCACCCCTTGTTAACGTTTCTCAACCCGGCATGTCCAGACTAGATACTCGCTCTCCCCAGACGTCGTACGGGCGTGGTGGTGGATCCGCTATCAGCTCTAGTCCAGGCACTCCAAATTCACTGGAGCCTACTGCGATGTCCCGTGCATCTTCAGGCCCAGGTATGATAGTTGACTCCGGAGATGGCGTGACCAAAAGCTTTGTAGAGTTCAGCCACCGCCCTTCAACACAGAATATCAGGTTCGGAGAACATGAACCCATAAACATCGTTGATGCACGGATGCGATCAGGGCTTCATGAAAGACAAACTCACCCAGGCCAAGGCAGCGATCATACAGCCTTGAAACATTCAACAAGCCCTCCCTACCCTGACCGTAATCTGATGCCTAGCGCAAGTGACGATAATCAATTGCAATCCATGGCTCGCTTCCCGCTAGAAAACATTGGCAATCTCCCGGTCCATGGTCGATTTAGAAGTGGGAGTTCACCTGCTCGACCGAATATATAGCTATGCCCGACGCCAATAATCTTTTTTGTTAACTACTAATTTGTTGATTTTACTTTGAGTTCGAGTTCACCTCGACATTTTTTATTCTCCCTCGTCTGCATAGTTGGACCTTCATCACACTATTTCCTACTCAGGGGGTTTGCTCATTTATGTGCAAGTTGAATATTAAATAGAGACTAAGTAAGTAAATGTTTTGTTGAAGTGATAGATGGGGTGGGATTCATTATGCATTCCCTGGCGTCATATGTATTGCCATGTTGTTTTATGCAACAAAGAGAGGGGTGGATACAATAATGGGATGGGCTGTTGGCAAGGGAGTTTTTGCCCGGCCTGGTAATGATTATTGAAACAAGAAACTGAGTGGGAAATGCGCTGATATTTCTGTCCGGAGTTTGGGCTTTATATTTGACTTTGATGATGGGAGTACATCCGGGTTTGATAGGGCCATGATTTTTTTTTTCTTTATTATTATTATTATATTTTTTTATGTTATTTTTCATATGCTTTTATTTCAACTAGATTTCTCTTTTAGAAAATTAATATGAAAACAGATTAAGAGTTGATTAATTGTAGCTGGTTCCTCTCGTGCAGGAACTCTGCAGTTTTGGAGGTCACATGACCACGTCTCTACCTCCAGTACGATGCCGTCACTCATGAACCTGGTAGAGTGACGTCACAGGTGAATCTTGTCAGGGAAAAGAAGCTCCAACCCGCAGAAATGACGAGAAACACAGTGTATTGGGGAATGGCTTGCTTTCTCCTCATCTCTATTGTCACTGCTATAAGTACCCCTTTGGTTTCCCATCAGACCAAAGAACTCTGGCTATTTTTTAAATCGTTGACGAAAAAACCTTTTATGCCCCATTTCGATATTGACTTGACAAACATACGGAGTACATCGTACCACAGAGCTAGTTTTTCTGATACCTCGACAGAAGAAGGTAGGTAGACGATATAAATACCCCGTCGTACCGTATCCCTGCAGCTTGCTCTTGACACAGATCCAGAAGTTACTTATGTGTGCTGACCATGCCATCCCCCCTTCTCTTAGTATCTCGACCCCTGAAAAAGCAAAATAAGTATCTCAACAAGTTACTACCTCATCATCACCATGTCCTTCCTTGCCCGCGCCACTCTCCTCACGAGGACGGCCGTGATCCCAGCCAGAGCTGCCAGCGTTGCAGTTGTTAGACCGGCGTTCTTCTCCACCTCTGCTCGGAGGGCCGATAGGGGTCCCATCGAAGTAACTAAGGAGACATTGAAAAAGGCAGACCGCGTTGTGTCAAATGCTGCCGTGAAGGGAATTGAGACGGGTGGTATGTAGTGATCCACTGCTACTTTTCGATTTGTCCCCCCCACCTGCTTTTGTTAAGAGTCCTAAGAAAGCGCCGTCTTGCTTTTGGAAAGGAGTTGGTTCTTGGAGTATTGCTGTAGCATAACAAGAGCAAGGAGGCTGACGAAAATCGCACGAGAACAGAGAAGGCAACCCACAAGATCAAAGATACTATTGGTATCAAATCGAAACAGGCTGAGGAGGGGGCGGTGAAGACTGCGAAGGAGGCGGGAGACAAGGCCTCAGAACTTAAGGATGAAACGAAGGCCAGGGCAGAGTATCTTAAGGAGAAAGCTAAGGAGGAAGCCGAGGAGATGACGGGCAAAGCATAATTTGTTAGTGGCCCGTTGTGACGAATATTTTCTGAACGGAAGGAAAAACAGCCCAAGTGTAAAATGTTGGTTAATAACTTGGAACTTGTTCTCGTCTTGAGATGCGAGAGTGGCACATGAATATTTTGACGGTATTTGTATCATAGTTCGTTGTCTTGTTGTTGAGAATAAAACCGTACTGTACATATTTAAGTACTTCCTTGCGTAGGAACAATATTTCAATGGCCTAAATTCATTGGGAGCTCTATGCGGCTCAGGAAAGAGATAGTCAACCAGATGGCGGAAGCATGAGAACATATTCCCTGGTGCTGAACCCAAATTTCAACACATCCTTGTCCATAAGTTCCATGTATCGTCCCTTGGGTGCGGACTCTCCATTAACAGTAGATCCATTAGCGCTTTCCAAATCAATTAAATACGGTCGCACTCGACCATCCCTGTCGCCGTACTCATTCCGTTTCTCGACGAAGCGGAACTGTAACGCAGCGTGTTGTTTGGAGCAGCTTGGATGGTCGACAGGTAAGTCAACGACTAATCTTTCCCGCCCAATAAGCCAGCAGCTCCGTTCTCTCAGTTCTATCGTCTCAAGTAAGGCCTCTCCTTTAAATATGTAGAGGCGCCAAGGGTCCTTTGTAGGCGGCTTTCGAGCTTCAGGGGGCTCATGATATTTAAGGACAATGGAGGTCAAGCCGTCGCTTGATTTTACCGTGTTGGTCTCCGCAGCTAGGCGGCCGGTATTAGCGAAGTTGGGCTTCTCCTTTTCTGGACGTGGAGTGGACGTTTCTGATTTTGAGTCTCCGGGGGTTTTGGAGAATGCATCTTTCTGGGATGGAAGTGGGTTTCTTGAGCGTTTGGAATGTCTAGGAGATGGGCTACGAGATATTCGAAGGGGAGGTGATCTTGTTTTTGAACCTGATACACTTCGTCGTCTATTGGACGGCCTCCCGCGGTCGTCGTCATCGCGGCTTCTATCCCGATATTTTCTATGTGGACTTCTGCTAGAACGGTCGTGTCGTGTTCTGGAAGTGTCTTCATAGCTTCTAGAACGGCTTCTTCGACGGTGGGATCTATGTTCTCTGCGGGATGGCCTGCCCGGGCTTCGGGAGTGTCGCCTGCGGTCTTTCATCCCTGGGCGATCGTCATCGAATTTTCTCCGAAAGCTGTCGTGGTCTTCCTCTTTAGCTGCTTGGGAACGCGCATAATCAATAGGATGTGGAGAAGTTAAACGTTGCCGCCGACTCCGTCCATCATCTCCGTGTCTAGGCATTGTTAATTAACTTGCAGAGTGACAGCTAGGATTGTGAATATCAGATCCAGGGAGAAGTTGATGCAACTGGGCGGCGACGATCTACTCGGCCCGACGATTTCCCGTTTCCGAGGGGAAACAGGGAAACTATGGCCCTATGGGATTTCATCGGCAACATCCCCCCTACCCATCATTCGCGCGGACTACAATGGTTTTCTTCCTGAGGAGTTCGAATAAACGATTCAATGAGGGTACATTTGATGTCTGTTTCTATGGAGAGTGTTTAACTAGCGAGTTATTATGTTGAAAACGCCGGCTCTGTCATGCTACTGTGGCGGCTTGCATCTGTTCAGTCAATTGCAAGTCGCCTCTAGCCTACAGTCGACGCCCACATCCCCCGCCCGTCGAAAGAAGCCTTCCATACCACGATGCGATAGAAGATTTGCTCATGTCCATAGCTCATATTCATTGGGGTCGGAGGCGGATCTATCCTGGCCAGCAACACCAACCTTTTCCCCTTACGATATATTCAAACAAGCCAGAACCGAACCTTATTCCAAGCGACGATATTATGACCTTGTCAAAATCTACCACCCGGATTTGCAGAATAAAGATCATCCGCTATGCAGAAATGTGCCTGAAGCCATCAGATTACATCGTTACAGACTTATAGTTGCGGCGCATGAGATCCTTTCCGACCCAACCAAGCGGGATGCCTATGATCGGTATGGACATGGGTGGGACCATCGTACTGAGCTATTCGGCGAAAAAAAGACCAAAAACGTGGATACACAATATGAAAGAGGTACGGGCGGCGACGACTCCATATACCGAAACGCTACTTGGGAAGACTGGGAACGGTGGCATCGAAGACATGACCCAAACCAAAGCCAAGCTTCGACTGTTTCGCATGGCACATTTGCGTCATTCCTCATTCTATTGATGATATTTGGAGGTTTGGGTCAGGCAGTATCGATCGGTAATTATTCGAGCTTTGTCGAGGAACGGGCGAGAGACGCCGATGAGAAATGCGCCAAGTTACTGCACGGCAGGAGGCAGCAGACGATTGCTCAGATGAATTCGTTGGATAGTAGGCTTCAGAGCTTCCTCATAAGGCGGGATCCTTATGGTTTCGGATTAAAGGAGGAAGAGGAGGATACATATCGAGCCATTCTAAGCCCTCACAACAAGCCTCACGCGCTTGATGCTATAGACTCACCGTCACCACCGTCGGAGAAACCTCTAGAAGTAAAAGAGGTTGGCGGTTAACGGGGCCTCGTCATTTCATTTGCGGCCCCTTCTATTTTCATACCTTTTGTTTTTTACATTTTTGCTTCACATTCCCTGGCTTTTATGTTATTGCATTGGAGGCGTTCGAAAGCAGATCGAATCTCTTCTCTGGATCATAACCAAGTTTGTAGTTCAGCTACATCAATGGAATTGAATTTTTTTTTTTTTCTTCTTTCATGAAATGAACCATATTCCCTTTTGGTTTATCTTTACCTTTTCCTTTCCACTTGCTACACTCCATGATTGGTTCAGTTGAACCTCCATGGAAAGCCCCAGTACTCCATGAGATACCAAACAGTTCCATTTCTAATGGGTCCTGAACGCTATTCACTAAGATCAACGCAAAATCTCACAAAATACCCTGATTCAATCCTCCCGGCAATATTCTGCAGCATCAACAACAGGCAAAGATACGATACAACCATAGAAATCCGAATAGAACATACTGTTGCCCGTAGGGTTTGCGAATGACAACATATGACAATGACAATGACAATGACTTGAACAACAAAAGCAGGAACTCTGATCACCGAGAACATGTATATATCATCCCAACCCTTCCCACAGATCCCACTTCGGACCGTTCGATTCTCCTGCTCACACAAGACGTTGACGGAACTCCAATCAACACCCAACTGACGGGCCAATCATCCAGCAAAACTTACAGCACGACCCTATTATTCTTTTGCAGCAAGAGTTAGTATGGAATCCAACTTTTCAAAGCGAACATATGAAGGTTACATACACAATTTATGGCGCTACCACTCCGCCCCATATATATAACCGTCCGACTACTCATTAACACCGACAATAGCCTCTCAAGCCATTGCCAGTGGTTAGGCAGCACCTTGGCCTGGCACAGATGGCGGACACTTCCCACAATCCGTGAATGTTGCAAACGAATAACTCATCCGCCGTCCCCTTGCGGTTGAGGCTACATATGTACCGACCAGGTGTGCAATAGGTTCCCAGGGCTTCCAGGAAGAAGAGAGCCGTAGCAAGGATTGACAGCTGCATTTTATATATATATAGGTATATTTCTTATTATTGATTTTGGCTTTTTAGCTGCTCCTGCTTGGTATGTTTCGAGAAAGGGACGGATATGCGGGATGTAGAATGTGGGATTTATGATTCTGGGAGGAAGATAGGTAGGTAGAAAAGGTTGATGAGGTGGGTAGTATTCTACTTCGCTGGAGGAGGAGAAAAGGTGAAGCTTTTATATATCCCTCTGCCTATAGCTCTACATTCCGAATGACAATGGCACACCTTTGGGGCGTATCATTTCTAATAGACCAGGACAGGACGTCATACCATACCTCTCCTGTCCGCTCCTCCCCTGGTAGAGGTTCTCACGAAAGTCTTCCCAATGATCTATACCATTTTCGTCGAACAAAGAAAGAAAATGATGTCAAAAGCCGCCTATATAGGTGGCCGCATAGTTACTGCGACAAGAGCTACCCTAGCTGTTTAATTTGTTTCTTGCTTGGTGTCTGCAGAAAAATTTCGGCAAAATGACCAGGCGATCTCATCTGTTCATAAAAAATTATCAACAGAGAGAGTCTAAGATTGTTAGGATACTAAGTTAGAAAAACATCGTGCCACAGAAAGGATGAAAACCAATCACTTCCTGCATCAAATAGCATTGTGGCAGAGAAGGCATTTCTCTACTCCATGCTCTCGAGAGAGCCAAAGGCCAGGGATTCTGAACCTCATGCTGGGTGTTACGCGCATGCATTCCCTTCTTCAAAAATGTAGATTTTGGTGTCCTTGATGCAAAATTTCTTTCATGCGTGTATCGATGGGCCGTCTCCCAGCACATTCTGAAGTGGTCTCAATAATTTCATAGAACACGACCAATGCATGTACATACTTGGAAGCATTGATACATTGGAAGCTAGATTTTTGGTAAGAGGATGGATGGGCCATTGTACATGTACATGTACTCTCCTGATCTGTATCGAAATTTCCACGCCAAGCAACAGACACCGAAGAGCCTCGGACACCCAGATGGATAAAGCATGGAGGATTCTTCCTTTTCTCTCGTTGGTGCGGCTTGTGTCCGCAGGAATGGCAGACTAACCTAGTATTCATTATTAGATGCACCGAACTTGCCCGAACTCTGCATGATGGCGCGATTTCCATAAGCATGAAAAGATACCCCTCTATCAACATCCAGGCTAAGTGCAAAAAGGAGGGGTTATACTAAAATGGACGGCAGGGCCAGATGGCTCCAAGGGATCTAGTGCCAGCACCCTAACGCAGTTAATTTGAGTACAGTACGCTGTTAAGTGAAGACCCTTGAAACGGCTGAAATGCTGTAGCCTAGTAAGTGGGACGTAGCGCGATGACTTGCAAGTTGCAATCCATTCTGATGCTCGCTTATTGGGTTGTAGAAGCATTGGTCTTGATCACGACACTGACAACGTTGACACAACGGAGCATCCGGGGGGGTTTCACAGCTTCTAGCTGCGAATCCTGCGGCACATCTCAGTGTGTCTCGCCTGTTCCAGCCTTACGCAGTAATCGATTGCAATAATAAGTTACACGGGTGCGGGGTTGATGGTTTTCTAGTCGTAGCCAGGGTGTACGTACGTCGTGCCTAACCACACAACCACCACCTCACCTCCGGTGCCGGGTCAAGGTGGGCAGGGGCGGCTGATGAATAGATTATTTAAATAATAAAGGGAAACAAAGCCATGCACTTCTCTGCTCGATACATGCCATGTTGGTGCAGTGGTACACAACACAACTTCTCACCTTCCTCTGAAATCTGAGGTTCCCATAAATTCAAGTGGCGGTCAGAATCAGTTATGGCAGAGAGCGATGTAGATATCATCGTTGTAGGCGGTGAGTTCTCAAGCGCGTTCCTTTCACGCTCTCAAGAAATCCCCAATTAACTATTTTTGTTTAGGGGGAACAACGGGGTTGATTACTGCGGGTCGTCTGGCTCAAGCCAAACCAGACCTCTCGATCCTGGTGATCGAGGCGGGGATCAATTCTCGGAATAACCCGATGGTGGTCAACCCGGCGATATACCTTTCGAACATCGCGCCAGACTCAACCACCGCGAAGTTCTACAAATCCAAGGCCAGCGATTACCTCGGAGGACGAGAGGCTATTGTCCCGATTGGCAACATTCTTGGGGGAGGCAGCTCCATCAACTTCATGGTCTATACCAGGGCCCAAGAAATAGATTATGATGATTGGAATACAGAAGGTTGGACGGGAAAGGACATGATACCGTTCATCAAGAAAGTAGGTACATTACATGTACATGTACAATGCAATAGTTCGAAATGCTACTCCTGCTATACCTTGAAATCCAATTCTCATGTCTAATACTTATACGCTTGTTCGTCCTTTCAGATCGAGAGATTCCAAGATACAGACCCTGAAATAGATAAATCCATCCATGGTTACAACGGGGAGCTGAGCGTCTCCGCAGGAGGAACCTATGTGCAGGCCTCGTTCCAGAAAGATTTCTTCAAAGCATGCGAGGATATTGGAATCAAGAAGGTCCCAGATGTACAAGATTTCAAAACAGCGAATGCAGTTGGCGTCAGTCCCCCTTCCTTCAGTGGTAGATACGAACTTTTGTTAACCCGTGTAGCGATGGAACATGTGGATCGATGAGAAAACTGGCTTGCGGCAAGACGTGCCTCACAATTTCCTCTTCCCCATCCTAGACGCAGGGAACACGAAGCTCAAGGTCCTCACAGACTCGACGGTAGTAAGGGTCCTGTTTGATGAATCTAACCGGGCCAACGGCGTCGAATACGTACCTACCGGGGCAGATCCTTCCACAGCACCGATTATAGCACACGCGAAGCAGCTTGTTTTAGTTGCAGCCAATGCGCTGGGTACTCCCCAGGTCTTGCAAAGGTCTGGAATCGGGAATAAATCGAAACTTGAGGCGTTAGGTATTCCAGTGGTGTCTGATTTGAATGGAGTTGGGAGCAACTATCAGGATCACCATGGTGTCTTCTACTCATACTCCTCCAAAGCGACAGCGGAGGAAACACTGGATGGCCTACTCACGGGCCGCCTCCCCCTCGAACAAGCATTGTTGCTAAAGGCATCCAACCCCACCCGCCATTTGCTTGGATGGAATGGCCTTGACTGCTTCGGAAAGCTTCGACCCTCAGAAACGGAAGTAAATGAGTTTGGCACAGCGTTACAGGAAGCGTGGGATAAGGATTTCCGTCACAGAGAAACTAGGCCCTTAATGCTTATGTGCGCAATCGCGGCAAATCTAGCACGAAAGGGACCACCAGTCGAGGGGCAATATTTCTCTATGGTTTCATATACCGCATATCCTTACTCACGGGGGTCAATCCACATTACGGGCAAATCCGTCACCGATACTCCAGAGTTTGATGCCGGTTTTCTCAATCATCCCGCAGACATAATGAAGCTAGTATGGGGATATAAGAAACAACGAGAAATCGCGCGCAGGCTACCATATTACAACGGCCCGCACCACGTTGGTCATCCGGCCTTTCCTCCAAGATCAAAGGCAGACCCTGAGGTAGTGGACGCGGCTTCTAAGGCGAAGGGATACCCAGTGCCGATAGAATACTCAGAAGCAGACAATAAAGCCATCGAAGAGTGCATCCGTGAGAATCTCACCACCACATGGCATAGTATGAGCACGTGTGCAATGAAACCACGGGAGGACGGAGGAGTAGTAGACAAAGACTTGAATGTCTATGGTGTTAAAAACCTAAAAGTCGTCGGTAAGTCTTTTAGGCTTTGATTTTCTTGATATAATTTTGTTTTCCCCCTAGTATACATATTGCTGATGAATGGCTGGCTCCCATAGATCTCTCGATATGCCCAAGCAATGTAGCAGCAAACACCTACTCGACTGCACTTGCTATTGGAGAGAAAGCCGCGAGCATCATTGCGAGAGAGCTAGGTATCCCTTACACCGTCTAATTCGCGTGCTCAAGGTCTACTTTATATGAATTAAGGGTGTAGCCGGTGAAGCGACCAACAATGCATTCGTCAGGAACCATTGAGATGAAATTGAATTACAGTGCTTAGTCCTGGTCAGCCTCAACATTAATTCAGTTAGTTCAATTCACACGTTGAAACTTTAAATATGCTTAAGTTACTCGGTAACTATCTATAAATATTCAAAAGCTTCGATGATACAACATGGTTGATAGGCGTCAACCCAGGGCTATCTCCACGCGGCCAAGAGCCACTATTATTCTTTTAGGAAGAGAATACTCCGTACATCTCTTGATGTGCAAAAGCTTCACGAACTCAGAGCCGCCAACAGCGAACTACTGCGTAAGGCGATCTTCTACCACCTCTGATTAGTAATTCTGGTTTGCTCGTAAAAGCGGGGATGGTTAAGTTAACCTGGTTAGTTACTTTACCTTGGTAACTAAAGTTAAAGAAACCAGTATATATGCTGCCAACGCACCCAAACTAACCCAGAGCAAGAAAATCAATATCTTCCAGAGATAGATGTGCATTTTCCATTCTTGGTGAACCCCTAGGTCTTTCTCCATAAACCATGGATGCGAAACTCAATTTCAGCACCCTCAAGGCGCTGGCGGCACGCGTCCCGCTTCTGCTAAAGGTAACCGTTTTGCATGTTTTGAAGCGCTCTCCCGCTGCTGGCAAGCAGGACTTGCAGGTGGAGCTCACAGTCAACTTGATCCGGTCATTTATCTCGTTTGATTACCCATTGGGCAAAACGCAGAGGAGCACCTTGAAGGATCCCGGCATCAAAGGCCCAATGTGGGTGTCGAAAATTAAAATGCCTAAGCCCGCTGAATCCTCTGTTCTGCAGTCTTTGATCAAGGCTATTGAACATCATAAGGAGGGCCATGAAACGTATGATGTACCCCAGCTGGCCGATGTCGAGGCGGAGTGGACGGGGCACCGGAGCGGAGTGAATGCCAAGGCTCCGCAGCCAGATGTCTCCGAAGCGGAGAAGTATAAATCTATGATGGCGGAGGTTAAGGAGGATGTTACGATTCTCTATTTTCATGGCGGCGCATATTAGTAGGCCCAATTTTCTGTTTTGATTGTAATCCTTCATGGGCAAGATGAACTTAACGGTTAACCCATATGCACAGTTTGATGGACCCATGCTCGCATCGTCCAACAACGGCCAGACTGGCTAAGGAAACGGGCGGGCGCTGTCTCTCTGTCCGCTACAGACTGGCTCCCCAGAACCCGTTCCCAGCAGCCCTCCTTGATGCGCTGGTAGCCTATCTATATCTCCTCTCCCCGCCTGAAGGATCTCTGCACACCCCCGTCCCTGCGAACAAAATTGTATTCGCCGGCGATTCAGCCGGCGGCGGACTCTCTCTCGCACTTCTACAGACCATCCTTACAATCCGCCATATGTCCCCTAACCCAACAATCCAGTTTCACGGGAAGGACGTACCCCTCGAGCTTCCCGCAGGCGTCGCGACATCAAGCCCGTTCGGCGACATTACACTCTCCCTGCCATCGACCAGCAAGAACCTCCATCTAGACTACCTTATCCCAATCCACGACCCGAATCGAGAATTCAAACCAATGCCTTTCCCCGACGACGCTTTCTGGCCCACATCCCCACCACGCGCCGAGCTATACGCCAACGCAGACATCCTAACCCACCCCTTCGTCTCACCCCTAAGCGGGCCGAAGGAGATATGGAAAGACGCCCCACCGATATTCATCACCATCGGCGAAGAGCTGATCGAAGACGACGGCACGTACCTGGCGAAAAAAGTGCATGAGGCCGGCGGCACGGCCGTCCTCGAACGATTCGACGGCATGCCGCATTGCTTCGCGCTCATCTTTGGCGATTCTGCGGCTGGGAAGCGGTGCTATCGCGGCTGGGCAGATTTTTGTCTTGATGCTGTGCATGGTCGTGTGAAGCGGACGGGGCAGGCGCTGTATATTCATCGCGATGGCCGGGGGACGGTAACGAAGGAGCTGGGCGAGATTGGGTCGTTGAGTTTGGAGGAGGTGCAGCGGATGATAGATGCGGGGAGGGATTGGAGGGTTAAGGGGGAGGCCGCCCTTGTGAAGGCGTGGGAGCAGAGTCAGAATAAGGCGAAGTTGTAGGTTGGCCATGATAGATGGATGGGGCAGTTTATTGCTTTCTCACTTGCTCTTGTTGGACTAGTTGTACTGTACATACTTTAGATGAAGATGTATATATCAGGTCGGTCAGATGGTAATCTCGGCTCAACAGGGACTTCTGTAATTTTTAATAATATATATGTATATAGATATATTCTCCCTATATTCCTTCTGTTCAAGGAATGCCATCTTTGCCCTAGGGAAACCTATTTATGCGTTAGATTCAACAAACAGGTATCATTTCCACTAACTAGGCCGAAGACCCATTTTCATACTTCGTGTGGGAGCCATCTCAAATCAGATTTGATTGGAAGGCAATAGTAACAAGCAGGTAAACTTTCACGCATGGCGAATCAAAGTGTCTATTTAATGCTTTTGATAAAGGATTGAATCTTGTATCCCACACACCAACTAATGTCGCTGAAAGAGCAAAACAATACCTAGGTAGGTCTGAACATGGGCATCAATGAAACGTCGTAGAGTTGGATATGAAGTCAAGTCCTAACCAGCCGAGTTCTGCCCTTGTTGATAGGAGATGTTGGATACATTGAAGTATAGCATAAAATCTCAGAGAGAAAAAAACCGGGTATATCCAATTAGGAGTTTTAGACACCTCTGAGATGAATAGATTGAGTTTTTTTTAATGTTCCAACCTCACTTTGAAAACGCGGGACCCCCCAATAGACCTTAGATACAAGTATATGTACATGTACAAAAGTAGATGCAATATTTTAGCAACAAAAAATTATAAATCCCAGTGCAATGTTAACAATATGAAAACAATTAAATGTTAAAAGAAAAGCAGACGGGGGAATCTCGGACGTAATACAATATAAAAGGAGTGAGGTTGAATGAAACCGAAATAATGAGAGCAATGCATTCGCAAGAAGGTTCGAGGTGAGGTTGTGCTTTGCAAAGCTATCGGAAAGAGAAAATATATGCGTAGGATATCAAAGAGCTCCGTCCGCATCGAGTCTCATATATGCAGTTTGTGGATTCCGGTTTCTCCCTTGTAAATTGCAATGGCAGGAAACTTTTCAAAAAACAGAAAATTCAAATCCCAAAAAACACAGAACTCATTTCCTCGAACCCTGGGAATAATACCCATCGAGCTCGGACAATGGGGGATTATTAGGAGCTGGCAATTCGACTGGTACATCACCCGTCTTTCTTGTTTGGCCGTAGGTCGGGTAAGCCGCTGGGTTCATTTGTAATCGGTTCTTTTGCTGTCGCTTGCGCCAGGCAAAAAATGCAATCAAAAAGAGGAAGACTACTCCGAACGCAACGCCGAATCCTACACCAAATTTGGCTGGTTGGGACAATCCAGACGATGCTGGTTGCGGATTATCGGCAGATGAGGTCGCCGCCGGTGGGCTGGTGGTTATTGAGCCGGTTATTGACCCGTCGGTAGGTACGGCGGTGGTGATGATGGCTGATGGTTCTGTGCTAGAGCTTGTTGGCTCGGGCATGGTTTCGTTCGCGCGAGATTTAATTGTTCCATCGTCGTTCAGGAAAAAGCCACGCTTGTCGACGCAGCAGGTTGCATCTTTGACGCAGCAGTAACTGCCGTCTGCACATATATTGACTCGTGGAAGGAATCCAGACGAATCCTCTGTTGATTTTGGGGAATTTTAGCAAACGAAACTCTCATGTGCAGGTAAAGAGGAGATATATTTCTATATAAATATATCTTGGTGCTTCCATTTTCTCATAGATCGCTACGGTCGACTCACCCTCTATACAGACTTTGGCACAGTTGCCGTTCCAAGGGTAGACACTGCATGGCGCGCGGATGAGAGTATCTGGGTCGTTGTTGGAGGAGCACAACCGATCCGGTCGGCATTGCTCAGTAGTCTGACAGCAAGAATCGGAATCTGGGCATTTCGTATTGTTGCCAAACTGATTACCCGCAGAACCGAAGCATACTATCTTCCGTTGGCGGCTCATTTTTTATGTGTCAACTGGAAAATGGGGAGGAGGATGTGGGAAGTGTTTCGTGTGAGGAACAGCTAACTATTATTCTTCTGAACGAAGAAAAGTCCTTGAACGAGGACCATATCAAGCAGCCACCCATTATTCATGATTAACTAAGAAAACAACGCTTTTGGGGTCCAAATATCACATTATTGCCAAATTTGATTTGCAGGGGTTTCGGACTCTTCATGGTTGGACTGCAGGGAACGAAAAACAGTTGGCCCGACCCCAACCTCTCTTATTAGTACTCTGCACTCTGTAACGCCCGTAGACAGGCCATCAGCCCATGCCAATTGCCAAACCAACCAGTCGTGTTGGCTTCTGGGGAACCCGGAAGCCCCAAGCGGCGCCAATGGTTCAAGAGACCCATGCTGGGCAGCTGGCTGGCGGGGTCTGGCGCAGCGGATACCTTCTTCAGGCTTAGCACAAGTCGTCGTGCGCGAGTATTTATTTCTTCACAACGGAGCGGGGCTGTAATAACTAGAGGTTATTCAAATACACAGAATGTCCCTTTCTGTTGCAAATGTGGAGCAGATGTTGAGAGTCTGTTATGTTTGTTGTTGGATGCTGTAGCACAGTACTCCGTAGTACGGAGTAGCATGAACCGTCAACTTCAACAACGCAACCCTCGATTTCCAGCCTTATCAGGGCATGAGAAGCGACAAGGGGTTTTTTGGATCTAGCCAGCCTTGAAGCGCGTCTGGAAGAGCTGGCTGGTTTGCTCGGAGTGAGCGGACGAGCCTTGGAGACGTAGGGCTGCATCGCTCCAGCCTGGGCTAGAAAGTTCGGAATAATACTATGCGTAATGCTGTCTGCACTCTTATTATAGTCTTCATTAAACCCTTCAATTCGGCGTTCGCTAACTAACTACCAGTTAGCGCTTATAACGGCTGACGACGTGGTAGCAATTATCCTCCTTACCCTCCCTGATCCGCCCTTCAATGGCACAGTACTCCGTAGAGTGTCAATAATCGCGATCAGTGTGCTCCTCGCGGTTCGGAAGACTGTTTAGCCACATTTACATACGCTGTAGTAAAAAAGTTAGAGGTGAGGGTTTCTTTACGTGGGGCCGATCCAGGATCCAGTACAGTAGTTACTCCGTAGCATCCTTCCAAATCTCAATGCGCGATGGGGGAAGAATTGTCCCCCCCAGCGCTTACAGCTCTTGGAGGCTTCCGTGGCGGGAATCGGAGGGGAACATGCGAATTATATAAAGTTTTTAAGTATAACTAGTCATATTCAGTATTCACCAGTATACTGGTATTGGTATCTCGAGCTACTCTTTAATATATATAGTAAGGCATGAATTGCCCTTTGCAAATCAAAGGGATGTGGCAAAAAAAGGAAAAAGAGCTCCGGGTCCAGAGCATTGCGTGTGCTCTAAAACTGCTGACTCCCGCTTCGTATAAAAAAACGCCAAAAATAAAAATAGAGAACCCCCGAAAACCAACAAGGGTCTTCAAAGAATACGGCTTGGCCCCCCCACCACCCAAGCCTCCACGGGACAGAACAAATATCTTAAAACTCAAATTTCAGAACTATTAAATGACTATACAAATTCATCCTGCATCATCCCCATATCGGATTCAAACAATTCAAAATTCGGAGCATGTGCGGGTATGTTAGTGTGCTGGTAATCTACAACCGGCCACTCGCCACCAGGAGGGCTGTCGAAAAATCCGTCCCAGAGACCCAGGAGCTGTGCTATGAATCGGAATCCCGCAACCAGGATTGTCCACACAGGGTTCAATATAACTGAGAGGTGCGACCAGCGCCAGAGCATGGTTGGTATAACCAGAGGCATCCGCGGCGCGTTAGGATCGAGACAATTCCGCTCGCACGTCGCGGCATATAGTGGATGGCAGTAATAGTCACACATAACCAGTTCCGCCAAGTACCAGGTGAAAAATCCGAGCACGATCCAGCTAAGGCGTGTGGGGCGAAGGCGATTGGTGTCTGGGTGACGATACCAGAGTCGAGGTAAGGGAAACGTGACGTAGTGACGGCCATCGCTATGGAGGTCACAGATGTCACAGGAGGAATCTGTATGGCGGTGGTGTGGTTTCTTGCTTTGCTTGGTAGTCCGCGATAATAAAATGCTGGCGTCCTTGGCGATTTGGCGTTCGAGGCTTGTTAGTCCTGTCTGGGTTGCATTGATACTCCGAACAAGAGATTGGAGTTTTTTATTCAACCGTTCAACGACGGCGTCGTCTGTCTGATCAGAGGCTTTGTCCTTGGCCTCATCCTCCTTCTCATCCTCCTCCCCCTCTTCCTCGTTGCTTTCAGACTTGATAAAGGGCTTAGAATCTAATATAGTTGAGTTCTCGTCAAGCAACTCTTGTAACGAGTCAATGGTGCTTTCCCCAAGCAATAGTCCAGGATTTTCGGATTTCGCGTCCTCAATCACCGCCTCCAACGCACTCCGCGGTAATTTGGGCTTCTTTAATGGTTTTGAAGAAGCTCGCTTCGTCTTCGGTTTGGGCCTTGCATCTTCCTGCGGTTCTGGCGGCGGTTTTTCCGGCGGTGGGTTTTCTTCCGGCGGCTTTTCTGGCCGGCGCTTTGCTGTCGCTGCTAAACGTCTGTTTCTGGGATGGTTAGGAGCCGCCACGGCACTCGGGGAATTAATTTCAAGAGAAGGATCTCGTGGGGGTTCAGCGGTACGATCCGGTGCCGGAGTATCTATCCATGCACCAGTCACCACTGGTGTTTTAACGTTGAGGAGAGTGGTATCAGCTGGGGTCTGCTCTGGCGTGCTGGCTACACTTGGACTTTCTCTTCTCGAAAGTGTTCGTAAAAGTTCCTGTGGGTCGTTTTTAGATAAATGTCTCTGCCTTTCGCGATCTGTCTCTCGATATATAGTAACGGGAGAATTCGGTATAGGGTCTCCCTCTATTGAAAATCGGACCTGCTCCTGCGGCGCCCTCCTTTCGGTGCCCCCTAACCTATTTTCCACCACCGGTTTGTTTATGAAATTTTCAATCTCGTTCCTTGCCGGTGGATTGTTTCGCACAGGCGGACTACTAGAAATCTGTAACGACCTAGCAGTAAAATCGATATCATGCTCTAGTGCTTGGTCCGTTGACTGCGCAGTCCCCTCATCAACGTGATTATTCCCATTGGGTCGACTAGCTTTGTTCAGCCAATCCTTGGACACCCGCCCGCGCAAACCCCATGTCTTTGGAACGTTGGGTGAAGGTTCTACATCTTCGCGAAGCGCTTCCTCTTCATTCCGACGTTGTAGATTTTCAAACGACAGGGCAGCTTTGAGCCCGACCTTAGCTTTGCTGAAAACCGGGGATTCTCGCTGTGTTACACGCTTCAGCCGGGCTTGATCCATAGCATGTTGAGCAGGTTTTTGCCGCAGCGACTCGTCTGAAATATCGTTGAAATTAAGACTGGAGTCATTGGTATCACCGGTGCTAGCATAATCGTCTTCACGTCGCGTCGCGTTAGGGCTCGGGGACGGGCTTCGTGTCCGATCGAGTCTTCCAAGATCGTAGGAAGGGTCGTAATTGTCCTGAGCGACATATTCAGCCAGGTCGTCCGCGTCGTGAATCTGCTGATAAGTTTCGATCAGTTCGTCCGGAGGGGGACTTGAAACCTCCGCCATTAGCGACGGTCCGGAGATTTTCCTCTCCCTCCCGATCAGCCGTCTTGGAGGGGTTTTCACTTCATGGTCATTGTTGGCGGGCGCGGGTGGGCTGTCAGCAGCAGCAGCCTGGAATGCGCCTTTCAGCGTCCTGGTATTGCTAAACGTGATATGGGATTGAGCGCCATTCCTGGGACTTAAAGTAGGAATTCGCGACTGGTAGGCCATGTTCTGCGCCTGGCCATTTCGCTGCGGTCGTCGAAATCGAAGGTCGTCATTGTCGCGATCTTGCGAGTCGGGAGGATGGGCGGTGTGGTCGCCGGTAGACATAGCTTGTGTTGGACTAGTCCCGAAATTCCATCATATGCAGCGCCTGCATAGCGCCAGATGGCTATAGCATTTGACGCATTCCTTTTTTATATATCTCGAGTTCGGAGGTGGAAGGCTGGGGGGTGTGTGTTGTTCGGATTCCAAGATCGCGTCTGCTTGAAGGCGGAATGACATGGGAGTCCCAAAACGGACTAGCTCTGGATCTCGGCCTCCGCCATTGAGTTTCGAGAAAGAAACATCTTGGAAGCTTTTTTGAGAGCTGAAAGCCGGACTTGATTGACAGCAGCCAGCTAGTTGTTCATTCTTTATCTATTGTCTTTTCAATTGGCCTCCATTGTAGAAATATATCTTCGGGATGTATTAATAACTGCCAGTGGGCTTTGTCTATATCCGCATATTACTCTGCTCTATTCTTCTATGTGAGTGTCAACTTAGGCTTGCTCTAGCTCGCCAAACTTACAATTTTCTAGGATAAATCCCACGGCATCTGGGTATCGGGATGACGCTTTACCCGTTCACAGGACTTAAATTTTGAACCCAATCGTAACCCCTGAGAAGGGGTTGAAAAAAATCCGTCCCGGAACTAGCAACGCTGAAGGAGAGTTAACGTAAATACTCCGTACTTATAAGGACGGAACGAAAAGTGGAAAACAAAATATGGCCAAACCCGCGAAAGCTGCCTCAAATAATAAAAGACAAGGAGCATATACTGCTAAACCCTCGACCTCATATTCAAAAACAACAAAACCCTCAACCCCGCCGGCCCCTTTCACTAAAGCACCGTCGTCACTCAGTCAATTCCTAGCACCCCTCTCCCCAAAACATGTCTACCTCGTCCACCTAGACAACCACCCACAAAAACACAAGCGCCAAATCTTCCTCCTACCCCTCTTCCTAAACATCGCCATCCTAGCCCTAATCCTCTTAAGAGTCTACACAGGCTACCCAACCTACATCGACCTCCTCGCCTTGATTCTCGGGCACGAAAGCCCCGCCCGAGTCAACACCTCATCCGCAAGCTGGACCTATCTCCTCACAACCCTCCTCCGCCGAACCCTGACATTCCTCCTCGATTACCTCCTCCTCGCCATCCTCCTCCCCTGGCCCGTCCGCTTCGTTCTCGGCCCCGCGCACTGGCGGCGCAAGCTCGGCTTCCAGGGCTGCGAAGTCATCGTGCGGAAGAGCAGGGCGTCATGGAGCGATGAGCTGAAACCTCTCTCCTGGATCCGGGAAGACGACGAGACCATCAAGACCAGGGTTATTCCCGCCGTGACGCCGCAGCGGCTGCTGAAGACGGGATATTTGCTCATCGATGCGGACTGGGACCTGGATTTCGCGGCCATGGTCAAGGCGCATGAGCTTGTTGCGGAGGGGGCGCTGGCGGTTGACGACTTTAAGACTGCGGTGCTTGTTCATGGGGGCGGGGCGGAAGGAAATGATGGTTTGCAGTGGTTGATATGGAGGGTGGACGAGGAGAAACGGGGCGGCGCGCCGGGGAAACAACCAGACGGAGGAAGACTCTCTAATACCCAGCGGGACAAGATTATCATGTTCCACGAGAAGCTGGCGTCGATGGGGAAGGAGGACTTGTTCTTCCGTTGGGTGGAGTTGATTCAGTATGAGAGTACCCAACCTGGCGGGTTCACGCCGGAAAGACAACAGAAGACCATGAAAGAGACGCAGCAGTTGTTTGAGGACCAAGGGGTTGATTTTGAGAAATTCTGGGCGGATGTTGGAGGGATGGAGGGGATAGATATGTAAATAGCTTTTGGGTGAGGTGTACTGTGGGATACAATGTTCCTCGTTCTTCTTTTCCCCCCTTTACAATACACAACTTGCATAAGGGCCGGTCATGGAAAACGTGCTTCCATTTATAATCCCGAAAAGTTTTACATAACGTAAACTGAGACAGATATTTCAATTGCAATCTCATCATTAGCCATCCAACATTGCGTCACATGGGGAAACTGCTGTAGCTACTACTATGGGTATGGTATATATGTTCAAAGCGCACGCAACAGATAAAATATGCAAAATTTGACAGGTAGCAGAAAATTGCAGAAATGATAATAAACACGTCAAACCCGCCCCCAAAGCTACGTAAGTCGGGATAGAGAGGAATGCAATTAATTGCAGAAAGAATCATGAAGAAATGATGAATAAGCTGAAAAAAAGACCAACAAGAATTTAAAACCTCGTCAGCAGGCAGACAGCTCCACGGTGATAAAATAATAATGAAAATTCCAGTATTATATTAATAAATAGTACCAAAAGAGATTTTTTTTCCCCTATCCCCCCCCTTTCTCCGTGTCACGATCACGCTGTGCAAAAAATATGAGAAAAATCACAATCAATCATCACTCATGTGGTTTCGTTGTTTCGCCGCTGTTGGGCCGCTTAAATAGAGCACAGAAAAAAAAAATTTCGTCATGTCATATCTTCATAAGATAAAAAAGGAATTGCATGTTTGGGGACATATCACGCTTTAGCTTAAGCAGAGAGATAGGTCGTGGGCATCGTTGGGCTCGTGAGGGTATATTTTTTTCTTTCTTCCCGTTTTTGGTTTTCTCCCTTTTTTCGCATTCATGGGAAAGGTCGACCGGCATATCGGAAAGAGGTTTGGTTTTATGTCGTGGAAAGTTTTGGAGTAAGTTGTTGGAGTAGAGAAGCAGTAATTAGTGTGCAACTAACGACCACTTAAAATAATCGTAGCGTGGGGAATGAGAAAAACCGGCCGTCAGAAGTTATCTGTATATTTTGTGCCGCTCGCTTACGGTGCGGAGTATGCGTAGAAATTAATAGTTGAAAGGGTACGTTGGCTGTATGTAAGCACGCATTTGGCGTGAGCAGGCCGAATCATGTCAATAATAGCGCCTCATTGATACCGAGACTGGTGCCGAAGGATAGTAATCTCAGACTCAAAGGCTTCCGCATCTAGCAAACCGGGATGAAAAAAAATAGTAAGTAAACCTGCAACTCTACAATGCAAGGCTTGGATAAAGGCACGGGATAGAGAAAAATATATCAATGCAAAGTCATCATCTAAGAACGACTTAAAACTTAAACCCCACAAGAGATGAAGATTCGGCGTCGACACACTGACGACCACGATGGGGAAGATACATAAAAATAAAAATAAAATAAACCAAATACAGATAAAATATTCAGGGCACTCACCAATTTCATGCGCAAACGTAAGCACATGCTCCTGATGCCGCGTCATACGAGGCCTATATTTATCCCGCTGGATGAAAATTGCACGGTCGAGATTGGGGAGGATGATTGTTTTACGGTCCACACGTCGCATCCACGACTTTGACCGTACATAATGGTGTATAAAAGCCGTCCATACGGGAACGCTGCCGTTTCGGAAAATTGATTTAGCCCGCTGATATTTCGCATCTTCTTCAATCCAGTGCATGGGATTTTGGGTTTGGGGGGGGGGGTGGGGGGGTAGGGTGGGTTTAGAGGAGGTTTGGCGCATTGCAGCTCAGAATATATGAAAATGTGCCGATCTATCTAGATGGATAGGGCACAAAAGAAGTTGACTTACTCCGCCATTTCACCAGAGTGGATCGATGCCTGTAAACGGATGGCACCGGAAGGGTGATCCTGGAAAATACGAAGTGCGTGGAGGTAACTATCGTCGAGAATCCGGCTGTGCGCGTATTATATGAGTACGTACCAGGCCGCTTACAGGAGAGTACTAGTTTTGATGGGAAATATGTACATACCCGCCGTAGATTTCCCTTTCCTCGAGAGAAAAGGGGTCTGGAATCCTGCTTATTGGGCAACCGGAGTCTTGCCCTCGGAGTGCAATAAATGCACAATGAAACAACACCATTTCTAGACGGTTGGGTTAGACGCTGGAAAATAATATAACAACAGACGATGGCAGTAGAAATTTGGGGTGCCTCGCTTGCTTACTCTCGATGGTTTCAAATTCAAGACTCAACCAGGCCCGCAAACCTTGCCCGTCGGATGATTTCGTACACAGTAAGAGATAGGAGTCTTGACGCGAGAGAATAAGTACGTTCAATGGTAGTGTCGCATAAATTATCTTTGATGATGAACGGTGAACTTGACATAGGATCCGTGCACGATGATCACGATCTCGCAGGTAGAAGATGGCTGTCAAATTTGGCTTGAAATTCCTAGAAAGGTGTTGAGTAAGACAACTAAACTGGGAGGAAAATGTATAGCTTTCGTCCATTTTTTAAAAAAAGGGAAAGAAGAAAAGGAAAGAAAAGAAAAGAAAAGAAAAATGATTCATACTTACAGTCTAAACAACTCATCATAGTCCTTCTCAATCTGCGCCAGTGCATCTGGCATATCGAAATCGCCATGACATTTCGACCTGTGTAGGGGAAATCTTTAGTTCTGTAGGCTATCACCAATCTCCAAGGAAGGAATCAAAAACAAACTAACCCTTTGTTAGAAAAAGGCAACGGGGTCGCAGTTGTAGGGCGGCTAAACAACCCCACAGCCCAGTGATCAAATGGGTCAAGAAGCGAGAACGAATCGGTGCTGGTGGAATCCGTCGTGGATGGAGAATCTGGGGCTGCAAACGAAGAAATCGGGCTTTCAACCTCAAACCAACCAGGGGCATGTGGAGACGCCGTGCGGCCACCAGCTGGTCTTCGTCGTTCATATGATCGTTTCTGTGTTGGGGTTGTGGGCACAGGTGTTGGCTTGCGGAGTGCACTCTTCAATGGAGGAGTATTCGAACGGGGTCGCAATCCGAAAGGCGGGGGAGGGGGCGCGGGAGGGACTGGCGGTGCAATAGGTGCGGCGAGCATGGCGGATGCAAGAGTCGCGGATGGTCCAAGGGGAGTAGTGGACGGAGGGGGTCCAAAGGTACGACCGCCATGTGTGAAATTCGTCTGACGCCGCTGCTGAGTATCAACAGCGAATTGTCGATCCTGGGCCATACGAAGTGCGGTTATGGTTTGGCGGAGTTCAACGAGGGCGGCATGATCTCCACGTTCACTAGAATTGCAGATTGGGGGTAGGTAAATATATTATTTTCTGGTTCTTTGGTGGGAGTATATAATTGATTAATAGACCAAAAAAAGGACAAAAACTTACTTTTTAACAACTAGCATGATTTCTCCTAGCATCTGCTTATAGTATTGAAGCCGGGTCACGAGCGGGTACCCAGCTTCACGGTGGAAGTAATCGCGCAAATGGAACCATGTATGGCGAATATTTTGTTGCGTAGCCTGTGCCCGCCCACCATCGTCCATTGCAATAAACGCTTCATTGATCACCCCGGTGGTGTGACAAAGGCTCGCCTTGACAACCAACTCTATATCGTTGGCGACGTAGGCGAAGTTGGGTTTGAGCGGGGATTTTTGTAAAGTTTCCAGAGAGCGGAGGTTGGCGCTGATAGTAAAGAGCTCTGTGACTACGGAGGTGATATTGCCCGCGTCCTCCGGCACATGCACGATAAATTTGTCGAAGATGGTTGCGGCATTCTCCGCGTCCAGAGCGGGTTGGAGGAAATCCATACTGGCGCAGTCGAATAACGATCGATGTCAACGGCAGGCACCCATCACAGGCAAAGTATCATGGGAAGGGTGTATATACATCCGAACTTTTTGCGGTAGGACGCAAGTCAAAAAAGAGAACAAAATCTATGGGGAGAGTTTTAGTAGTTACAGGGTAAACAGGGACATAAAAAAAACAAGGCACTGTTTATTTCCGGACCACAACACCCTCTTCTTCTTCTTCTTCTTCTTCTTCTTCTTTTTCGGCAGCAGTACGGAGTACAGATTCAATAGATGTATAAACAAGAGAAAAAGAAATGGTGGAGAAGATAAATAGACGCGGCTCCGGCAGATCCCAGCGTGCGTGTGAGTTGGCATTCGAAGCCGCATTTGGACACTAGGCCTAATGTAGCCTAGCACTGCGCCTCATCGCAGAGCCCGCATTAGTCATCAGGACATTGCCCGGCTCGACTGACCCTCTCTATCTTACTCCAATCCATTCCACCACCACTGCATCTCCTTGCTCTGTTGCTTCTTGAGTGCTTGTTTGTTGGCCACTTCAAAAAGCTGCAAGATCCCTCTTTTCATCCAATAGAATTTTCATCTCTCCTTCCTCTTCAAGGCATCTGCTGAGAGAAAACAAATGATCCACAGACCAAACAAGACAGGCAGACAGACAGACAGACAGACAGACATAGAAGCCTGTAACCATCCACAGCCATCAATAATAGCAAGTGCGACAGCACACAGCACACCACAACAAAAAGCACAGCACAGAGCTTAGCTGAGGGTGGAAGGAATAGCCAAATCCCAAACAGATGAACAGATATATATATAACTGACAAATATACCCTTTGCTTGCCTTTTTGGAGCAGTCGCCCTGCCTGATGTCTTTTGAAAACCACACAAAGATGCAAGATGCAGCCTCATCTTTTTGTTTTGCTCAGAAGTGCAACAAGTACCCAGCAGGCATGTTATGATACTGCTATAACTAGATAGATACCGGAACCAATTGAAGGGCGATGAATGTCAATTCTCTGCCAACATCATACCTATATCATATCTATATCTATGCACATATATATATCTAGTGTGTTTTGTGTTTTGCAAGGTATTATTATGAGGAGGAAAATAGAAGGAATAGAAGTGCATGCATCCGGCGAAATATTTAAATCAGCATCAAAGAAAAAAAAATACCCCTTCTCACTTCTCCCTCCCTCTCTCCCCTCCCTCTTGTCCCACAACGATAATAGAAACAACCTACCTTTTCTCGACTAGCACATTCTAGAAGGTATTTCTATTATTGTTAACCAGATAACATTTATAAATAAAACTTTTTTATTTTTTATATAGTTATCGGGAAAATTTAAACTTTCCCCTCCATCCAAACCCCCACCCTTCCGCCCTGGCCCCTGGGCGCCGCGTGCCAGTGGGTGGTGGCAAAAGGCCCAAGGGCGAAATAGGCTCACCCCGTCCCCCGGATCCAGAGGACTATAGCATCATGCCCCTCTTCTACCATCCCATGGTGTTTTCGTTTTCGTTTCGGCGCCTCTCAGGGGGTGCTGGATGATAGATTATATATAGGCACTTTTGAGTTCAATTTATTAATCAATTAATTAGACAAGCGACGAGCAAGTACACACACATCAGAACTTAAAAAAATCGTAGATGGTAGATGGTAGAGGTCTGAGAGGGAAGGAGATGGTGCGGAATCGAAAGAATAAGGGTAAGAAAAAAAAAAAAAAAAAAAAAAAAAAAGAGAGAGAGAGGGATGGAATGAGATGAGATGACAAGAGAACTGTTCTCAACAGAGCTGCGGTGGTAACAGACAGGGAGCCTTGCCCCCTTTCTTTATCCCTATATTCTACTATCCACACACATACCCTTCCGTTTCTATGTCGCTGATGTGTGCTCGAGAGAGATTAAGCAACACATACAGCATTCAAGAAAAAAAAGAGGAAAAAGGAAACCGGGGAAAGCATATTTGTATTTCAAGCGGAGTGGAGGGAAATAGAAGTAGAGGTAAAAAAGAAGTATCAAGAAACACGAGTTGTGGTTGTGGAGGGAGAACAAAAAAAGGGAAGACAAAGTAATAAAATAAAATTAAGAACCCGATAAACCCCCCTTCATTAGAGTACCACAGAATAATAAACAGGAAAAACGGAAAAAAGAAAAAAAATCGAAGAACCATAAAATGGAATATAGGGAAGTGAAGTGAAACAAGGGAAAGAGAGAAAAAATCAAAGAAAGAACAAAGCCACAATTGACAGACCACCCGTCATTCCCATTTCCGATTCCCAGACAAGAAGAAGACGAAGAAGGAGCACAATATAGGAAGAAGCAGAGCCATTGGAAAACCGATTTAAAACATCAAGAGAACGTCAAAAAACAAATTAGTCCAGCAACGAGGCGTATCAAATAGAGAGCACACAGCGCGACAGAGCGAGCACACACAAGGCAGGAGTTAAGAAAAAGAAGTTCCCAAAGACGACAGACAACTACGATATAAAAACATATCAATCGCGTTCATATCGTGCCGGGGCCGTCCCTGCCTCGTTCACCTAGGAAGACTCGTCGTCGTCATCTTGCGCCTTGCGCCGGGCCTGTCAGCACATTCGGGGATTGGTATAAGGAGGGGGGAGGGGGGGGGATGGAGAAAGAAACAAAGATGGAGGGCATACATTATAGCTCGCCTTCTCGTCTTCGTAGCGTTTCTTGTCAGCGGCGGCTTTGGCTTCATAAGGGGCGCGCTGCTTCTCGTTCAAGGCCTTCCATCTCTCTCCGAGGACTTTGCCCACTTGGCCTGTGATAGGGAAATCATATTAGATACATAGTGCTTGCGATGCGACGCTTATTTATTGAATAGTGATTATAAATTTTGAAATTTTTTTCGCTTCGATTGACACATACCGAAAGAGATGCCAGGGTTTTCCTCGCGGACGTTGTCGCGCTGCTCGTTGGCGAAGAACATGTAGGCGGATAGACCACGCTTAGGAGCATTGGGATCTGTGAAGAAAATAAAGGGGGGAGGGTTGGTGCGTTAGAAATTGAAACAGTCCTAGAAGATCTGTGGGAGGGGGGCGTCCCGCAACGCGATGTTGGATGAATTTGCATACCCTTCTTCTTCTTCTCACCGCGAACCTTGGTTTTGCGGGTGGTCTTTTCCTTAGGCATGTTGGTGGTTGGTGTGTATGTGTGTGTTTTTAAGGGTGCTGCGCCGGTGCGACGTGATGTTAGTCAATTTCTTGCAGGCTTGAACTCTTGTTGCTAGAAGCACGACTCAAACCATGTCGCCACCATCAGAATCGAAGAAAAAACAGCGAATGGCGCGTAACCAGTGTGAAATTTTCAGGTAAACAGGTCTGTTGCGGGCATGAACCAGATATTGAAGGGGGTTGTTTGTGCTTGGGAGTATAGTCTGGGCCTTGCGCAGACTTGAGATGCGCGCGTGTCGTGTCGTGACAAAACACCAGCTGCGACGAGGACAGTGATGAACTTGAGAGATGAAGCTCATTTGACCCGTTTAGAGACGCGACTGCGCTCAATGGATGCAGGGTTTTCCATCCTTTTGCACCATGTTGGGTTCCGGAGCATAGCTAGCTCACAGGCAGCATTGCGATGGTGATGAACAAGGCATGATAGAAATAACAACAGGACAGCGACAATGGCTTATGAAAACAAAACAGGCGCGTGTAAACAGGACGATGAGAGGCATTGTGTTGAGAGAAATGAGTGTGTGGATAGAAGTAATGTTCGAGTGTTGAGGAAATAAATAAAAGAAGGAAGGAAAACCAAAATTTATTGTTAGGGGGGGACCTTTGACTTACTGCGAGTGTAGTACTTTTTTTTTTGTATGGGGGGGGAAATTTGCCGTTGCGTGGAGGGGGAAGAAATGGCAGCGAAAAGTTGTATGGGAGGAAATTTGGTGAGGGAGAACAGCAGCAGAGAGAGAGAAGAGACTGAGCTGAGGGAGAGCGAGAGTGAGAGCGAGAGCAGCGGCGAGGGAAAAAGCTGCTGAGAGGGCAGGACAAGGGCAGGGCAGGGCAGGGCAGGGCAGGGCAGGGCAGACAAGAGCGGCTGGCAGGACGGACACGACCAACCATTACCACCTGTTCTGGCTGTGAGGCAAAAAAACCGGGCGAGACCAAAGCACCAAGGAAACGCAGGGGAAAAAATGGGAGGGGGGCCCGCATCATCTGTCATTTACCCTCATGTTACCGCCGGATACCAGTCATACCACCAAATACCGCGATCCTACCTCCCTTCCCTTTACCGCTGTTTACCACCCATACACTGCCTTACCACGGCACCGCCAGCAGAATCAGGCAAGGGCTGCTTCTGTATTTCCCACTGAAATAACGTGTGCTCAGGTTGCCCAGGTGCGCGGTCGTGGTAATAGGCCCTGAAAGTGCGTGTCTGTTTGAAATCTCCTTCCAATTCCGGTTGATCACCCTGATAAACGCACCAGTTAAGTGCGTGCTGATTATCCTTACTACAGGTAGTTGATCAGGTTGAATCACATTGTTTTTCCTGCTTTTTTTCTCAGGTGAGCAATATTTAAAATTTCTAAATAATACATCTATCAGATACAATAAAATCACTAAGTATAAACACTCCTGTGGGCACGCCAGCCCAGAAGGTGGATTTTTATTCAAAGTGATGTACAGTCCACTCTGTACTTTTTTGTTGAAGCAACAACAGTGAGGAATAAATAAATACGACAGAGTAACCTACCTGTCCAGTACAAGAGTAATCCAGGCAGAAACATGTGCGCCTTGAGCTGTATGTGCGTGTGCACAATCAGCCAGCCCACCCAAAAAAATCAGATAGCCAGTTAGTTATCTTCTTATAATGTATTCGGGGTAATATCCTGTCTCATTCCTGAGCTGTATGATTCAAGGATTGCACAGTATCAAAAAAAAAAAAAAAAACCTTCTTTAGTGTATGACCGACCAGACCATCCATCAACCACAACCGCACCCCATACAGAACCATGAGCATATGATACTCGTAACATCTCTCCTCTCTCTCTGCAGCAGCAGGTACCCCTCCCCCAGTGTCCTGGACGACATAATCTCAATAAATTGAGCTTGCGTTGCTGGAAAATCATATTCCTATACCGCGCTCTCCGGGCTTTTGAAGGGTTCTTTTCTAGATACTCAAGACGCTCATATGAAGCTGATATCGGCGCTGGATGTTGGTAAGCAAACCGCCAGAGTACATGCAGGGACCGCAGAGAGGGCATGGGTAAAGAGGGGGGTTACAATACCATACCGATACAGGGTCGAGGTTGGTCTTACTATTGTGGGTTGCTCTTGAGGTTGATGAGGGGGAAAGAGTTGGTTGACCCGTATGGTAATACCGATATATGTTCCAGTTCGGATTTAAGCTGTGTGGATTTTTTTTTTACATGTAACTATACCATACGCAAGGCAGGCGGGCCCAGGAAGCTACATAGATGGCCAGTCAACATAGCGTGATCGCTGCAACACACCCCCCTTCCACTCTCAGCACAACAACACAATGGTATTTTACACCCTTACGGTATGTATGTATGTACGTATGTATGTATGTATGTATGTATGGTATGGATGCATCCACACGTGCACTCGGTCATCTTCCGCAGCCCAACCAACCTCACTGCGCTTGCCCTCGTCCCTCTGCATTCCTGTTCGATGCATACCAAAGCGGTTTACACGGGGAGGGACCACAAGGGGCATGGTGGAGGAGGGGGGGGTGCTTTATTAATTAATAATATACGGGGGTTTTTTGCAATGGGAACTTCCATTGACCACCAACCTTCCCTGCGCAGCAACGGAAGCTGGAGGTGTCGTGTACTTGAAACAAAGCACTCCTGACACAATAACCAAAGGTACCAGGTACATGTTGTACCTCCAAGGTACCCATTTTTTATTTACGGATCTCGTTGAAAATATCACTCAGTAGCCGCCTCCTTGTAAAAACGAGACATCTTATTAGTATTATAATGAATAATGCAAAAAAAAAAAAAAAAAAAAAAAAAAAAAAAAAGTTAAATAGAAAAAAAAAATCTCAAATGTGAATTTATTTATTTAGTTTTGCACCACGGCCACTCCCCTCCTTACGCAGCCTAGGAGCGGCATGCGAATACACCATGCTACACGATCTGATCTGAAGGGACTGCTCCAGGGTAGAGTTCACTTGGCAGACAGATATGGATAAGAAACCATGTCTCCCTCCGTTCGCGGGTATTGTGTGAAATGGGAAGGCGATCCATATACGGAAAAACCAGCAAAATAATGGCTTTGCTTCCCTGGACCGACCAGCTTACTGGTTTTAAAATAAAAAGAGTGACGTAGCCTAGCCTTTACTTGAACAAACAAATTCATATCCCGGATAGAAAATGAACTATAGCTCGTATTAATATTTGGGGCCTTGTTCTCTGTTTGTCGAGAGGTGTGAGGGCGATTGATGGTAACTCTATTATTGTCGTTCCAACTAATACCCCCAATCCATTTATCTTCATCCGTCCAATGCAAGCGGCTCTATGGCTTTCTCGCAACCTAATTATAATAACTAAGCGAACGAACCGATCTCCCTGCTTTCTTTCCCCTCTTGAATCGCCGCCCGGGGGGAGGTTTTGTAAATCATCACGTGACCTATATCAGAGGAGCACCCCTTGGAAGGGAAGACACGGGCAGTAGTGGGAGCTGATGAGCGAGGACGATATATCTCGTTAACTGAACTCGGATATGAGAGGGAACTAATCACATGCAATGTACTCCATTTTGGGGTCGCATAGTGGCGTATTAAGGGTAGAGTGTTCTGCCCCGGGATGTGAGTTCTCTCCTTCACATAGCATAGGAGACAAATTCAAACTACCAATCGTTGTTTTCTTGTAACGCTTTGACAATAGCTATCCTCCAGGGGTGGATATGTGGTGTCAGAAAAAGGGAAGGAAAAAAAAAGGGGGAAATTGCTGCATGATTACTCAGGTATCATCCAAGACATCGTCATCATCATCATCGTCGACCACCAGGTCGTGCAGCTGTTCATCCGCCGCCCAGTCAACGCCGCTCGCGACAATAGCAGCGCTGACGATGCGTTTGATAGTTACCCAGTTCGCTTTCTCGGCCTTAGTCTCCTTCTCCAGCGTTTCCAATTGAGATCTAAGCTTCTGGTCCGTTATCCCTTCTCTCCAGGACGTCTGCGCACTCGTGAGCCCGAGAAGGGTTTGCACTAGTTTCTGGTTCTTTGCGGTGCTGTGTATACTGTCCACTTTTGCGGTGGAGAGCGACTGTGTGCATGACGCGTGGGCACGGGAGAGGTTCGTGTAGATGAGTGATAGGAGATCACGGCGGTTGATCAGGTGTAGAAGGGCTCTGTATAATAAATATAGGAAGGGAGAGTTGAGAAGCCATATCACATAGAGAGCCAAATAAAATATACTTGGGAAGGTATATGGAGAGAGAGGCGCATACCTCTCCGCGGGAGAGCCGGATACGGCGTGGACTGATTGGATGCTTGGGTCCGCCATCAGAACTGCCTCAATAGCTTTCCTCTTGACGGAGTATGTGGATCGAGCCTCGAGCAACTCGCGTTCTGCTGTTGCCAGCTGTTCCTCAATATCAATATCGTCATCGTTTAATGCTGGTCCAGTATAGTCTATAGGGTTTTATATGTCAATATACCGTTTGATCGGATGATAAAGAGCTCCTTGGGTTTAAGTATAAAAACAAATACCTTGTGATAATAGGGCCGTCTCTAGCTCCTGTTCCTGGATGCGGTCATATAATTCTAAGACTTGTAATTCCTTGCGGGACAGCGATACGATATCCCGTGCACTCGTAGTTCCAGCGAGTTCCAGCAATGTCGCTTCATGAGGTTCTAGCTGGGTGTGTGGCCTAGCGGGCACCTCGTCTCCCGGTGCCATTGCGGGCGGAGTAGAGTCAGTTGTCAGTTGTGCAAGTGGTGCATCTTGTGATGGGACAGAAGAATGCGCGAAACTGGCTATTTTAACCAGTTAATAGTTTTATTCTGCGAGAATCACAGGCCCCTTTTTCCACCAAGTCCTGTCAGGCGTCGTCGTTCAAGCGATCAACTGACACCTGACAGACGCGCCGGCGGGTTTTTTTGGCTCTTGTGGTTTAAAAATTTACGGCGGTTGCCGGGGCGGGTTCCAAGTTGTTGGTCCAAGAGCCGAAAACGGCTAGACCGTGGTCCACACCTTTGCCGGCGACTGAAGAACCACTTCCAGAAAACTAAGGATGTGATGTGATCTAGATGGAGACCTCAGGTAGCGTTCAAAAATAGCAATTTGGATACCTGAACTCCCAAACTGCTCAATATCTCAGCTCTCCCTTCGTCGATGATCTCCCTTTATTCCGCCTACTGACTGCTATCCCTCTGAGGGCTGTTTGAGTGGCTTTGGAAGGGGGAATGTCGTTGCACATCTACATCGCTCATACGGGCGAGCAGCTGCTGGCTGATCCTGTTTCATTTGCCTCGTATGGTTTTATCCCTCTGCTATTGACTGATATATAATCAATATTTGGGAAATAGGTCCAGGAACTAATACCATTCTCAATAGACCGGATGCCTTGCGAACATGGATCTCCCGAAAGGTTTCAATACCGGCTCAGCGGCAGATATTGATGACTGCTCGTGGGAGGAATGTTCGGCCTCAGACGCTCGCGACGGAGGTAAGTAAAACCGCAATCCTCTATAGACAACCTGACAAATACGCTTTTAGCTAACTGCAATAGAACGAAATATTTGTTTACGATCGGCTCTATATAAGTGATGGAACTGTTAGAGATCTCCGCGAGATCGCGCCACCCGAACGTTTTATCCCGGAAAACCCTCCCGATACGCTCGCGGACCAGAATAACTTACAAGCATGGAGGAATCTCTACATGGCTCGAAGGGCATGGGCTCTAAATCTGGCGGCACAATGCGCTCCAATCAGCAGAGCTACAGATAACCAGATCGAACACACCCACGTTATCAACCGAGCAGTCGACGTTGCCTTGGAGAACCTGAAATCGCATGTTGGAAACCTAGAGCACAAGTTCCAGGAAGCCCAGTCATGGGCGAATGATCTATTGAAGGAACAACAGTTGGCTCTGGATAGCTGGCGGAGTGTACTGACGAATATCGAAGCTACCCCTGCGAATAAAGACTTCACGTTCCTACGACGGCCATCAACCCCGAAGAAAGCGAAAGAGCGTCAAACCGGCACTTTGCAAGACTATATCGATGTGGATCGGGTCAAAAGTGCTGCATCCCAAGTGTCGACTGTTTCTCAGCGTTTTGCCTGCCGCATGGATGAGATTGAGAAAGCCGTCCATGAGGTGGCTTCGGAAACGGAGTCGCTTGTTGAGGCGTCCCATCCATCACCTCAAGAAAATGCAAGTAGCCTACTTGAGGAGATCGAGACAATCGCCAAGAAAATAAGTTCTGATTACGAACATGTTCTGGCTCTTCCAAACACCCAGAAGACGTTATCGAGTGTATCACGGATGGCGTTGAATCATACAAAAGATCTCCTACCCTCTATGTTGGAGATGGGGTTGGAAATACAGACTGCCTTAGAGCACTCCATAAAACAACGGAACTTGGCGATGAAGGCTGCTGTTAGTCGTATGCAGAAAATCTCCAAAATAGAATCTCGATTAGCTGGCATCCAAACAGAGCTATCTAATTTGGATGTTGAAGGAGATGCCTTCGAAACCCTATACAAGGCTTCCCAATTGCCTCTCCTTTATGGGTCGGTTCTCATTGAGGCTGTCCGCCGCCGTGAATGGAGTGACAAAATGAAAAATGATTCTCTTAGTATCGCTGAAGAATTAGCAGTCTTTCGAGATGAAGAGCAACGTCGACGGAAAAAATGGATTAAAAATATAGGCTCCTTTGTCTCATTGCCCGAAGACGCCACCCCTGGTATAGAGATCAACTTGCAGGGCGGTCAGCAGCCTGAATGGCCTGAAGTTTCTCGCAAGGAAGTCGAAGCTTACATCGAAGAGCTAAAAACAAAGCCTGATACCAACTCTGCCGTTCAGGAGTTAACACAGCTATTGAAAGATTTGGACGCACCTACCCGACAGCAGAGACGAAAAGCAAAGGCATTTAAACATGGAAGCGTTTTTGATATCGGCAGAAGTTCGTTTCTTAACCGCGGGGATGATATGGTTCGGAGCTTGAAGGATGAAAAGACAAAGCTCGAGGACAGGCTAAAAGGTTCGGAGAGTCGTATTCGAAAATTAGAAGACCTTCTCCATCGACAAAGCCAGATGAGCCGACCTGTCAGCGCAAATTTTGGTTCTGATATCCCTATTTCCCCAGCCTCCCCTCGCCCAGATACACTCTCAAGAAGGTCATCTGTATCCTCCCGGCGTATGTCGTCAAACCAGACTCCGGAAGACAAGGCTTTGGTGCAACGTATTGTTAGTCTGGAGGCCGAACTGGTTGCAGAGAAAGAAAATGTGTCCAGACTCCAGAAGGAAGCACATTTGGACCGCCAGTCCAGTAGTGATAAAATACAAGAGGCCCAATCTACCAAGAAAGATTTAATGGAAAACTTGGAGGCGCAGCAGCGGGAATTTGAAGATGAAAGGAGGTTCCTAGAATCGGAGGCGAAATCGATCAAAATCAAGCTTGAAGAAACTGAAGAGGAGCTGGATAGAGTGATGGATGCCCGGGAGCACGAGAAGCTTGTTGCTGATGAACAAATAACCGCTCTACAGACAGAACTCGATAACCTGCGAAACGATACCTCCAAGGAGATAGCCACTCTCACGACTCAGGTCCAGGCTTTCCGGGAGGCTAGCGAAAAGGCCAACGCCCAGAATACATCGCTAAAAGCGAAACTTGAAGAGGTTGATCGAACTCAACGAGACTACGTAAACGCTCTACAAACCACTCACGCGCATTTATCTCCAGGTGGTTCTGCCCCTGGCGGTTTATCTTCTCTTATTAGAGCAATTGAAGTCCTGTCGGAAGGACTGGCTATCCACTCCAAAGGCGCTGATGAAGCATTTGCTAAAGCCAGTGAAGAAAACAAGTGCTTGTTGGAGAAAGTAGAACGAATGGAAGCTGAAACTGACGGGCTGAGGGCAAGACTCGCGGCTGAAGAATCGGAACGATCCAAACTGCGAAAGATGCTGAGCGAGGAAACGATAAAACTCTCAGCGGTCAGAACGGAACTGGAGGATGAGCGTAAGCAGCTCAGCACACTGAGGTCTAAATTCTCCGCTGGGGAGACCGGTTCAGAGGCCCTGAAAGAACGAGTTGCGGAGGAGGAGCGCAAAGTTGCTACCTTGACCGAAAAGCTCGCCGTTGAGGAATCTCGTGCGCAAGGTTTCGAAGATGATATTCGTACGTGGCAAAAGAAGGTCGAAATGCTGGAAACCACCGGAGAGCGTAACGATTCACTGCTTAGCATAAAGGAAAGCTGGGTTAAAGAGCTCTCCGAAAAACTATTCTCCCATGTTGAGCAGCTCAACCGGATACTTCAACAGCTTGGTTTCACAGTCATTCGCCAAGATAACAGCATGGTCATCCATCGAGCGTCTAAGGTCAACAACAATAGTTCATTGCTCGGAGAAAGCGTCAAGTCTCCATTGGCTACTCCAATGATTCATGACCCGAAACTGTTAGAGAGGGTTAATACGAACGATCGGGAGGAGGAACAGTCAAATTACACCGCGTTCATCACCGCAATAAATGAATTTAGCGTGGAGTTATTCGGCGAAGCGGTAGTCAAGCGCGTGAAGGATATCGAAACCTTAGCACGTAAATGGCAAAAGGAAGCTCGTGGGTATCGGGAAAAGTCACACCGTTTCCAGAGTGAATCTCACGAAAAGATTGCATATCGATCGTTCAAGGAAGGGGATCTAGCGCTGTTCTTGCCAACTCGCAACCAGGCCATCCGATCGTGGGCCGCATTCAATGTTGGCGCTCCCCACTACTTCCTTCGAGAGCAAGAAGTGCATAAATTACATACTCGTGACTGGCTACTTGCGCGGATCTCAAAGATCGAAGAGAAAGTGGTGGATCTTTCCAAGTCTATGAATGGCACAAATCCGGACCGTCGTTCCATCGGGGAAGCAAGCGATGGTGCCTCAATTGATGATGATAATCCTTTCGAGCTCTCGGACGGTCTGCGATGGTATCTACTTGATGCGTCAGAAGAGAAACCTGGGGCTCCAAGCACGCCGGGGCTAGCTAAAAGCACCGTTGCATCAGCGCATGTGGATGCTAAAGGGAGTATCCGTTTAAAACGACCAACTAACGGTGGAGGAGCAACGAAAACATTGACGAAGAGCCTCGATAGCCGACGGAACAGCTCAGCATCGAAGATAGGCACGCCGGTGCCTACACTGCAAGCCGCAGAGTCTGCAGGAGATAATGTGTTGCCAGCAGCGGGGGATTCAGGTGCGCAGGAACGGAGGGCGGAGGCACCTATTTTCGACGAGGTTCGCAGAGATCTTTTATTGGGTCCTTCAAACGGAGAATGAAAATATAAAATATTTATGAGCCTTATATATAAATTTTTATTTTATGGAAATGATGAAAAACATGTTTGTTTGTCGGCTGATGATTTTTTTGTTTTATCTTCTCCTTTTATCCCGAAAAATAGGGTACATCGCGGGACAGAGCTGGTTCTCAATCTCGAACTCCCAATACACACCGCAACGGTGGTGCTAACGTCGCACCCTCTTCTCCTCTTTCGTCACCGAGCAAGCGCACATCAAAGCCGAGACCGTGGGAAAAGCTATGGTCTTTGGATTATCGATCCGAGAGCCTAGGCCGTCACAGGTAAAACAATCATATGTGTCCTTTCTACCCGAAGAAGACAACCCGAACATAGCGACGTCGTGAATCCTGTCTAGCAGACGTGATTGAGAAGACAAGAAAGGAGCGACGACGTTTGTTCCCGTTAGTCATCCCTTTATACGTTCCATTGTTTTTTTATTTGCAAAAACACTGATCCGCTGATACTCCATAGAGCTATCTAGCGCCCTGGCAAGAAGGCTACGGTGAATGCCTCTTCCGCCACACTTCCTGTTCCTCTGGGAAAGGAATGACGAGAAGTGAAATATATATATAGGATTAATGTCTGCATTTAACTCATCTGCATTTCCATATTGACATATCTCCTCATTTCAGGACTTACTTATGCCCGCTAGTTATTGCTCCTGTTGATCTACTCCGCCCGGAAAGAGATGCGGCGTCAGGCGAAATGACCACAGCGAGGTACGATTCCTATTCGTTATTTATTGGTTTTGGGCGCTGTTTTCATTTGCTTTTTAGCGGCATGAAGTCACTGTCCATTTTCCTTTGTTCTGTTTCATACATTTATTGGTATATAGAAGGTGGATGATATCGATTATGTTATGGGAGAGCAATCATATATTTGAAATATGTTTATTCTTATATTGACCTAATCCAATTTGGCTATGCATGGCTGCTTCAGTAATTAATTTTTTTCAATAATTTCCCATTAAAAAGTGCTTTCAAACGCCCGCAAACCGTATCCTTGGGGTATATCCAACTCAAACAGAAACAGGTGCAAGAACATAACTATGAATAGATGAGCCCTAAGCATGCACAACATATCGTTTATCTTTCACCCTTCCCGATATCACCGCCTATACCTTCTAAATCACCCAGCCCATTCAAAAACTCTTCAGCCCTCCTCTTCGACCTAAGCTCCTCGATCTTCCTCCGTCTCTCATCCTTTGCCTTCTCCCTAGCACTCTCCTTCTTCGTAGCCGCATCCCGCTCGCCCAAAGTTTCCTTCCTCGCTTTTAACAACTCCTCCATCTCCTCTTTGCGTGCCGCCTGATCTTTAGAAAATGCATAGAACCCCGTGCCCCGCGTGCGGACTTCTGCTGCTGCATCGTAGTGAGTTTCTGGGGGAGGGGTCGGGGTGCGATCCCGCTTTTTTGCAATATGCTCCATGCGCGCGGCAATGTTTGCGTCCGGATTGAAAGCTGCAGATTGGACCGTGGAGCCGTAGATGAGGTTCGTAGGGCGCTTTGGTTTGGCTGATGGGAGGATGTTGTAGTTGGTGGGGTGTGTAATGTCGCTGTCCAGCCCACCACCATCTTCATCAGCTGCAGTCCGCGGCAGTGGCGCACTGCGTCGTTGTAGAGCTGCCTCCGCGGCTTCTGCGCGGGTACCTCGACGCGAGCGACCAAATTCATCAACGTAGTCGACAAGTAAAACATCCTCCTTCTCGCGGTCGTCGTTGTCGGCGTCCCTATCCGAACCAGATGGGGAAGCTGAGCCTCGTGCCCTCCGTGCCCTTATCGCCTCCTCCTCCGCCCACTTGCGATCAAAATCGACTAGACTGTTGCTTTCAGCCCGCCTCGTTGCATGCACTGCTGGGTTTCTCAAGGCAGTTTGATCTTCCTCCTCATCGCTGCTATCCACCAGATGCTCGCCTTTCTTCAAATCCTCGTATAGTTTAGCCTTTTCGGCCAGTCTTCGTTTAGAGCGTTGGAGTGTCGCATCGTCAATATTACCAATGTCTGCTCCTCGTTTGTGGACTTGGTGAATGACATGTGGTGAGTCCCCGGAGACATCTGCTGCGGCGCGTTTGTGTGCGTTCTTGTTGTGGATGGTGAAGATATCTGGTTTTGAGCGGGACGGTCGGGGGCGACCTTTGGTGGGTTGCGTAGCGGAAGACGATGTAGAGGGGTTTGATTCTTTCGATATTAGGGCGGAGAGATGAGTGGTGAAGGCTAGAGTGGAGGAGGATGTGAGGTCTTTTTGCGACGCGGTGGATTTGGGGCGGCGAATGCCGTACAGCGATTGAGAATCTGTCGGCATAACTCTAGTAAAGGCGGGTTATCGCTCAGTTGAGCTGTTCTCGACAGGAAAGAATATGTAGACGGGCCATAGGCCGCACCCACGAGCTATAGTTGAGCTGTAGGGGTGAGCTGAATATGAAGGTGTGGCTATGAATAGAAGCTTAGTTGATAGATAGCTCGGCGGCGGCTGACGTGATTGCTGCGGGCGAAGTCTTTTTGCCCCGCAACCTCCCACTTCAACATCAACAATTTACACCACAGCTGTCTACATAAAAGGGAGTAAATTCCAGATAACTAGACACTATTTTAGAATCCCAGGTTTGGATATTTCAATTGCTACTAATAACTGGTTTATGAACTATACTCCAATTGAATCCATCATGACAAGCAAAGCTATCTATCTCGGAGTCATCGGTAAGCTCATCTGAAAACATAAAATGCAATCCATCCATACCGAGAAAAAAAAAAAAAAAAATTCCTTAACTAACTAACAAATACCTTCTTACACAGGGGTTGGCGGCGTCGGATCCCATTTCCTCACTCAATTATCCCGTCTCCCCAATGCGCCACCTCTGATCCTGCTTGCCCGCTCTTCAGTGACAGCCACTTCGCCCTCCACATGTTACTCCCCCGCGATTGATCCCGACAATTGGCAATCTGCTTTCTCAGCTTCCTCTCCCTTTACCAAATCTGGAGCCTGGGAGCCAGAGCAGATAGCTGATTACATGTCCCAGGCTCCCGGTCGCGCCGTGCTGGTCGATAACACTTCAGATCCCACCATCGCGGAAGCCTACCCCCTCTTCCTCAGCAAAGGCATTAGCATCGTAACCCCAAACAAGAAAGCATTCTCCTCTTCCTTCGATACGTGGAAAAGCATATTCGACACAGCCGCTGGCACCTCCTCACTCGTCTACCACGAAAGCACAGTCGGCGCCGGCTTGCCGGTGATCTCTACCTTGCGCGATCTCGTTAGCACTGGTGACCGAGTCACCCGCATTGAGGGTGTATTTTCAGGAACTCTCTCTTTCCTATTCAATAACTTCGCCCCCGTGACGGCTCCATCTGGCAGCACTGTGCAGAAATGGAGCCAGGTTGTCTCACAGGCTAAGGAACTCGGTTATACAGAGCCAGACCCCCGAGATGATCTGAATGGCATGGATGTCGCGAGGAAACTAACCATCCTAGCCCGGATTGCCGGCCTAGAGGTTCAGAGCCCCGAATCTTTCCCGATTGAGAGCTTGATTCCCGCAGAACTTGAGGGGGTCTCTAGTGCTGAGGAATTTATGCAGCGTCTTCCTGAATTCGATGATCGGATGGAGGCGATCAAGGAGAAAGCGGAGGTCGAAGGGAAAGTTGTGAGATATGTTGGCAGCGTGGATGTTGCGGGCAACGCTGTTAAGGTTGGGCTGGAAAAGTTTGACAAGGACAGTGCCATTGCGGGCCTGAAGGGGAGTGACAATATTATTAGTTTCTATACGGAAAGATATGGGAAGAACCCGTTGATTATCCAGGGTGCTGGAGCTGGTGGTGCTGTTACTGCCATGGGAGTTTCGGCGGATCTCATTAAGGTATTAGAACGACTACGTTAGAAAAGCGAACTGGGTGCTGCTGCTGGGAATTTTGATTATCAAAGGGGAAAATGAGGGAAAATGATGACATTATAAAACAAAATCATGCATATTTAACATGAAAAGTTTGACTTAGCTGGCCGGTGCTAATAAAAAGTGCACCTATGCATTCAAAGCACCATGCCATGCACACCCCATTGGTATTTGACATCAAAAGTTCACCCAAATTCTAGAGAAAGCAAATAGTCGTCTAGTTAGTACCTTCTTCAACTTCTTAGAAACTCCTTGATCGCTTCTCCCCATGCTGGTATCCGCTTATAAACCGCCATCTCCGGAATACTGCCTTCGCTAACACCGTCGATTGCCGCTGCCAGGTCTTCAGCTGACCCCTCATCTTTGATTTCTTGAATGGGATATCGATACGTGTGGAATGAAAATACCATCGCCCCTGACTGCGGCAGGCGGAAGAGAGTCTGACGCTCGCATCGCAAGAAGGTCTATCGTGATGGTTTCGGAGTTAGTTCAATGCTCCCTGAAACATGACATTTCAATAAAAAGTCACATCGTTCGTGAGCTTGAAAGAGGGTATTTTAAAAATTAAAGGAACACTCACATTGTCAAGATCCACTTCTTTCAACTTAAGTTGAGTGATTTCTTCCCCATTGTGCGCGTGAATGCCCCCAAAAGGCGAAAACAGCTCTGCATCCACCGTAACACTCCAATTGACGCGCTTGAGATATTTTCCAGCTGGGAGTTTATGGAAAAACCGATCCATGCTCTTCTCAAGCTTTAGTCTATATCCAGGTATCGGCTCATGGATCTGAGCCAAGGGTTTGCCAAGCTTTTCCCGCGTGTCGAAACCGGACGGGAAACATGTTGCATACGCCTCGAGGATATACTTGACTTCATCTGATGGATCGCTGGGTGAGTCGTCACTATTCTTTTCGCTTGTCTCTTCGTTTTTCTCTTGTTGAGCTCTCCTCTGTCCGTTTTTTTTGCCATTGTCATCACCACTATTCTGGTCGGGGAGCAGGATCAATATATCCTCGTCCACTGATTTGATTAGTGTTTCAAGAATGCTTCTTGTCGTGCGGGTTGAGCTGATCTGTATTGGGAAAAGTTCCATCGTGGTCAGATTGCAGACCATTAGAGCGGGCCCAGTTTCGAAATCGGTCTGGACAAGTTTGAACATCTGTGGGTATCTATTGGGGAGATATATACCCATAATGTATCTGTAAAGCTCATGAACGGCGGGACGGATCCGCGGGTCTTCCTCATCGTCCTTGTTCACTCGACAGACGACATCAGGGTACTTCTTAAGCAGTTCGCGGCGGAGGGTTATTCTCTCTTTGTATGTTTTGTCCATCAGGATGAGTTCACTGGGGTCGAGATTTTCGAGACCTGTTAACAGAGTAAGTTGAATATACGTTTACGATTTTTCCTGCTTGTTGACTTCGTGTTATCCGCTCAAAACAGTGGTGGTGAGGGACTACATACCCATTGTAAGATGGTATTTAGGCTTATACGGCCGCAGTTTGAGTGGCTCAGTTTTTTCCCAGTCGAACTTCTGTAATGGCTCAACGAGGGGGAAATCTGAAGTACACAAGATAGCATCGAATTTTTTCTGACGCTCTATTTCCGCTCTCTGTTATTTTATATTCAAGTATCAGCCATGCTCGATAATCCCGATCATAAATGCGGCTTAAAATCGCCTATCGCCAAAGATAGATTCGCAGCGAAACAAACAAATAAGTTCATTGAGACGAGAGACGAATACGCAGTGATCAAGACAAAACTTGATCTCAGAAAACAGAATATAAAATTCAACAGGCTTGTGTGTAGGCCATATTGCAGCTCGATATTTTGGAGATGACTCTCACACACATTTTTATCTCAACCGTGCCAATCGTCTTGCACCATTTTGCATACATGTCAATAGAAGTGGAAATGTAGACAACGGGGATGATACAATACATCAGACCACAATATAGAAAGAAAAAATCACACACCTTATTAGATCTATGTCTCTGCACAACCATCACAAGGAGCGAGAACAACACGACCTTTGTCATGGTGTTCATCAGCGAGAAATACTGGACCAGGAGGTCCATCGCCTTGGGGAGACCATCGAGCAAAAAAGCTGCCTGGTCCATGATGCTTGACTGCTTTATTCCTTCTCTTCTTCTTCAAGGTGCGCTAGCGGAGGGGTGTTCAGGTTGCGATGATTATATCATCACTACGATCTCACAAAGCAGAATGAAAAAAGAGGGAACGGCGCGACTGAGATATTTGTAGTCCACAGCCCAGCCTCCAAGAAGGCGGCAAACGTCGGTGGGCTGCGGAGTTGAAGCTTACTCGTCCGACCCCCGGTGTCGGTATCCACCAAGTTGGGGTAGTTTAGTTAAACTACGTGCAGGCCGATGTATATTAGGGATCATCCGCTTGGGGGGGGGTTGGCGCCAACTCTATCAGCCCTAGCGTCAACTAAAAATAAGCCATCTTTCTTAAATGGCGCATACTTACGCTGTAGTTCTTGTGCTCCGTACCTCGGTCTACACTCTTATAGAGCTTTAACTAATTCAAGACATACGGCACGTTTATGAGCTTACGCGCTTGAGAATCTCCGCTGAAATGGAGCAGCTTGAACTTCGTAGAGAATCAGATATACATTTATTTAACTTGATTTCAAAACGAACAAAGAGCATACACTGCATAAAGGACTAAACTAGATACATTGGTCGCAAACGAGCGTTGAATAACGAAACAACCAGGCTTCACAACTGGAATGTGTAGCGGATCTGAACGCCTTCAATTCAACGAAGCGCTTCTCGGCACTCGGGACATCCAACTCTGATAACTTTGCGGGGGTAAGAAACATCTTACGTAGAGATCTTCGATCAATTCCAACACAGGAGCAAGCGAAGCAGAACGTCCCTCCGCCAAATATATACTGCCTAACCGGTGGTGCGCCACACAATACTGGTGGATTCTTGCCATCTTCAACAATCGCGATACTCACGGTACCCCGTTACTCAGTAGGTGTTGTTTTCTCCATTTTCAAGGCGCTGATGTTGAGATCTCTGTTGTCAACCATTTTAAGCATCTCCAAAAAAGCATTAGCGTCGGTGTTGGTCGTCGAACATTGCTTAATGCCGCCCCTGTTTCCTGCGCCGCGAAAGGAGGCGGTAATGATGGAATTCTGGATACCCACGCCAGCGAGGTTTGCCATGAATGGCCCTTGCAGAAATCCCCAAGAGTTTGGCCCATATGTGTCCCTAATCTTTCTGAGAAGCAACTTGCCACCTTTGCCTCCTGAGATGACGGCTTTCTCTGCATTCCTGTACGCACATCTCACCCCAACATCGCACTGGTCCATTAAGTCCTGCTGTAAAAGGAGATTCTCTACTTCCACCTTGGAGTTCGAGATCGGAGATCATGCACCTCAGGAGGAAGGACACCCCTTTTGTGAACTTTAATGGCTCTCTCGATTAGCAGTTGCCAGGATATACAGGGCTTTCTAGAAATGAACTTTGACCATACTTGAATTGTTCCACTCGTCCGGTTTTACCCCAACAAAAAGCTCAACTAATCTTCTGATACCTCCAAATCTCATCTTCAAAGTTACCGTAGTTGCCGTGTTCAACTGGGTCGGTTTTGGCTTGCTCCTGAATGGTACGGGTCACAAGGGCGTCAACAATACCGGTAGCATAGACTAGTGAGAGAACAAGGGTGGGAAAATTGATAGCCTTCATGATGGTAGCAATGACAGAGTGTTCTGATTATCTTAAGGCAAATTTATGTCGATTTTGAATCTTGAATGAAGGATATTTAGGGGAGTTGGATGGCTTTTTGATTCTTCTTGCCCTCATTTCTCACGGAAGCCACAGCCCCATAAATATTAAAGCAGTTCTGGAGATTCTCGAGATGATTACTTCATGAAGTCTCTCGAAGTTCCTCAAAATAGAAAGAAGTTGCCATTGCAAGGCATCTTGTTTGCGGACCCTCGCCCCAACCCCCTATCTTCTGGTCCACAGTGCGTTTTTACTCCTTGCGTATTTTGAGCGAACCCCAAAATCCCACTGTAGCACAGTATTGACGAAGTTTCTCCATGAGGAAATGAGGCACTTTCCAACTGGAGAACCACCCCGAGAACTTCCAATAATGGATATCACAGTGCCTGGAGCGATCAACGTCTATCAGTTCAGTCCAGTACCTGGTAATTGGGATGATTAACATAGGAATTTGGGGCCTGGCAAGGGAATCCACATTATGTAAACCGATGAAGCGGCTTAAGTTGTGAGTTCTTTTCTATAAGGTATATTTTGGCGAGCCGTAGTGATGATGGTGGTGTTAGTGCAGATGATGTTGAGACTAAGCGCAGCCCTATAAATCCCGCTGCGGAGCCGCCCCCATACGCCAAGCCCGCTAGCCTCAAAGATCTCCCACTGGTTGACTAGGCGATATAAGCGATATAAGCGGGGTACCCGCCGCCAAAGTTTGGAAGGTTTTCTAGGCTACTACTGGGGCAAAAGAGCTCAATCACCACCAGCGCACTGTTGGTAGAAGGGCCGAATCAACCCGGGACCCTCAACAGGTTTCGGCCCCTAGTCACGTGTCGCTTCTCAATGCTGAAACGCCCGCTAGCTTCAATCTGTCCGACGTCATGTAGCTCCCAACGCCGCAGAGGTGGCCCGCTGTGGGGTTGGTGGACGTACTGTGTGGCATGAAAAGCCTCACATTAGCCTCTAGCTACCTTGTTCACTTTATAACCAACCTTATTTTGGTATTGATTTATGCAGGTTCTCTTTCAATGGAGTCCATTGGCACTGAAAAGTGAAAGAGTGTGCCCCTAAATAGAAAGATCATGGGTTTGTTTAGCCCTCGATGTCCTCTCAGGAGTAATGACCTCCTTTCAACTCACAGTCGTGCCTGTGCGAGGCGAGATTTGCAAGGCTACTGCTCAGCCCTCTAACCATTGCGCCAGGACCCCACAATCGGTTAACAGGATCCCTCCAATTGAGTTTAGGAAACTTGAACTGATGTCAGTGATGTATGACAGATTAGAGCTAGCTAAGAAGACTGGCTCTTTCTTCAAGACCGATCCCAAGAACCCCTGGGGCAGAATCGCCTCCCACACAATTTTCTATTTGGCCTGCCTCCACAAGCCCATCCTCAAGTGAACCATTTTATCGATGTAAAATTTGGCAGTCAAAACACATTTCCATTGCTAAAGCCCTTCAAGCAACTAATGTTATGGGGCTGTTATGGGAGTCAATACCCATTGAGAATAGAGAGGGGGGTTTCACTCAATCGCATCGGATTCGGGGAGAAAAGCACCTTCAAAATTTCCAAATTAAGAATTGATAGTTCTCAGGAGCCTGCCCTTCAAGTTATAAAAGGCAACGTCTTCCTCTATTCAATATCCCTTTCATCATCATCATCATCATCATCGCCAGCAGCAGCATCATCCGCAACAAGAAGAACAAAAAGAACAACAATATCGGCACCTACATTCAAATCTTTACTTCACCACATTCCCGCAATTCCAAACTTGCAAACGTCTCTCAAATCACAATGCACCCCCCTACCCTCCTCTTCCCCGTCACATTTCTCGCCATGGTTGGCACTTCGATTGCTGAAAACTGTTGAGCCTTCCCTATCTAAAAAACGAAAAACCAAGGTCTTGAACCAATAGCTAAATGAATGGTATTGTCATCTAGGCAAACCCGGCCTAAAATATTGCGATGCCTCTCTTCTCCAAAGAGGCATGTCATGTCTTCAAAAACGCCGGAAAATTCCCAAAAGCTGCCTCACCGGCACAGACTTGGCTAACGCCAAAACCCTTTTTCTCTATCTATTCCTAGGCAACTATGAGCGAACCATCCAAAACGCCCTGCTCGCTTCCGGCCTACAATTCGACGATAGAAGGAGGGTTCTATTCCAATGCTTGGACCACGGCGCAATTGAGCTCTACGTTAGATGCCCACATGCCTGCCAGCGTCTGCCTGAGGATGGCCCCGGCTACGACTGGGGTGATGATTACTGCTAGGCACTGTCATTCACTTTAAGGTAAGATTTGTCCTATCAAATCACGCCGGCAATTCTTTCATAGGAATGGGGGCTTAATGGACTAACTTTCCCTGGATCAGCGGTAAGACTGGCGAGGACAGCTAGGAAGGACCGAAACCACGGCCCTCTACAAACGCTTGGTTGTGATCATATCTTGAAAGACGAATCGCTAGGCACATGTTTTGCCATTTCTACATGGTTTCCCTTTGTTTAAATCTTTGGGCAATTTATCTCTCATTTGAACTATATTTGCATGGTTTGCAGACGCCTACACTATTTATCTAAATAGCTAGAAAAGAAAACCTATTTCAGACCTATATATCATTGTGCACTTTCCCTAAACAAACTATTTCGCATTGGGATATCAATCATACCGGATGATTCACCTTTTAGACGAAAAATTTCTCCAGATATTGAACTTGGAAAATCTAGGAGAAATACAGAACTTCTGAACGAACCTAGCGATTGTATTTTTTTATTTTTTTTTTATTTTTTATTTTTTTATTTTTTATTTTTATTTTTTGAAAACTATGTCAAAATTTATCCTTCTCAGGCTGGAATTCCCTATGCGCATCAGGCCAACCTTAATAAGTTGAAATGCGAACTCCCCACTCAGGAAGCAGAAAACTTGACCTCGCTAAGTGCGCCACTTGACCTCGTTATGTAAGCTGACCTCGCAAATGTGGCCCGTGCCACTACCTGACCTCGCTCAATACATCCTTTCTTGTAATTTGAAACCACTCAATTATTTATCATCAATTCTACAATCAATTCAAAATCAATTTAAAATCAATTTAATACTGAAATTATTCTTGAATTTAATAATAAAGTAAGTATTTATATAATTTACACAGATGTCGCCCTCCGTTCAGTATATTTTCCAGTCAGCCTCGAGCAGAAATCAAAAGCCGAAACGTGGCACTGAATTGATTATCAATTGATTTTCAATCAATTGTTAATTACTTAAATATATAGATTGAATTTATTTTTATTATTATAATCAATTAATCAATTCAGAATCAATTTAAAATCAATTTAAAATTAATTGTTAAATATTTTTATCTTAATATATTTTAAAATTCTGTAAAATATCTCTTTATATTCTATATGAATTTGTCTGTTCATTTAATTGATTATGAATCAGCTAATGCTTTGATTGATTGAGTGAATGAGAATGAGTGAATTGAAAGATTGAGTGAATTGAAAGGTTGAAAGTCAATTACCAACTGATTATTACTGTATTGTGCGAGGTCGGGGTCATGATTATGTAACGAGGTCAAGTGGCGCACTTAGCGAGGTCAAGTTTTCTGTATACACCTCCCCACTCGACGAGATACGAGATGATGACCATTAATAATATTGAAAGGCTTGGTGCGTGATAACTAACTTTATTACAATGCCTGAAACAAACCCAATGATAGCATCTGGATGAATCCATTCCAAGGACGAAAAAAGAAAAGGAAAGAAAAGTTGGTGAATCTGTAACTACCGAAACTCTTCAACTTCAACGGACTCGAACAAAGAGAAAAGCAAGGGAAAAAAATTCAAAGAAGGCTTAGTTTGAGGCATTTAACTGCTTCTCGAAAGTTTCTTTGATTGCTATAGTTTTTCTACACACTGCTTGCTCACTGGGAGAAAAAAATAAATAAATAAGTACGTAAAAAAAAAACAAACAAACAAACAAACATCTGGGGACATAGCATCGTATAGGCATAAAACACAAAACATAATCCGAAAGGTCCAGAGGAGAGAGAGAGAGAAATATATAGTCCATCTCCAACATCAGAACCCAGCTCTATTCGATCTATCCTCCACAATCCTCACAGCCCCCAAATACTCAAGGAGAATATGCAATTTGGCCTGTCGGAAGCGCGACGACGAACACCTGGCGTTCACTAGCGTACTTCTATGACGTGGTGGTAGGGTAAGGAGCAGGGAGCGGGCGTCAGTTTAGAGTTTGTAGTCTTGGAGGATACGGTCGAGTTGGGTATCTTTATAACATGGACATGCACGGTTGTTATGTGTGTGGTTTTTTGGCTAAAATCTAAGGAAAAGGAAAAGCAGGGGGGCAAAGCCGGAGGGAGGGGAGGTTAGGGTTATAAGGGATGTCCGATGTATTATATATATATATATATAGTATATTAATTCTTTTTGTTAATACATACTATCAAGCAAGAGAACCCCCTCAACAGTCCTCGGAACCTGAAAATCCGCCGGGAACCTGCCATCCGCACACATCATCGGATGAAGCTGCATGTGGCTCGCACGCGGGCTAACGATGCCATTTGCAAGTGTGGCGGCAAGGTTGGTTCTGCGAACCTGCTCTTGTGTGCTCATGTTCGGCCCGTTAGGCACGAGGTGGTGGGGATGGTTGCTGCTGCTGTTGCTGTTGCTGTTGCTGCTGAGGGCGGTGCTAGCGATGTTGAAGGGGCTACTTATGCTATCCGCTGCAACACTGAAGGGGGGGGAGTAGAGGGGCTGCAGTGGGTACGATTGCGATTGATACGGTATGCCAGGAAAACGCGGTTGATGTTGATGTTGTTGTGGTGGTGGTGGTGGTGGCTGAATGGCTTGTTGCGCGTGCTGGAGGGCGATGTCAATTTCTTGGGAGGAGAGAGAGGGTGGTTGGAAGGTGAACATCCCGGGATAGTGATGCGGACGATGTCGTCGTGGTTGTGGTTGTTGCTCTTCCTGCGAACTCGGTCCTCGTCGTTGCCGATATATTTTATCCTTAGTAAAATACATTCGTCTATTCCGCAGATTGCGTATCCTTCCTTACGCTTATTTTTGCTTCTTGCGTTTTCCCCGCTGCCTACAGACGGGAAGGCCTGGTGGTGATAATAAAGGCGAGTGTCAAACGGTATCTTGAAGAGGAGCAGGGCTTGAAGCGGACGGATGGAAACCACACACACACAACATCTTCCAAACGGCTAGGACGATCTCCCCTATCTATCCAACGATGTGATGTAAAACATAGTATATATTCTGGAATATAAACAGCACAGGTACCCTGTAGTACAACCACGCCCGGACACTATAAGGGAAGGGCGGTTGGTTGTTCGAAAGTCGAGTAATTCGACACTGTCATTGTCTTGAGGAAGTTGTGCTGCAGTGCACAGTACTAAATTGTTCGTTGACTGTTGGTTGACAGGTGGGTGTGGGTGCACGGAGAAGAAACGCCCGACAAACACCCACAGATAAGCGGCCTAAGTTTGATATTTCATACGTAGAGAGAGAGACAAGCCTGCTCTTGCTCTTCAGACATCTGCAGGCGTGCAGTCGAAACCCGTATCACGGATCGTTGCGACTGGTATTCAGAGAAATACTATCATGATAAATAAACATTGGAACACGTATAGAAGTTTCATGCAGTAGCAAAACACAATGGGCAAACAAGACTCACGCTATGGAATCAGCAACTTTCTTTCCATTGGATAGGATCAGCCACCTAGGCCATCTTTTTCTCCGAGCGTTACACCGCTTCAAGATGGCAGGGCAATAAGGTAACATTCCAAAAAAGGTTCTAGAAACATCGAGGGCATGACATACTAAACACAAGTAGACGCCTACGCTCAGAATCCGAAAACAGAGTGAAAACTGTACATCACAGGAGAGAGACACTGAGGCAAACACAAAGCCAGAAAAGACGGGTATCTTGCAGCAAACAAACAGCAAACAAAACAATGACAACCGGATATAGGTCACAAATACGCAGTTTGCATAATAGCGAGCAGAGAGAAAAAAAAGAGAAACGCGCAGCATGGCATCAATATCAATGTATCGTAACCCGCTTAATATGGATGGAGAAAACGAAGGAAAACAGTCAGTTCAGTTGTAGTCTGTGGTAAGTGAGCACACGGCCGCGTGGAATGGTGTCTCATAGTTGTTGCCAGATATGTATATCGCAACGCCAAACAAATGTCGGACTTTCAGGAGCAAGCTTCGCCCCGCGGCGGCCCTGTCTTGTGTTTAACAGGGGGGATTGTCGGTCCCAGGCATTTGCATCTCGGGAAAATCTCACAATAAAATTGGAGTATCCATATCCTCATCAACAAGATTGTTTAACGGTTGGACAATCCATAATCGGCCCGAGCTGGTCCCGGCCTTACATTCAGGTCACAGGGAGCTTTTCCAACCGCAGTAGGAAATTTGCACAGAATTGTCGTTTGGGAGTAGGAGAGTTGCATCGGGGGGAGGCGGATCAAAAAAGCATAGTGGAAACGACGGGAGAATTAAAAAGTCCCGTGCGGTATATTCACACCAGCTTACCCTCCCACATCGCCCCCGATAACATCAGGTTCCGCATACACCTTCCTATAGCTAACCCCATCCGCATCCCTGTCCATCCCATATTTTCTACCGTCCGCAAACGCATCGGATTCACCTTCACTCCCATCACTATTATCATTCGAAGAAGAACTATTATCCTCAACTCCCCCATCATCATCACCATCATACAGCGATGTCGTCAAACTAAACGTCCTCCTCCTCCCGTCAGGTCTCTCGCTTAAGCTAGGAGCTTGGGGCCGTTGTCGGCCCCTCGCCCGGCCTCCAATGATGGGAATCTCATAGGTGGACGCGCGCCAGATGTAAAGTAGAAGATCGTAGAGGATCATGAATGCCCAGGGGGCGATGATGATTGTTCCTAGGATGAGCTAGATGACAAAGCGGAATGATAAGGACGTGTGAGACATGAAACAAATGAGGTATTTCCAATGGGATGGGTGAGAAAGATAAGGAAGAGGAGGAGAGAGTAGTAGGAAGGGGTTAGACATACAAAGACTCGAACCAGCCATGCTTCGAACGCCGTAAGTCCCGGCGGAAGGAGAGAGTACCACGTCATGATTTGTACCGTATTTCTGCTTTTCCTTGCCCCTGTAGTAGCTCGAGCTAGAGGGAACCAACCAGGACCTCCCGAAACCGGTGATAGAAATGGGATAGTATCACTAACTCCTTTCTCCCTCTCTCCCCCTCAATCAATATAGGCGCTATAGCACCTTATATCCCGCCACTTATACCACAGCCCCAAAACCTTCCCGATCTTATTTATCTTCGTCTTCGTCCCCACCCCCCACTTTGCCGTGCTTGGAACCTTATACGTGTATGCTGCCCGTTTGTTCTCCAAAACAGCCAGCTATGTAATGTAACTCTACCACACCTTCTACTCTCTGACCTTCCAGAAGGCATGAGAAGCAGAAGAGGAGGAGGATTTTATTTTATGTGCCATAGACCGGTTTCATGGGGCCATCGGGACTGGGGCCACGGACATGGTGGTTTTGGTGGTTTTTCTGAATTTTAGGCAGGATGCGGAGGCTGACCGGATCGAAGTCGGAGGATTGTTTTGTATAGTGTTTTTCAGAGTAGAGCTGGTGGAGAGATACTGTGTCCAAAAGCCCGTAGGGAGGAAGACGAGGAGGAGGAGGAGGAGAGGAAGAGGGAACATGTCCTATCGATGTTGCTCGGGCTACTGCGTAAGTTCGGGTTGCGGGGAAAGTAAGTGAGCCCGGATGGGTGTAGAGTCACGTGAGACAGCGGATTTCCCGCGGATTTCGATGATGACATTGATGAGCCCATGTATATTTATAGAAATTATATGAATCGTAAAGCTCAAACGGAGAATGATTGAGAAAATTATGCTTTATGTAGTTGTATGCGTATATCTAGTAACAGCATGGAGCATGTGTATATATATACGCACATTCCTCCGCTTTCTCCAGCCCACCATTCCAATACACCGGAGGGATGAAACTGTCTATCATTCATTTCGCGGCACTCTACCGCAAAATGAGGAAAAACGCCCATATGACATTTGTCTAAATGGCAGGAAAAAAAACCAAAAACAAAATGGCACCAGCATCACCTTCCAGAAGCCACCAGCCAAATAAGAACAACCATTTATAAAACAGACGCCTCCAATCCATAAGCCTCCCAGGTATCATTCAACATTAGTACCCAAAAAGCAATTAAGTTATATATAAGAAGAAAAAGAACCTCTCCTTCAATATTAACATAAATGCAACCAAAAAAAAAAAAAAAAAGAAGAAGAAGAAAACATGACTATTTGCCCTTCAACGGTAAATATAGAGACAAAAACGAAAAAGTGAAGCGGCGGGAATCAGTTCAATATCGCATACCCTACATACGCTTCATAAGACGTAGCTCCTTAACCCCGCGGCGCCCGCGGTGGCAGTCACCCATGCGGACCCGTCGACGGACTCCGCTCCCGACCATCATACGACGCAATATCCGCAGAATGCCGCACAGGTGGGTCTTGCACGTTACTCAGCAGCGCCCTCTCGCTCTCACTATCCGTCGTCATCGTCCGGTAGAATGCTTTGTGACTAGTATTAATATTATTATTAATACTAATGTTATCCGTCGTCGCCACCGACGACGATCGATATGTAGCGTACTCTGGGATGTTCGGTACTGGAGGAATAACGGATTGGCTATCGAATGGCTGGGTGTGCAGGTGGTGGCCGGGCGGAACGACTGGCCCTCTTCCTCCCGGTGCCATTGCGTGTCGCACAGGCGACGAAGCGCGCGAGGAGCCAGGGGAATCAAACCCGGCGAGGAAGCTGCGGGGCGTGTGCGAGCGCTCACTGATCAGGTCCTCCGGGCGACCGTAGATGCCGCCGCCGAACTCGCCGCGGAAGTCGGCCCGGTCCTTGAAATATGCGAAGTCAAGTTGGTTTTCCTGGACGACTTCGAAGGGGGCCGGGGCCGCATCGTGGGGATGGCTGGATGTTCGCCCGGGTTCGTTCGAGGACATCTTCTGTAGCGCTATGTCTGAGTACTCGTTGGCGACCTGTGCGCCACCGCCTTGTGCTTGGAAGATCTTCTCCAGCGCGCCGGCGGCTTTGGCGTGGACCATTGGCGTCATCAGGGGCTTGTAGAGTGCTGGGTGGCCGAATTTGGAGGCGATTCTTTCAGAGTTTTTCTTCCTGCCTTTCCCGGGGGCGAGGGACTCTGCGTCGGCGGGGATCATGCGGCGGTGGTATGTTAAGCCATCGTCGAAGGTTCTTCTACAGTACCATTTGAACGCGAGCATTAGGAAGGGGAGGGGAATTAGACAGGAGACCATTGTCCAGCTTCCCTTGGCTTTGATGACAACTGCAGTTACGAAGTTGGCGAGGATCATTGCGAATACTATACGATTGAAGAGGACACGCCAGTATTGGCCACCGGATTCGGTCTTGGTGACAAAAACGTAGAGAAGGAGGTATTTCTTAAGCCAGGAATCGAGGGCGAAATAAATGGCCGTCACAGGAAGGATAATTGGCTGCAGAGTCGCGAAACAGAGGGCTATCGTCGCATAAAATAGGAAGTAGTTGTAATAACTTGCATAGGGAAATGGAGCCGGAGCAGTCCATTCGATAATCTGCCTAGGAGTCGTCGCCATAAACTGTTTGGTAAACCAGATCCAAGCCAATTTCACGACCTGGAGAAGATCGATGGCAGCGCCAATGTTTCTCTGCAAAACCCAGGTGACCCAAAAGGGGGAGATGTGGCACAGGGCTGACATAACATGGTAATGGATCCGTCCCTTGATGATCGCATCCCAAACGTTGTTGTTGTCATTTTTGGCTTCGATCACTGCGGTCACAAATGCCCAAATCGCCGAGAATATTGAAAATACCACCAGGTTGTTGAAAACGAAGAAAGCATATAAACTATGAATGACATGGCGCTCCCGCGATGTTTTCGTGATGTCGCCAGCCCGGACTGAGAGGCGCCGGAATATAATGGGTAAGACGAGATAGACCAGGGATGTCAACGCTGGAGCTGCAATACCTTGCACCGCGGCCCAGGTCTTGGGATTTGCATGAAGCTCATCTTGAAATCCTTTCCAGACCTTACCCAGATTGGACAGATCAGCTAAGAAGATGGCAATCATGGCGTTAGGTGCGATCCACAACAAGGTCAACACGGTAGACCAGAAAAAATTGATTATACGTTTCCTTTTCCGAATCTTTCTCGTAAGGGCCAGATTTTCCCAGATAATATCATAAGGTCGCGGGGCAAGAGTAATCGATATGCCTTGCGGGTGCTTATTTCGAGCAGCATAGGCCGCTACATGGGCGTCGTCAATCGATTCCCAGCTAACGAAGCCGTAGGGCATGGCGTTCAGGGTATCGATTGACTCCCGAACATACTTGATCTCGTCCTCGAGGTCGCGAATTCGGCCTGTAAGGTAGTCGATGGCGTCGACTTTCTCAGAGCCATGCTCCGCCTGATATTCTTTTGAAGGACGGCAGGTAGGACGTTTGGAGGGGAGTCGATCCGGATTTTTGAAGTATTTGGCAAGTACTTCTTCAAGTTGTCGAACCATCTTGTCATGCTCTGCGATAAGTTTTGGTAGACCCTTCATGTTGCGGCCAATCGAAGCGCGGGGTACTGATGGGGTAGGATTGATCTCGTCCGTCAAGCGTAGGAGGCCTTCATCTGTTCTGAAATCGGGCGGTATATGTCTAACCTGTATTCCAAAATAAATTAGTTCATAAACTCTTTAGAGAGGTCACATCAATGGGGCAAGCTTACCAAAAGGGTTCTAGCATGTAGACTCTTCTGGTACTCAGGACTTTCAAAATAATGTCTTCTCAAAGTGGAGACAGCTTTATAATTGCGCCATAGAAAATAGGCGACGATGGCATTGAAAAGCCAGAGACAAACGACATGACTCCAAATTGCACTGTATGATACATACTCTGGGGTCATAGTTGCGAACGCATTGATACCCACTGGCGGGGTGCTCTTAGCGATGTTTATGGGGATCATAACGAAACAGCCGATGACGCTCGAGGCCAAAAACATATCGCGGCACATTCTGGTGAAGCGCAAGAACACTGTAGCATCAAGACCAATACAATCGATGAGCTCGCTCTCCTTGGTGTTTCTAAGCGGGGTAATCCAAGCGAATAGGCCCTTTCCCACGGGAGGAGGGGTGTGCTTCTGGTCCGCATGCTTTATTTTAGGGGCGTAAACCAGCGAGTTGCGGGGACGGAAGAGGGAGAAGAGTAAGCCAAGGGAAAGCGTCAGTCCGACTGATGTACCAAACGAAGCCCAGAAGGCATTGAGTTGGAACTGAAGGAAAAAGAGTAAAAGTTAGCTTTTGGGGAAAAGAGAAAGACACAATTGCTACTACATACAGCAGCGCTGAATGGATTCCGGATCAGCTCCAGGAGCTGGTCTGCGGGGGTCTTTCCCCCGTCCTGGCGAGCTAATATAGCGCCTTCCATAAGGATCGGCAGCGATATGATAACGATGGGATACGCTAATCAAGCGGTTGTATATGTAGTAAGGTCCCTGGTTTCCCCCCAAAATGACTGACACAGGAACATAGGCAAACGAGCAGACACTCTCATCTAAGCGGTAGAGGGGAATGTCATTCCCGGACCCGAGGATCCCCCGTGGTAAAATATAGACAACGGATGCCCAGACGTATTATGGGAGGAGCGTGACAAACAAGAGGACGGTTTCGCGGACTCGAGGATTCGAACAACGAATGTGATGTGTATAAGGCCAACAAGGGGAGTGTGGCGTTTACGAGCTGGGAGAAAAGAAAAGACGTAATAAGAACAAAATAAGGCAAGAAGAAGAAGAAGAAGAAGAAGAAGCAGAAGAAGAAGCAGAAAGTCCTCAATCAACGAATGGTAGGAGAACCTTATTAAAAATGGGATAATGCGGGACGATATCAGGGAAATGCGAATGACATGGACAAAAAGAGCGCCGGGGGAGAACCAGACAAAGACCGAACACCTATCTCTTCACTGCTTTTTACATAGGGCGGGTAGGGCAGACAGGTCGAAATATCGGAGAACCAGAAACAGATTAGAAAAAAATTAACCCTAAAAGTTTAAGCAAGAAATTTAGTAATATCATCGCATTAACATCCACGGTTCTGCACCGTACCCCCAACCAGACAACGTTGTCGGATGGAGAACCAGCCCGATTATGGGCGAAGGCAATAATTAATTCATAGTTCGGCCCATACTAAACGGTAGCGCTGCCCAATGTCTCAAGTGCCTGAGGTTTTGTCTCCGTGAGTCCGTGTCTTGTGTGAAGTTTTGAAGTTGTTGGACGTTGTTGGTTGAAAGTTTAGAAGTCTCTCAAGCCACTCTAAATAAATAACGCCTCAACGCCTCACGCCTGGCCCATGAGTCTATGACAGGAATCATCAGGACACTACTGAGGACAGTCAGGACAGTCAAAAAGTCCCAGACCCAGACCGCGGTCCTTGATCCACCGCAGTGGACCTGTTTTCTGGCATCAGCTCACTCTAGCCTCTACCCATTGCTCAAAGAAAGGCGAAGAGAGAACAGATACATAATCAACTGGGAGAGGTATTCGTCAGCGGGGACAGAATCCACTGGAAACAAGGAACATCAAGGAACATTCCCTGGAATCAAGTTTCATGGTTCAACGTTATAGAGTTCTCTTACATGTAGCAGACACACCGCACAGCTTGGAAATGTTACCGTGTGCCGTGCTTTGCAACCATCTTCTGGTCCAACGGGTTATCATTATTATTGTAATTTCGAAAAAAGAGAAAAAGTGAGGATTGAAACGGGCAGCCTGAAAACCCCGAGACTCAAGCTTTGCTGAGTTGTTGTTGTGCCTGGTGCCTGAACCTGGCCGACGTTGAGGTTGACAACGCCTGGTGTTGGTATCATCAATCCTACTCTGCTATTTATATCTCTTCTTCTGAGACATCGGAAGAAGCACAGCCAACTCAACTCTCCCCCTAACTACGGAGTACTCGTTGAGCACAAAGAAAGCAGAAAAGACAGACAGAGCTGGTCCATCCTACTTTCATCTCTGTCCAAACATACAATTGTCAGTTCAAGTTATCAAACAGTGTTTGAATCATGGTTTCAGAACACTTAGCCGACCCAGTAATATTTTTTTTCTATTGTTTAAAGTTTTACCTTCTTGTATTTTGCCAATGCATAAAACTACGGCAGCCTATACAGCTCTGGACAGGGCTACCAAACAGGCTCTTAAGTAGTTGGGTAGGTGACCACCAGCGAATCCGGGGCTTTCGTATGTTTTTATGTTTTTATTTTTTTGTAGTTGTTTTGTATATTTAATTACGGACAAGGAGGAATCTATAAACCGGGGTATCATACAGAACAAAGTAGAGAGAGATAATCTAAGCAGGCATTATATCATACACGAACTACACCTACCTCCATATATAAAATCATTCCACCCCCCTAACCATCTATCTCCGCCGGCACAAGCTCCCTCAACATCACCTCCAACCTCTATCCCTGCAGGATCGTCCCGATGGGGTGAATTCGCATCCGCCGTCCCATGCCATTTCAGCACTTTAGGAAATTGTACGTCCTCGAAGCGGAAATCCCAGTCATCAGCTAAGCTGTCAGCCGTTGCGTTTCCTGCGCTGCCGTGGGCAAACGCTTCAAAGATGAGTTGGAGGAATTGCTCACAGCGTTCTTTATATCGGTACTCGGTTTGACGTCATCATCGTTGTCGTCGTTTGTCGGTGACGGCGCGGTCGCTGCCAGACCAGTCTTACTCTTGCCCTCTTGCAACCTCTCTACTCCCCCCGGACCCTCAACACCCTTGACCGCATCAAGCCTACCCAACCACCGCTCAACTAACCCCGCCTAACCAGAAAATCACTCACCCCTTCTAACCACACCGGCCACCTCCAAAACCCGTCTGGGCATTGGAATACCCCTATTCCCATCAACATCAGCATCACCACCACCACCACCACTACTAAGATTCTCAACAGCAGCAGCAGCATCAGCAGCATCAGCAGCAAGAGGAGCACCCCACCACGGCCCCGCCCCCCTCACTATCCTCCTCACCACCCCCTTCCCCCCGCCTCCCTCAGCCTCGCACAAGCAAGCACATACGGCCCACCCCCGACCCTCCCAGAACCGCACACCTCTCCAGACCAGATGGTCCACCAGCGCACGCACATCGGCCGGCCAGTCCATGATGCAGCAGTTGGGGAGGTAAGTGGAACGGCCGAAGCCGGGGCGGTCGGGGGCGATGATGCTCAAGTGCAGGCAGTGAGCGAGCGGAGTGAGGGACGCGGACTTCGAGGCGGGAGGAAGGGTAGCCAGCCGTGGAAGTAGAGGAGGGGGAAGCCGGATTTGGGGCCGTATTCGGCGAAGCTGAGAGTGGAGGAGGGGGGGAAAGGGGGGGAAAGGGGTGTGCGGAGACCGGGAAGAGGCCCTATATGAGGTTCTCATTGTTTGTAGTTTGGATATCTGATTGATCGATGGCGGGCCGACAGGTGGTAAGTGTGTCGGCGCCATACACTGACTGAAAGGAGGCATTCCCGCGCATGCTGAATATAAGGCTCTCGTAGGATGTCAGTCGAAGTAAAGTGGGCGATTGATAATAAATAAAATAACGAGGTAAGTCCGTAAATATATACAAGTCGTAGGCGCGTCCACCTCTCATCGAGGTTCCACCTCCCTTAACCACGTCGATGGATGCCTCAACTGTGCGTTAACTTAGCAATCGGGCGCCATAGCTAAAGCTGCTGGCGTCGGACGTCACCGGTATCATTTCACCCTTTCCGACAGAATCAGGGGTACGTAGTGGATTGCCTGATATCTAAATATCTAGGTATTATAAGCATCATCACCGTTCTGCGGCAGTTGCAACGTCCATACCGAGTCACATCGCGGGTTTTGTTACCTAGGTAGTTAGGTAGGGGACCGTTCGATACGCGTATTCAACGAGAGAACTTAACTAAATAAGGGGATCAGGGTTAGTTAGTTAATGTTCTAGTTAAATATGTGCATCCTGGGGGTGTTGAACAGTCGCGCCATCCCAATCGCATCCCATCCCCAGCACACATTTTCAGCTGGTCTGGTCTGGTCTGGTCTGGTGTAAATAAATAGTTAAAATAAAACAGATATTTAAACAAACTTGCAAAATATCCCAGCTGTCTTCACAAACAGACAGACCAGTCCCCCATAAACTAAATACCCTCCCTCACTCCCTACCACCACTACCACCTACCAACTTCCCGTCCAACGTTGGTCACCATTGGCCGGCACCGAACTTGATTAAATAATCTGCTTTGAATTCGATTTTCATCACCAGTGTCAGTGACCTGACTGCTTCAAATCCCTTTTCTTTTTGTTATTTAACAGATCGCCGGCCCGAGTGGTAATCGTCACCAGCTGCCTCAGTTCGTGCTTCGTCCCGCGAGGAACAAACAATACATAACTAGTTAAATAGTTCTTTCTATTTATCCGTACAGATGTATGAGGTAATCTGATTTTCATATATTTCAAATGAATATTTATCTCCTTTCTGAAGCTACGACTTATATATATATTAACTATTTACCCCAAAGCACACCCAACGCATGCGGAGATGTGAGAAAAATGAGAAAGGTAAAAAAAAATAAATAAAAAATAACAATTGACCACTTTGACTCAAATCCCGCCCTTCTGTTCAAAACAAGTCGAGTCAGAGGAGGAGGGCGCACAACTATCATCCCCCCGGACGGCGATCGCGCGTATAGAAAACTGAATATCAATATTATTTATGTATTTATCCTCTTTTCTTCATACAAAAGGTTTTTTTCTTATAATTATTTTTTTCGTTTTCAAAAAAAAGAAGAAAAAAAGAAAAAGGAAAAAAAAGGGAAAAAAAACTCTCTTCCTCCCCCCCCCCCTCCCTCCTTTTTCATTCACTCATTTCATAATTCTTTTACAGCTGGTTCGAAGTATTAAAATCATCAAGCCCCTCCTGTACCCGGACGCTCATGGCCTTCTCGCCTTCCCGAATCCAGACACGGGGGTCAAAGTACTTCTTGTTCGGCTTATCATCTCCATCCGGGTTACCCACCGCAGTCAGCAGGTAATCCTTCTTGCCGAGGACGAAATCGCGCACGCCGCTCAGGTACGCGAACTGCAGGTCCGTGTCGAGGTTGACCTTGACAACGCCGTAGCTGATGGCTTCCTTGAACTCGTCCTTGGAGGAGCCGGAGCCGCCGTGGAAGACGAGGAAGACGAGCTTGTCCTTGTCGGAGCCGGTCTTCTCCTTGACGTAGGCCTGGTGCTTGGAGAGGAGTTCTGGGTGCAGGCGGACGTTGCCGGGCTTGTAGACGCCGTGCACGTTGCCGAAGCCGGCGGCGATGGAGAAGTAGGGGCTGATGGCTGAGAGGGTCTTGTAGATGGCGTAGATGTCCTCGGGCTGGGTGTAGAGGGAGGCGTTGTCGACGGATTCGTTGTTGACGCCGTCTTCTTCACCGCCGGTGATGCCGATTTCCTTTTTTTTTTTTTTACATGATCAATGAATGGATCTAGGTAGTTTATGTGGGATGTGTAACTCACCATCTCGAGCCATTGCTTCATGGGCGTAGCGCGCTTGAGGTACTTGGCAGTGGTCTCAATGTTCCACTCGACGGTCTCCTCGGAAAGATCAATCATGTGGCTGGAGAAGAGAGGCTCGCCATGGATCTTGAAGTAACGTTCATCCTCGTCGAGCATGCCGTCCAACCAAGGGAGCAGCTTCTTGGCGCAGTGATCGGTGTGAAGGACGACGGGAATGCCGTAGGAGGGAGCAATGCTTCTGATGTAGTGAGCCCCGGCGATGGCACCAGCAATGGAAGCTTCTTGGTTGCCATTAGGAATACCCTATATTCATGTTAGATACCGTAATTTCGGACACGCAATACCGGGTTTTGCGGCCGTTTTAATTTACCTTTCCGGCAAAGAAGGCAGCACCACCCTGGGACATCTGCAGGATGATGGGGCTTTTCTTGTCACGAGCAGCCTCGAGAGCGGCCACGGCAGTAGAAGAGGAGGTTACATTCTGTAAGAGAAACACGAATTGAATTAGTTTTTTGCCGATTTTTTTATGTGGCTGGCATTTGCCGAAGATAGGGCGGGGTACATACAATGGCAGGAATAGCAAAGACTTTCTCCTGGGCATACTGGAAGAGACGAAGGACATCGTCACCGACAATGACGCCGGATTTGCGGGAGAGAACGTCTAGTACACCCATGATGACTGTGTATTATAGATTTATGTGTGTGTTGTGGTTGTTTGTTTTCCGCGAGGGTTATGGCGGGGTTCGGGAATCTGATGAAATGCGAAGAGGGGAAGCGAATTGGCAAGATTAGCGTGTGTAATATGAGATTGAAGCCCACGAGAGTATCCAATGGCAATTAGTTAGATGGGGAGATATAGATAGATATATTGACAAAGAGCAGTAAGACAAAGATGAGATGTGAAAGAGGAGAGAGTAGTAGAGAGGGAGGGGAGTGCAGTGGTTTAAATTCGCCCATGATGAAAGCGATGGCGCCGATGGAGGGGCAAAAGACGGGCAAGCTATGTATGTCATCGCAGAGTAATACAAGAACAACAACAAGGAAAAGTCATTTTAAATAGAGAACGGGGACAAACAAACCTGTTGAGGGATATAGTTATAGTGGGGAAATACGATGGAGCAAATAACAGGAGAATGTATTCAGTATATTTGAACAACGATGAAGGATGAGAGGAGGAAGAGGAGGAAGAGGAAGAAGAAGAAGAAGAAAGAGAAGAGACGGAAGAAATCTCTGTTCCTTTTTTTTTTTTTTTTTTTTCCACCCGCTTCGACAGTGGGGTAAGAAAAAAAAAAAGCGGCTATTCTCTGTCTTTTTCTATCCTTGATATCTATCACCATGTTCCATGCTCTCAGCCATATTTAATAATAATCCTGCTAATCCTGCTAATCCTCGCTGTCTTGCGCCTGGCTTCGTCCGCGTTTCTTGATGGTTTTCCCAATTCTGTCCGCGCTCATCATCTTACAATTGTCAATCATACCGATGGGGGTGCAAGTTTGCTGCAATATGAGAAATAGTCATTCACACGCAATATCAGCGAAACACATATCATCTCATCTGCCAGTCAATCTGCACCGTACAGACCTAGCAATGTTTCGACAGTTTCCTGTTCCTCGATTGCCATACGCAGTAGTATTACCATTACATCATTGTCATCATATTATTGTGCCACCATCATCACCATTACGATTGAATTCAAAGTCATCTTTCTCCCTCCACTTTATTCCCACGAATCTTGGCTATATCGATTACTACTCAACAGCAAAAAAACCCCCCCAAAAAAAAGCCAATAGAAACCCGGAGAATACAAAGGACTTCAACTAGCCTCGCCCCAGTGTTTGTTTTTCCCCCTCCGACTTTTTCACTACTACATACAATAGCCCCTCCCTCCATCCGTCATTGGCAGCAAAACCGGCGAACCAGTCGGAGACACGGAAATGTTCCTTAGAGACTGTCTACTACGTACTTAAAATATATATATATATACGTAGTATATATATATCTCTCTCTATATATATATATATGATTATTCTCTATACATGTAGTTGTTCTTCATTCCAGGAGTAAAAAGCTAATCCCCACAATGTTGTTGTCATGTTCCGCCATGCTTCATGCTTCATTCGGCGTCCCGGTGTGGTGTAGGTTGATCGCCTGGTGGTTGCTCTCGGTGTGAGTCCTCTCGGCGTGATTCGCCTTCACGCGGTGGGTGGCACAATGGGAACTAAAAGTCACAATCCCGTTGAATTTGGGGGGGAGGCGGGAATGGGAAGGTTGTGCTGCGGAAAGAAAATCTCCGTAGCCACAGCTGTTATAAATATTTCAAGTTTGGTCACTGCAGTGCCAGCCATACCATACCAAGCTAACTTATATGTATTATCATTTGCCTTTATCGATCGCATGGAGAGGCGAGGCTGCAAGACAGGCGAGGCGGGGAGGTTGAAGACCAGCGACAGCTGTATCCTTCATCTGTGTTGGAAACGAATGCTAATGATTCAATTTTTTTTTTTTTTTTTCTGTTTCATATGTGCAGTCTCCCCCTCTACTCTACTCCGTATTCATCTTCAAAAACAAGGGAAACACCGTCCAGAAACACCAACACTTGAACCGTTGCCCTGCTGGTTGTCGCAGAGATTTGTTGGTCCCATGCCTAGGTAGTATCCCGAAAACAGACGGGTTTTGTATCATCGTCAGGGAAGTAGACCACTAGTGATGGATGGTAGTTAACGCATCTCTTAGCGAAAAAAAAAAAAGGTTGTGAGAGGTCTAGTTTTCTGAGCGATTTGCGCCTGAGTACTCCGTAGGTAGTAGCACTCTCCTTTATCCGTGAACCCTGTCGGATGAAGATGAAAAGGTTCCCATGCAAAGTAGGGCAGCCGCCTGGGAAGAAGGCAGCCAAAGACAACTCCCTCGTAGAAGTAGGAGTTGATTGAGAGAGCCGAAAAAAGGAAAAAAAGAAAAAAGGGAAAAAAAAGAAAAAAGAAAAAAGAAAAAAATTTCATCGACCACGGTGCGATTCGAACGCACAAATCTTTGGTGCCGAAAACCAACGCCTTAACCATTAGGCCACGCGGCCTGCACTTAGTACTGCTTCCAAGAATAGCATCTTGTGGTATGTGAGTTATAGTGAGTTTTGCCGGAAACGGCCATACCCTACGTAGTCTTGGAGGAATAGATAGATGACAGGGGTGCAATTCGGGAGAGACAGTCTTTCAGAGATGTCAGGATAAAATAGTATTATTATCAAACAGTTGTGACTGGTGGGTATTTTTATTCGTGAGGGTGTATATCTGTTCCACCCCTCTTGGAAACAAAATAATAATAACTACTTACTGATCGCCAGTAAATGCGGGGAAAAGACATCTCAAAGGAAAAAAATGTAAGGGTGACGAAAAGTACCATACGGTTTTTTTTTTTTAAAAAAAAAAAAAAAAAAAAAAAAAAAAAAAAAAAAAAAAACCTTGCGGGACGATATATATCATATATCATATATGTTCGTCAGATTAGGTCGTCATCAGTGCAATGCAAGAAAAAGATGATGGTAGTGGTAAAGAATAATGGCTAAAAAAATTGTAAACGGAAGAAAAACAATGTAAAACGAAAAACTGCCCATCAACAACCCCGTCTAACCTCCCCACTTCTTGACTTAATATTGTATCCGAATGGGATCTTCCCATACAAAAGAATGGTAGCTAGGTATGCCTAGGAAGTGGCGGCATCTTCAGGCTTCCTGCCATATGTGAAATGTACCCAGCCGTACATATGGATCTCTCGGTTTTTGATATCCTTGCGGACCCCGGAGAGAAGCACCTGGGTCTCCTCGGCACTCCACCCCAGAATCTTCGTGAAGAGGAAGAGCGAGTACGGCTCCAGCGCCTGCAATACCTGCAGCTGCTGGAAGCGCCCGATTTCTTTCAACTTCTTGTCCTTGGGCCAGGTACCGATGGGGAGCTAATTTTTTAAAAATTTTTTAACACGCACATTAGATAAGGTTTTAATTAACTTATGTTGAGACGAGGGGAAGATAATAACAAGAAGAGGAGGGGAAGAGAGAGGCCGTGGGCAGACGCGGGTAGGTATATAGGATCTCTCACCTTCTTAAGCGTGGTCTTAACATCCACGAACCCAGCCTGCTTCAACTTCTCCGGAAACGTCTTCACGATCTCCAATGGCTTTCCAAACTTGGCACTTGCTTCGTATTCCATATGCATCCATTCCAACGCATGTTTTGCTTTCTCGAGCGTCCCGTCATCGCTAAGGAAACACGGCTCGATGGATTGAATCTCAAAGTATCCGCCCGGCACCAGGTTCTTGTAAGCCTGCTCGAAGAGCTTGTCGAAGTCGCCGATTGATCCGGCTAGTTCGCGCGCATGGATGAAGTCGAATGGTCGGGTATATGGCCATGTTGCCTCGAGGTCGTCGATCTCAAAGACACAGTTCGTGGGGACCCTGCAGGTAGAAGATGGTGGGTCGGTTGCTTGCTCCAACAACCAAAAAAGGGGCACAAAAGGGAAATGAGGGGGGAGGAGATTGTGTGCGCGTGGGTGCTGTCAAAGAATGTTTCAATTCTTACCATGATGGTTGGATGGGACTCAGATCATTCCCTATAAGATGACTATTAAATAATAATTCTTCAGAATACTTGGGCAGCATTCTAAAATAGGCGATAATGCTTACCCACAACATGCGACTCGGGGTGTGCGCTGCAATTGATACACTAAGTTAGAGCTAATTCACAGACAAAGAAACCAGAATTATAGATAGCAGTACTCACTCTGCAAAGTCAATCGCCCATATTCCTGTTTCGAAGGGATGGTCAGAGAGGGCCAGGGCAAACAAGATATCGATAGGTAAAGGGCCGAAACCGCGCCATACCAGTGCCTGTTCCAATATCAAGAACTCGCTGTGGATTCGCTTTTATCGGGGAAACATATATATCTCCACCTAAGAGCAGTTTGTAGATGTGGTGGGTCTGTGTTCCGAGGGGCGGTCAGATGAATTTCTTCAAAAGGTAATTGCGCAATTACCAGTATAGTATATGACGTCGGAGAGGATTATGGCTAAGCTTCGGATATCCTTACCAAGTCCATGCGATCCTGCTCGTCTTCATCATTTGGCTGACGGGAAGGAGCGAGAATATGTTAGTCCCAGATTTTCCAAACGTAATCACATATGGCGAGGAGATTATGGACCCACCAAAATATATTCCCCAGCGCGGAACGAATTGTAACGTCTTCCGTTCTAAGTCCCCAGAAGTCGCAAGTAGGCGGTCGTTGTATCAGCATTCGTAGCTCTCAAGCCGGCCCTTCAGGATTGGAAATGACAACGGCCTCGGTAGACGTTGTATCTGTGAGAACATTTCCACGTACCGCATATCTAGCAGGTTGTCAGAGCTCCTCAAATTCAGAGAAGAATAAATATATACATATATATATATATATGTATAAGAAGGCGCTGATTGATATAGGAATGTGATTCCTTACACATAGTTTTTTATGCTGGAGGCAAGCGTCGTTGCATAACTGGCACTTCCCACGCTGTGATATTACCGAGAACCATAAATCAGCAAGAATACTCACTAGATCCTGTTACGGATCAAGTATATAGAAAGCATGTTCCCAAGCTAGAATAGGAGGAAGCACTGGGAAACTCACGAGCCCTCGAATGCAGAGTCGGTATCGTCATTAGGCTACACATAAATATCAAGGTTAATTCCGAAGGTTGGTATTTGGTGAAAACCAAAGGTAAGTAAAAAGAAGACGGAACAGACATCTGCTTCGATATTTGGCACCGCATTATGAGCGTCGTTGGCCATAGTGAAAAAATATCTGGAAGAGTAAAGGTGGGAAAATGCGCTTTGGTATAAAGTTTCCAGAGACCTGACTGAATGCGGAAGATAACTACCTAAGCGGTGGTGATTGTTTGGTTTTGGGATATTGGTATTGTTATTTATAGCAGAACTAGAATTCTTCGGTCAAGCTTCTGGCCTTTGGAGGGGTTGAAATTGGGGGAGAAGGATGATCTTGTCGAGACGGACAAAGGAGAATTTTGAAGGGCAGCCATAAATAAATAAACAGGAGGGAAACCAAAAGGGGAGGGGGACGGCAGATGTTCCGGGCGGATATTATCCTTCGCCGTCACAAACGAGCTAAAGGTCATCCGGCTGGGCATCCAGTAACTTATCATTGTCAATAACCACCAATCATGGCCCTCTAAGCCTGCGGGCGAATGCCCATTGTTGCTCGATTTCCCTTCTGCTCGCGCCGCCGGGCGCCATGACCCGCGTGGGCGACGAGGATTGTCGACTTTGGTGGTGATTCTGTGAATCTGTGAAGGGTAACTAAGGGAATGCTAGCGGAGATCAAGACATGTTATGTTCCAATTAACCGGCCTTAAAACGGGCGACTGTGGACTAGGTCTCCTCCTCCACCCTGGGAACTTCCTCCTCCCCGTCCGCGTTCTGGAATGGTTCCTCATCCCGGCTCCCCGTGCGCAATGATTCGAGGAGGAGTGTCGCGCTTGGATCCAGCTTACTCCAGAGGAGGGAAGTCAATTGGCCTGCAGGACAATAGGACGCTTGGGGCCATGGATGGGCCGGAGGCGGACAGCGCTCGTCGTGGCACCAAGGGATATACAGCGTATACCTACCCGCTATCCGGCTCATCCCATCCGGCCGCTATTTTAGACGAATAATGAGGTGAGGTTGTTTTTTCTGCAAATCCAAATTATTCACCTCAACTGTCAAGCCTTCTTACGGATTATCAGCAAGAGTCTGATTTGCGACATGAGCAACTACGCTTGGTTATCTGGTGATATTCCTCATTTGATATAAAACAAAACAACCAGTGCCCTGTCTACGGATTAACAGGGAATCAAGGACTTGAGATGTGTTTCTGCAATAATCCAAATCCTTCAGGACCATGCCTGTATGTCAGACCAGTTATTTTTGAAGCTCTGTTGGGCAATGTCCCTCTTGGCCCCGAAAGCACGAACGTGGCTCATACGGATCCCTTCTCCAGCCACCTAGCCCTTCCAGTTCAGCAGCTGATTGACGGGTCAAAGAAGGGTTCTGCTCTTCATATTGTTCTTCCGTTGACCCCCATAAACGGGCATCCATATTCTTCTACTGGCTGGAATCCAAATTGCGGGGTACATTCACCTCGATTTATGTTTCCCCCTTGTAGGGATATTTTATTATTTGTGCTTTGGGCTGTCGTGAGTGCAAGTGGATAAGGCAAGCTCGCCAGTTCATTCTCCGTGCATTCCATTACCATTCCATTACCATTCCATTACCCTTATTAACTACCATTCTGGTCCGGTTTCCAGCGTTTGGCTCAGACCAGAGCAGGGACGGACGAGGGTTAGGAACATTGCTGGAAGCCTGAAACCAAAATTCCGAGAATGGTTTCTTGACTGGTTATCACAACCCTCCTTACAAACACAACCAGTGCGACTTCTCAGCCCTCTGAAGCTCCATTGCTCTGGAATTTATCACGGTGGACTGCACTTTACTGCGTCCCACGTCTGTCGGGTAGCGACAGAACACAATCAATTTCGAACAATAGTATTATTGTAGATCCAAGAGAGGATTGAGATCAAGCATGCCCTTCAGACAAATTCCCTAGGAGCATCCATGCTCCTTTATATCCCTATGTTATGACATTCCGTTGGAAGTGTGACACCAAGCGCGAAGCCGAATTCTGCCATCGATATCTATCCGGACGGCTGGAGAGTTTTGGCCTCCCGGTTTAAATCGTTTTTAAGTCGCGGGGCAAGGCATACCGCAAATACTTCGCAGGGGAGTGCAACCTATAATTTTTAGTGACGATTGTGTATGATGTTTTTTGGACATCTCTCATGTGGAACGCGGAATACGAAAAATTCAAGGAGAGCGGCAATCTTGCCATGCTAGCGGCCACTTCGTAATGTAGCGAACGACTCACGAAGTGTTCTTGCCGAGGACAAACGACACATCCATCCGCAACGAGGTGATCAGTGGCAGACACATCGTTTGGGGCAGGGCGATTAGAGAACAAGTTAAATTACGAGTTTGCAGGCGCTCTAATCCTGGATGTACTGTCCTCATCCGACCCTTCTTGCCCAGCAGAGCAGGAAGGCACAATATGTACATATACAGTAACTACATGTTACCCCTTGGCGTCGTACCCTAATCCATGGTAGAAGCCATGAAATTCAAGAAAGTAGGGCTTACCATCCACGGCTAAAACTGCCGGGTTATATATCATTCCCACTACACCGGGTAATAATGATGAGGCATGTTTGAAAGAACAAAGTTCTGAAGAACATGAAAGTGTATAAGTGAATAGTTTAACTAGAACTGTTTCAAGCCTAAACTCTATATATATCAATATATGTAACTTATATATAACTCGAACATAGAGTGAAGGGCGGTAAAATCTTCTGAAGATACATACATATGAGTCAGTATGCTAAAAAGATGACTATTTAACTAGTGATAACTTGCTAAACATTAAAATGAGATAAAAATGAGATAAAAATGAGATAAAAATGAATAAAGGAAATAACCGAAGGGATAGCGTTGCTTCCCTCTAACCCAGTGCAAAAAGAAAGAAAAGAAAAATAAAGCACCAACGGGGAGAATGGTGAAAGTGAAAAGCAAATCATTTCGCGCCAACCGAAGGGGAAAATAAGTTGATATCTTTGATGATATTGTCTGTTGATTCCATCCGAGACCCCTTCCCTTCTTCCCCTCCATGCTTCAGTATTTTTTTTCTCTGCAGGTTTCCTCTATTTCCTCATTTGCTTCGTGTTCAATTTTTTTAAAATTTCTCCAACCTCCCCCCCCCCGGGGGGGGCCCTACCATTCATCCCCTTCTATTTTCATTTTGTTTTCCTAGCCTTGAGGTAGAAAGATCTATTCTTGTTCATCATCACCCGGCCTCTCCATTTCGTAGAAAAGCAAATAAACCTCCCTCTGCATCCCCAGCACATCGCTAGTTTTGCATTCTTTAACCTTATCATCGCTGATCCGCCACCAGCGGTCATTCGCCCGTTTTTTCCGCCGGATACGAGACTGGAGCCCGGCGCCCGGTACTGGAATTTTTGCACTCTTCGTGCTCGACTGGCGCCTTAGGCTAGCGGAAGTAGATGCAGCGGCATCCGACGAGGGGGATAGAGTCAATCGTGGCGTAGCAGGTGATGATATGGAGGGGTCTTGATTCTCTTCTTGTTCTTGTTGCTGTTGTAGCGGGGGAGTTGATTGTTGGGACACCGGAGCTAGAGGGCCCACTGTTCCTCCGCTTATGCCGGTTGAGGGCCGGGAAGGGGACGCGGACAATGAAGGGATAGGAAGGGAAGCGCTAGACGCTGATGGAGATGGAGAGTTATCGGAAATGCTGAGAGGACTAGCGTCAGAATCCTGGCCGGCAGGAGTCTTCTGTTTCGGGTGAATTTGGGGGCTCGGGGCAGTCGATGGGTTCTGACTTGTTGAGCGACTTTGCGAGTAAGAGCGGAAAACGTCTGGGGTAGAAAAGGGCGCGTAAAGATGGTTGCGCCGGAAGGATTCGTAATGGCCGCTGTGATGGCTGCCCTTGTGGCAGACTATGCCCAGCAGCTTGTACCACTTCTGATCGAGGATGCCGCCAATAGGCAGTCGTTCGGGAAACGACACCTTGGCGGCGTTTTTTGTAGAGCTATTCTGATCGAATATTGAACGGGATAGATGTATGGCTATCAATTTGGGGAAGGAAGTGATTCGCATATGTCTTGCGATGTTGCGCTTTGGGACGTCATGGGCATTTGGCATACTGACGCCCTTGGGGACGGTTTCCGGGTCACTTTCAAGGGCGTCTCGGATGAGAGAAAGTTCGCGGTCCAGGTGTTTGAATTCCCGCGCCGACTTAGTCTTCTCCATTTCTGCTTTCTTCATTTGATGTGCTTGCAGAAGGACGCAGTTGTCGCATCGGAAGTCGTCGATATATTCCGTTTTGAGCAGGCCGTCGAAGCACGAACTTAGAGTAGTAGAGCTCTGCTGGGGCACCTGAAGTGTAAGGTTGACGAACGAGGTCTGGTTTGGCTTGTATCTATAGTGGCACGATTGGCATTCTATTTGAGACTCCATCATCCCTTCAAATGGGAAAGGAAACTCGGTATCCAGAGTCTCCGCCTTCACATCCGTGGATGGTGATCCGTTCTCTAACTCCGAGTCACTGTTCCCAACATTGTATCCAATTACAGACTTCACATCCACCATCGAACCCACCACATCGACGCTGAGAGAGGACCTAGCCGCCCTTTCCCGTGCCTTAACACCGGCGTGGTATTCGTCACAGAGGCGTTCTGCAACAATTTGTAAAAATTCTTGCGCGTCCTGCTGATTCCGGCTGATCCGCGTTCGGAACGCCCTCTCCAAAGCCAATATAAACCCTCGCGCGGAGATCGTCTTCCTATATATAGGCCGCTCGTTTAAGCTGTCAAGCATCTCCTTCAGGGCTTTGGTAACGGGTGCCTGCTGCAGGTCGCGAACCTTCTCAGGCGTCGCTCCACGTGGGACGTTTTCGATATCCGGCAAGGCATCGTATATTTCGGGGCCCTCCAGCTCACGTCGATAGAGTTCTCGTATCAGGTATAAGCGGAGGTCACCCAGGCCGGCCAGGGCTTGGAGGACGGAGTTGATAAAGCAGTCATTGGACGGGTTCAACAGGCCGACAATGCCCTTTTTCCTGCTGCTGCCATTCGATTCCTCGCCGTCGATTGTAAAGTTGGGGCCGAAAACGTAGAAGAGGGTAATAGCGGCTAGGGAAGCGCCAGCAGCATAGGCTGCAACGGTTGCAGGTTTGTCGGGCATGAGACAGGTTTACCCGTCCATGCTATGCAGCAAAACTTGGGCTAGTCGAAGGTGGGCTGAAACGGCCTTTCGTTTTCGGGGGCCTTGAAGAGGTATTGGAGGGAATCTTTATAGGTATTGTGAAGGCGCAAGCGGCAGTATGCAGCGCTGGTGGAGGTTAGTTACAGCGCAGCCGCAGCCGAAGTCGTGGGGCGATTGATGGAAGACGCAACCCCCGAGTGCCGACGAGGCGTGGGAGACAAGTCGCCTGTCCTTATGACGCACATTGAAGAGGGCAATAGTTGTGCAGAATATCGCCCTGAAATATCAGCGTGAATATGTTCCGCGTAAAGTAAAAAATATGCCGTGAAACACTTGACACCGGCACATCAACAAATATGATCTCTGGTTGAGTAGCCGCCTCAGGGTTGTTTCCCAGGGCCATGAGAAATCCTGTCACTACTTAACTAACAAAGTAAAAGATGTGATTTATGCCTTTCAATTTGTGGATATATTATCTAGATATTTAACACATTGCTCTAGTAGGCAGCATTCCTGTTTCGTTTCATCGCGTAAGTACGCTTCGTTTCTTATTCCAACTTCTATTAAAACAGGGTATGTATGAAAAGGGCATAAATCGTTTACATATACTGAACGGTCCTCCAACAAAGCTGTTTGGTAGGTTACTTGTGCGAAAATATTTAAAGCTTCCAAACAGAGCTATGTCTGCGGGATGCAGAGTTGTGCAACTGATAATAGAAAAGGATTCTGCTTGCGAAACATTCAATCTTTTCAGTCATTTAATTTTTGTAATGTTTGTTGTCCCACAACGACAAGAAGCCTTGCGTTGTCCTTTGTCCATTTGCCTCCTGTCCCTCAGTTCCTGAAGTGCGCCTTAGTATGTCCATCAAGCCGAAATCAGATAAAGAGAAAATGAAAGAGATCACGTAAGGAAAATAAGTTAAAAGGCACATGAAAAAACAAGAAATTGAGCTAGTACTAGAAACCTTATTCAGAGAGATTGAACAAAATAAAAACACATGAAGAAAACATGGGCAAGAAAGAATCAGAGCTTCAAACAACTAAACACACGATCACGAGGATTTGGGCTCGGGAGCATGAGAATTGAAGGCGTGCACTGAAACCCGCAGTAGCTGAGAAGTTCTAGCGATACTGCCCATAGGGAGGACGTGACAATCATCTTTTCTATGCCTTGACACGACTCCGAGTTCGGCTTCCAATTCCCTCAGTGGCGCGAGGCTTGGGGGTTTTCTTTTCAGTTTTCGTGCTTCCCTCGCTCTTCTTGGGTCTGCCTGGGCCCCTCTTCTTCTCGCCATTTGTCGCAGTGTTGGCTTGGGTTCCATTTGTTCCCTTGAAGGGTTCGGTATCGGATTTCTGTTTTTTGTTGGCAGGTTCATCTTTTGGCGCCTGGGCGGCTTTGTCGGCTGCATCGTCGCGTTCGTGCTTGTCTCCCGCGCTCTTTGAAGAGCTGTCAGCATCTTTATCCACGCTAGGAGATGTAGCAGTTCCCGCCTGGGGTGCGCTGACCGCTTTATGCGCGTCCTCATTCAGCGCGGCTGGCTTTCCAACATCCACGGTAGCGGTGTTGCTATTATCTTCTTTCTGAACTTCACCTGTTACGGGAGCTATGGGTTGAAGATGATTAGTTAATTTTCAAAGTAATAAACATTACTCATGTGGTGAGAGGGAGCTCCGTGGTAGTAATTCAGCTGGGCACATCCAACAAGCTTGAAAATAGGGGGGAAATGTAAGTAGCAGAAAGTGCGAAACTGCAGAATGTAATAAGCAGGACTGGAGTCGCAACTCCAGAGTTATCCACCAGTCTCAGACATACCTCCATTGGTTGTTTCAGTGGCCATGGTTGGTATTTATTGAGCGACTGTCACGTATTGAGACGCTTAAGCGGAGAGCGGAAGCGCGCAATTGTGCGATTGGATTGGCTATTCCGTCAAAACGACGTCTTTGATGAATGCAGATGACAGAGATGGTTAAAATGAACTGGATACTGGGTGGGAAAGTGATGATGCAGAGGATGGCGATGATGGCAACACAGCAGTGTTTAGGAGATGAGGTTGGAGGCTGACTGGGATGGGATGTGTGGTTGCAACCGTGACTTGAAGTAGCTAGTCAGCTCTTCGACCCAGATCGCGTGCGGCGGTGACGCTGGGGAGGTTCCTGCTTTGCGGGACAAAACTCTGCCCGGAAAGAAGCTAATAGAAAGCGGTTAGAAAACCATGAGACTGCTATTTTTAGCATTCTGCAAATATCTCCAGGTACGGTAACAAGAGTACTCTGTACATACCTATAGGTAGGTCTCTACCTTGCTCAGATTCTTACTAAATTGGTGGAAAGGTACATGCAAAGCGCCCCCTTCGTTTGTTTTTCAGCTGGCCACTCTCTATCTACATTAATCCAAGTCCTGACAGGCTCACACTCCACTAGTTGATCGTCAAAATCTAGTTAGTACCTTTCAAAGCCGGCCCTTTCTCCTTTTCCGAAAGCCCGCCTGTTTTAGTCTGCACGTGTGTCACTTTCGTGGCAGCGGGATGTCTCTTGCTATTCTACCAGTCGAGATCGTCCTTGAAATCGCGAGTCATCTAAAGTCAGAATGTGACATCAACTCATTTGCGCAGACAGGCTGCCATCTCTACATGATTCTAAATCCGTATCTCCTCAAATATCACATAACCCAGAACGGGGGTTGGAGCAGCTTTGCTATGGGCCGCTCAGATAGGAGATGGAAGCACTAGCTAGACTGTTGCTTAGCTACAATGATGCAGAGAATCGCAGAGTAGACCCTAATTGCGCCGATGCTATGTACCGGCTGAGCCCCCTAACCATCGCAGCAATAAAGGGACATACCAATATCGTCAAACTTCTGCATGGAACTCTAGGAACTATATTTGTTGACGTAACTAATACAGGACGCACGCCTCTCTCCTTTGCAGTCGAGAACGGGCATGTGGAAATAGTAAAGCTTCTGATAGACAACGATGAATTATTCTCTGTGCAAGACTGGGTGCGATGGAGACCCTTGCTATTATGAGCTACGACTCCTAGACCCATTTTTGGCGATGGCGGTGAACTGTATTGGAAAGAACATGGTCAAACCAAAATGACAAGTCGAGCCGATTGAGGGCTCACAATGACCATCAGCGGCCGGGGTTTCGCCCAAGACACTGGTCCTATTACAGCCGCCTACTGCCACCAGATTTACCACCCTTACAATGGATGCCGATGCCTGCGTATGAAGCAATTGTGGATCTGTTACTTAAGGGTAGGGGTGCACTTGAAGCCACCGACCGGGATGGTAGGACCGCTCTCTGTTTGGCCGCAGAATGTGGCTACGAAGAGGGAGTAGAGATTCTCCTTAAGAAAGGGGCTGCGTTGCAACCTCCAGACCGATCTCCATTATTGTTCGCCCTGGCAAACGAACATACCTCAATTGTACGCATACTGCTAGAGGGAGATACAGCTCAGACATTACACGCGGTCTCAGATGGACGAATGACACCGCTAAATTTAGCGGCATCGCGAGGAAATGAAGAAATGGTGAAGCTCTTCCTTCAGAAGACAGTTCATCAGGAGCATGCCTGTTTCAGCTCTAGTTGGCGGCCGCTTATAGAGGCGTCAAGAGAGGGCCATACCGGGGTGGTCGAGTTCTTAGTCGAGTTCTTGCTAGCCGAGCAAGCCCGAAGATGGCCAGGATATTCTAGTCTTTGGCAGCCGCTTTTCTGGGCTGCCTACGGCGGATATGTCACATGGTGGGATTGTTACTCTCAGCCGGGCGAGCACCTGATGTGGGCCAGTTCGTTGTTAATGGCGGGAGTACGGATCGCTTTTTGCTTTTTGACGGCTCGACACCGTTGTCAGCTGCTGCAATGCATGGCCACACGCTTGTCGCGGAACTGCTGCTTGAAACAGGGAAATGCGACGTGAATGCCCGAGACCAGCATGGGTGGGCACCGCTGACATGGGCTTCAAGGAGTAGCGATGAAGAGATGGTATACCCATTGCTGGAAAATGGAGCTGATAGTGAATACATCGATGCTCCAAGTCCCCCTCCTGTCTTTCGCTACGGTGATATTCCCCTGGGACATGTTGCATCTCTGCTGTCAAGCGTGGATGGGGATGAGGCCCCTTATTACTTCTTCCGTGAGCCACTCGACTCCGTTCGAGGCAGACCTCGCCCAAGTTTCCCTACTTACTGTTACCCAGTGTCTTTTACTTAGAAACTTGCCATAAAATATACCTGATGACATACTTACTAGAACTTTATCGAAGGGACCTTCCTTTTCTGAAAGATTTCAGATGGGGAAAGAAAGGTATATAGATGATTATCAACCCTGAGACAGTAGCTGGAGGCGAATTAGCCCTAATTAACTAGGCCTAGAACCTTTCAAACCAAGCGCATTGGCTTGGCAAAAGCTTAGATTCTTCCGCTGTGATGTCCGGGATATGGCTCAATTTGAATTCACGAATGGGGTAAATAAATATGAACGCATAGTAAGTTAACTACTGCATAGGCGAAAGATGAGGATAAAAATTTATTCAGTTAAATAAACCAAAGCTCAGATAAACGTTCCTACAATGCCCATCCTCAGGAGCTAGCTAGATATACAATATCTCTATCTGGCGTTGCCCCTTTCTCTTGTATGCATCTAAACAGCAGCATTCAATCCCTACAGGCTTCTTGGAACAATGAAGAGCTTGCAGCCAGGGGCTCCCTGGAGGGGAGAATGAGCACTTACCAACCTATCTGTTAGTCGATTCTGCAAGAGGATAGATGTCACAAAAAAAAATCTCCCTTGATTAAAACATCTCTAACATACTTGATAGATAGCCTCAGAAAATAAATGGGAGGGCTATCGCGAATATACCAATATGTTACATACACCCAATACTACTGGTAAGGCAAATAAACAACATGTGGGACTATTTGTAGAAAGAGGGTCAAAATGCAGGTACTTATGCAGGAGATGTCTGCACAAGGAGTGAGAGGTTGGCCTGAAATGCTTTCTTGCAGTTAGCGCTATTCCGTCCAGGCTTGTGGTCGTCTAGTGAAGCAGTCATGTTCATTTGACTTGCTGGTTATGACTTTGGATAGGAACCACGGTGAGGTTTGCGACGCCATCTCCCACCCTTGAAAATAGTCGGCTATCACCTGACTTATCGGCCGGCTGTCACTTCATTTAGGAAGTCAGTATCGCGCTTGAAATAGGCGATATATTTTATAGTTCTCCAGTTTGATGGTTGGTCAAATGATTGACGGGCAGGCGCGGGATGGTTTGCTAGTTGCTGGTGTCTCCGTAATACCTATATCCCTGACAACTGCTTCTGGTATAGTGAGGTAGCTCCATCCGTAAAGTATGGTGGTGGTCGAGGTCGCAATTTGGGTTGTAATCATCCATTTGCCCAAACGTCTCCGCGTTGTTTGCTAGACACTAATGGGTTGTCTAACCCGCCATAGAAAGCTGGACCTCGACAGTGGAGAAAGGGAGGTAAGTTTTTATCTTTACGCAGTGTCTTTCGAAATGGGCCTGTAGTCAAGACATAGTTTGGAACCCGGCCTTGTTCCCATCTTCCTACTAGAATCGTGCTTTGCAGACAGAGGCGAAAAGGAGATGCTCCAATAAAAATTATGAGTTGCGAGTGGCCGATTTCTCAGCGTTACTTTCCAATTGCAAAACTCCTCCCATGCACGTATAGTATAGAAGGGACAGAAAAATTTCATACAACCAATGTTGCCATAGCTCATTCCAGACAGATCCCACCCAATAATGGACTAGATCCAAGGGTCGTTTGTGGGTTGGACCTTTCTGAGGATTGTTCGGAAGTAGGTTCTTCTTCGCCTGCGATAAATTGTTTAGCATGGCTCAGCAGCCAAGACGCTTCTGAGTACAATTTCTGTTCAAGGCACAGCTGTGCCGCGTCCAATGATAATCGTAACAAGTGTTTCCGCATGGTTGGTTGGATTCGTATGCCGCGGCTCGCGGGCCTGTGCTTCATATAAGTTAAAGCTGGGTTAACATCCGGATTGGTCGGGTGGTACAAGGGTAAACACGCTCCCCAGAAGTACCTGCTACTGGATAACTGATCAGAGAGCATACGGAATTCATCGAACAGAGCGACAGGAATCTCCTGGACTTCGGGGCTTCTGCAATGGGTTGAAATCCACGAAGCCAATTCAGATCCTGTGGTACGCAATGAGGCACGGAAGGGATCGTGCTTCGAACCAATGAACTTGTCGCCAGGAGGTAATATTCTGCAAAGGCGGATATAGTACCTCAAAGAGGATTGAATCCCTTCACCATACTTTATCTCAGCGGTAACGAATTCACGTAACATGTTCATCAGGCAAAGGCGCTGCGTGGGCAGGAGAGAGTTTGTAAGCCCGCCACTAGAAGGGCCGTTAGATACCATCTTCACCCACTCGATAACTGTGTTTTGAAGTCGGTCAACAACCATGTATGGCATGACTACACCCATAGTGGGCCGGCTACCGAAAAAGAGCATTCTTGACTCGATGTCTGTGGCAGAATACCATGCAACGATTCTCGAGCCCACACTAGAAGGCCCGATGGCATTGGGCGGCTTCGAAGGCGGAGATGGGAGCCCATGCGCCCGCAGACAACAGTGTAGGGCATTATGATCAGCTCGTCCGGATGCTATCAGTTCGTCTAGCAGTCCAAGAGGATCCTCCGCTAATTTCTTCCTCACATTGGGTGCACCTTGAGCGTTACTGTCATTTCGATCTCTCCGGGGCAATGGCTTAGCTGGGACTATTCGGAAAAGAGGGTGGTCGAGGATGGAACTCAAGTGTTCGTCGGTATCCTTGCTTGAGGTACTCGGTCCGTTGGGATTCTTCGGGAGACGATTGGGTGTCGATGACTGTGCTGATCGGCCTATCGGTTTAGCTGGCTCGTGGCCATTGAGAAAGGATGAAAGACGGCGAGATTCTCGCGTAGAACGGCCGAACCGGGGACATTGTTTTGAGAGTGACCTCAAACAATGCGCTCTAGTAGCTTCCATTCCCCCTCAATGCGCTCCCCCCAGCCGGTGGTAATTGAGCAGTAGTAGAGAGTTACCAGTTCTCCCATTCACCACGGACGGATGGTTGGCCGTATTCCCTCCTCTCTAGCGTGCTGTCGTAGCAACAATAGGCGAGGGGGCAAACCCAGATCGGTCACCCAGAGGAAGATTGGTGGTCAACCAAGGAGTGAGGCCAAAGTTAGCTAGTAACAAGTCGACGGGCGAATGCAACCGAGAGCGCACGCGAAAAGGGCCAATTTCCTTAAGTTGGGAGGTAGCCCTGGCTGTGGCTGTTGAAAGAATGCCTCTAGATAGGTATATATACAATAGTTAATGGTCGTTGCAGTTGGAGTTGAAGTTGTTCCTGTGCCTGGAGTAGTAGCAGGAGTGAGGGAGGTGGTGGTGCTGGCGGTAGTCGCCCGACGTAGCGCCGGCTCGCGTAAAATATTCCCAATCGGGACAGAACTGGGCGAATGAGCCGCAGAAGCCAAGAAAGAAAGAAAGAAAGAAACGCGACACATCCTTTGCCTCCCAACCATCCATTTTGTGCCATCAAGACCTGCCCCCGACTCCTCCATCATACCACCTCTCTGCTGTCTCTCCTGGGCTTGATCTCTTCAAAGAGACCGTGCCTTGTCCTCTTGGTGTTTTCTTTTGCCTTTTTTGCCTCCCATCTTGGCCTCGTCGCCAGCTTGCCCTTCTCCCTTCTTGAGCTCGTCAATCTACTCGCTCTTCTACTCTACCCTCTCCTGGCACACTTGCCTTCTTCCTCCTTGCTTTTTTCCTGGCTTTCTCCTTATTATAATCTCTCACAGTCATGTCTGAAGTTCAATTCAGGCCATCCGGCTCGCGTGGTCGGGGGTCAGCTCGTGGTGGCAGAGGCGGTTACAGCTCGAGAGGCGGACGACCCAGCAAGTCCACCAAAGCAGACTCGGAAAATATGCCTGAACCATCTTATGAAGATGAAGGAGAAATTGGCCAACTGAAGAGAAAGCATGCCAACAACCTTTCTACCATAAAAGAGCTTTTTGCGGACTGGACCGATGAGGATCTTGTTTTTGCCCTAGAAGATGCTGATGGGGATCTCGAGATTGCGATTGAGCGCATCACTGAGGGTTCGTTTGTTCTATTCCATGATATACTGCAGCAAGCTACCACATTGACTCTTTACCTATACTAATACTGACCAATATTCTTCGTTTAGGTAATGTTTCGCAGTGGGGTGAGGTCAAAAAGAAACACACCGATCGATCCCGCGCCAAGGCGAAAGACCCTCTCTCGCAGGCAGACTCTACAACATCACCACCAAACCGTGGAGGCCGTGGCCGTGGAGGTTTTGACATTCGCGGACGTGCTCGAGGTGACCGTGGCCGCGGAGGGCGTGGTGGTAGAGCCGGCGCACACGTAAATGGGACTCGTACTGAAAAGCCTGCGATACCAGTAACAGAAGAGCTGGAACCTGCTGCTGTGCCTACTGAGGCATGGGGAAAACCGGAAGAGCCTGCAGCTGCAGACACTGTGGCTTCCAAAGAACCAGGTATTACCGCTGTCGCGAACGAGCCCCAAGAACAAGCTCCACAAAAGAGTAGCCTGATCCCGGAAGGTTCGAAGAAAGGCTGGGCAAGTTTGTTTTCTCAACCAGCTCCACTACCACCCCAGAAAAAAGCTCCTCCTCCGGCGGCCGCGCCGAAACCTGAAGAACCATCCAACATCAAGAAACCGTCCGAGCAACCTTCAGAAGTACCAGAAGTCGCCCCTCAAGCAACAGCTCCCCCAGCTGCGGAGCCGGTAGCCGCGCCTCCCGTACAACCAGCACATGTTCCAGTGATTCCAAAGGATGAGTTGACTCAGACAAACCTTGAACGAGTTCCGGATGTATCGCACCCACAGGCTAGCACGACGCCAGCGAGCACAGTAGCAACAAGCACCCCCGATCAAACCAGCAGTTCCGGTGTCAGTGCATCGCAAACCAGACCAATCTCAGGCTATGCTGCTACTGCATACAAAGCTACAGCTGGGCCTGGACGTGCGGCAACCTTGCAGCGCCGTGTTATGGAACAGCAGGAGGCAGTCGTTATGCCTGGAAACCATGCCGTTGATCGTGCTGCTGTCCAGTTCGGCAGCATGGGGTTGAACGGGCCAGTCGAGGATCTCGACATTGATGAAGAGAGAGAACAACCAGAGACTCGTCCTCAACCTCCGCAACACTCACCCGTTGCTCCCCGCGCATCCCTCCCCCCTTCCACTCAAGCTCAGGCGCCAGCTCAGCCCCCAACAGACGCTATTGCCCTTCCGCGCCCTGCTCCTGGCCTCCCTCCTGCCCCTTCAGCGACTGCTGCAGATGCTTCATTTAACGACTTTGGGCGATATACCGAAGCACAGAAGCCGTTCGACCCTTTCAGCCAACAAGCTGATCAGTCGCAGCAACAAACGCAAGAACCCTTCTCCAACCAAACTCCCATCCCATCTCAACCCACCGTCACCACGGCTGCAGATTATTCCGCAATTTATGGAGGGGATCAAACACGGAACCCTTACTATTATGGCTCGTACGGCCAGTCTCAGGACGGCGTTGCGACACAGCAAAGGGCTGGAAGCGGATTTAATGTCAGCGGTGCAGATGTACAGCCTCAGGCCGCTGCCACTCAACCACCAAGCCGCTTCACCCACGTGGAAGCTCCCAGCAGTGGTCAAAATACACCTAACCCCACGCTGCCTGGCCAAACTGCTCAGCCGACTCAACACGTCCCTCAGGGGCAGGGTGCCCACGGCGCCTACAACTACGGCTATCCCTATTACTCTAACCCCCATTATGCGAATACATACATGAATCAAATGAACCAACATCAGTATGGAAGAAATCGCCCTATGTACGATGACGCAAGAAGATACGAAGAACACTACCTTCACAACAACCAATTTAGTTATGGTAACCAGTATGCTGCTGCACCCTACGGTGGCAAGGGTGGAATGTACGCGCAACCTCAACATGGATTCTCTTATGATCATGCCTCTACGCCTGCTACAGCTGCTACATTTAATCAAGGTGTTCCTGGACGTGAAGCCGGATATGGCCGTGCTGGCTCCGCCCAGCCCTCAGAGGCCCAAAGCTCGGGCCACACGGCCTTTGGCGGCATCCCAGACGTTTTTGGCCGGACACAATCTGGATTTGTCCAAAGCCAACCCATTGCTCAGCAGCAGCCAGTGAGCGCAGAGGAATCGGCAAAGGGATTCGAAGCGCCCAAGGCCGGCGGACCAAGCCCTTCTTTGGCTCAAGCGAACCGTCCTGGCTCCGCAACCAACAGTGGTCCAGGTCAACCCCAGGCTGGTCAGACTGGCCTACCTCCTGCGCAGGGTCAACCAAACCAGCAGGGATTCGGAGCGTATCCTCTTAACCCACAATACGGTGGACTAGGAAGCCTTGGAGCGCATCACCAGGCTGGAGCCAATGCAACCCATCACCAAGCCAGCGGATATGGCAACTACGGAGCAGGGTTTAGCGGCAACTACTACGGGAATACCGGTCGCGGTGGAGGATGGGGCGGCAACTATGGCCATTAAGGCGCAAAACATACTAAATGAGCTAGGAAACGCTTGGCTGGGTGAAGCACGCCCCTGGGATGCAGTGGTTCGTGAGGGTTCTCTCAGCCCTCCATGTGTGCTCTCTTTCATGCATGGGAGCTTACTCTTTCGTTTTGTCCCGTAATGACGTCTCCTTCCAGTATCTTGATTTTGTTATTGATTTATTGATTTATTGATTGTTTAGCACCAGGGTATATTATTTTTGCGAATGACCATTGTCTCCCAAAAAAATCGTTCTGATACGTCCTCTTTAAGCTTTTATATTTTTTTTTATTGGCTGTTCCTCTCCTATCATATTCATTTTTCAATTTTCAATTTTTTTTTGTTCCCTTTTTTCTTTTTGTTTGTTCCTCATTTTCATGTCATATCTCCGTCCTCCAAATCCAAACAAACACAACAAACCTTTCTTGTACCAATTATATTAGTTCTTCGTCTTCGGGAGACTGGACTGGCTTTTTTTTGTTATTTTCAAAAGCTACAGCTTCAGTTGATTAAATGGAATGACATGACAGGCATGCAGACAAAAAACAGAAAGTTTCTATTTCTCTCGATTCTCCCTTAGGCTTTCTTTTTCCTTTTTTCTCTTTCACCTTCTTTTCACCTTCTGTTGGAAACATGAAAGTGAAAAAGAATTTGGAATTTGGGTTTGATACTTCTTTCCTCTCAAATGTTCGCTTCCTTGGCACTGGCCATTTGGTGTTTTATCCCACTGGGAGCTTGCTATGTGACGGCAAAAAGAAGCGATTTGAGTTGCGACGAGTCAACCAGATATACCTGTGCCTCAATTAAATTAGAAGTTAGCAGGAGCCTACGTCTCCCTGCGTCTTGCAAGGCGTCCCTCTCTTGAATTCTTCCAACACATATGTAATAATAAGCTTTGGTGAACTGCTGCAATGAATGTATGAATGTCCTACATGCAAAGTATGCAGGTGCAGCGCGTATCTAGCAGCTATATATAGTAGCACAGAGCCGCCGCCCGGACTGCAGATCAATTTCCGAAAAGAGCTAGCAAAACGTTCCTGCTGGATTTTTAACTACACCTCGCTTAAAATCCACCGCCATGGGCAACGTCATTATACGACTAGCAGTGCGACAACGGCAAACAAACTAATGGAAAGGTGACTCGTTGGCGTGTATAGGGCTGATGAGCTGTCGTAATACTTGACTGACCAGGAGCAATCTCAAGATCTCAGATCTCATTTGCTTAGCTAACACTATTTCATTTAGATTCGGTGTCCAACGGGGTGGGGTCTACATGGAAGTCCAGGTAGATAGATCTTTACCGTTTGCGCTCCTCTCCCTAGGAAGAAGGGCCCTCTTTCTCCCTCACCGGTCCCTTGTTCCCCCGTTACAATGTCACGATACCATACCTGCTGCCAACACGCTCCATAAACCAGACAAGAGAGGCGTGCGAAGTTAGGTACGGAAGCAATTCCTGAAGTTTTCTGGCCCCTGCTCAGAGTTAAGGTTTCCAACCAAGAAAGGGGCTAAATAAATATCGTTGCCTGGCGGCGGCCGCCAGGGAATTTCTTTTTGCGCTGGCTCCTTTTCCCCAAGAAGAATAACAAGCGAGTCAGTCTTTGCATGGCTTACCTTACATGCAGAGTTATTACAAGCAAGTGACCACGCGTTAAACGAGGTTACAATAACGTACCTCATACGAGCTGGGTACCAAAAAAGGCAGAAATATGGGAAAGAACGTGATGAATAAGCACCAACAGCGCTTGCAGCAGGGGGTCAGCAGCAGGAGCAGCGAATACAAGCATGCACTTACGAATACTATCCCTCTTACGGTCTCCACTGCTCTTCTATCGCCCGCGGAGTATTAGGGAGAAAATAACATTTTTGTGTTGATACCCGGCAAGTTTCGAATTGCTTCGTTCTTCTTTCGATTATTATGGACTTGACGAAGCAAAGCCCTAGTTCCCTTCTGCTATTGTCTAAATTTAGCATTTGCAACAAGAATGCATTACACGTCCCCAAAGGAAGACTTATCCCAAAAGGAAATATGGATTTCAAGCTATCTGTTGCGAGAGAGAAAAGCTGAGAGGTCTATATGATTTATTTAAGTCTCCATTGATGCCCCGATTTCTCAAGCTACTTGACTGCACAAAAGGATCAATTATTCAATTAATTCCGCATTTCTCTCTTTCTTTTATTCATTTTTAATAGAATCAGGGTCAGGCTTATTCTCTTCTTGCCCTTTCTTTTGCTCTGCTCTCCTTTCTTATCCTAGTTCTCCCCCAGGCCCGCCTGCGATGGAGCAAGCAAACATGAGCCGCTGCGATTTTGACAGAAACTCGGATAATGTTGGCTGGTTATACTGCCCCTCCATTGAGGCTGCTATCCTGTTTACCTCGCTGTTCGCCGTGACCTCGCTCGCTCATATGTTTCAATGGTTTACATTCCGAAAGGTACGCCGCACACCGTACCTCATTTTTTTCTTTGGCCGCCCTTGCATACCTTGTAGGGAAAACACAACAGATAAATATAGACTAAGATTACATTTCCCGCTTTTTACCTAGAGATTTTCTTGGGTGATAGTAATGGCTGCCCTATGGGAAACCGGCGGTTTCGCATTCCGCATAGAGTCCGCGAAGAGGATAGAGGGGTTATGGCACTTCATCCCACAACAACTATTGATCATTCTCGCACCCGTCTGGCTTAATGCCTTTGTCTTTATGGTTATGGGGCGGATGATCTATTTCTTCATCCCGGAGAAGAAGATCTTTGGCATCACTGCGCAGCGGATTACACTCGTGTTTGTGCTGCTGGATGTGTTTTCCATGCTTGTGCAAGCGTCATCTTCCAGCTTGATGTCATCCGATGATCCGAAAATGGTCAAAATTGGCATCAATGTCTGTATGTGATACCTTTTTACCATCTCCTTTCTCTTCTTTATTGGAAACAAAATTACGCGCCATTTCACATTTACCAGCCCCTCTACCCCTTCTGCAATCAATCCAATCACCCTAGTAACCCATCATGCAAAAAAACATGTACAGACATGGGCGGCATCGGCCTCCAAGAGCTCTTCATCATCACATTCTTCCTCCTCGCCGGCCGCTTCCAATACCTAATGAACCAAATGGAACGATACCAACCCAACCTCCTCCCCTGGCGCCGCCTGCTCTATAGCCTCTACGCCGGCCTTATCCTAATCACCATCCGCATTATCTACCGCCTAGTTGAGTACTCCAGCGGCGTGGAAAACGGCCTCGCCACCAGCGAAGTAGCCTTTTACTGCCTCGAAGCCGTGCCCATGATTTTCGGCTTCGTGCTGTTCAACGTCGTGCACCCGGGCATGGTGCTCGTGGGGCCTGAGAGCGAGTTCCCGAAGAAGGATAAGAAGAAGATGAAGGAGGAGAAGAAGCAGAGGAAGCAGGATAAGAAGGATAGTAAGAAGGCTGCCGCCGCCGCCGCCGCGAACCGGCCGAAGCGCTCGTGGAGAAAGCGCAGCCATGGTGTCGGTGATGTGGAGTCGGGAAGTGATTTGGAAACGGAGGGGTTGCGCATGCAGGATGGTTTAAGGGATTCTCATCAGGGAAGTGCTTCGACCGGCTCTCCGTATCACCCAGACAGCCATTATCAGCGACTATGAGGAGGAATTGTTTGACGGCTTTTCAGCTGATTTTGATTGTGATTTTATGCAATTAATGGGTGCGAAGCGTGGCGTTTACTTTGTGCTATTTATTCCCCCTGTCATGATTCTGTTGTGTTTGGTCCTTGTTTCTTCTTATCATTTTATGATTATCTTAATTTTGTTTTCACATCCTTTCTCCTCTCCCCTTGGGAATCATTCCTCACGCTCTATACATGCACACAGTCACTCCATTTCCATCCTGTCAATATATAAATATTAATATATACACATACTCTTTGTTTTGGCTATGGTATAGTTGATGGGTCTTTTTTTTTTATCCCCTCTCTCTCCTTCCCTAATTTAACATTTTCTTTCAGAGCTAAGGGGTCATTCTCTACAGATAATAAGTTTCCTCCCTGCCCCCACCTCCATCCATCACCGGTTTAAAGAAGTAATATAGTCGAAAATAAGAATATATATATATATGTATGTATGCATGTATGTATGTGTATGTGATCTATAATAAAACTTCTAGTTCTGTAAAACAACTTTCCCTAACCACTCCCAATCGTGTGGTATGCAAAATAAATATCTGAATCACCAGTCTCTTCGCTCTTCGGTCTGTCTAAAACAGGGGGGGGTGGTGGGGGGAGGGGAGGAGGGGGAATATATATGTATGAACGAGAAAGGGAACGGACATAAATTAAACCATATATAAATTAAAATGGAAAACCCTCCATGCAAACAAATGCAAATGCAAAAACGGGGCTCTGGAATCGGATGATTGGGAATAGCGGAGAGGTTAAAAAAAAAAAAGAAAAGAAAATCGCCATCTGGAGGATTTCAACCATGCCAAGAAGATTATTTTATGTAGAAGAGTGAGAAAGGGAAATGAATTAAGGCGGCCGGGTGTTGTTTTGGGTTCATTGGAATAGAGATCCAGAATTGAAAACGGAGGTATAGAAAAAGAAGAGAAGAGAAAAAGAAGGGGGGACGGCAGGATAAGAGGAACGGCGCAAGCGAGAACTAAGAGAAAACCAAAAGGGGACCCAGATTAAACAATAATAATAATATGGCCCCCTTCGTTTTTCACTTCTCAATCACCTTCCTTCACCTCTACCTCCTCAACCCCCTCCGCAGCGGCATCATCCGCCACCAACCCCAGGCCCCGTCCCCCATCCTTATGGTACGGCGGGACCGCCCCCTTGGCCGCCTCAGGCACAAACCTCCACACACCACCCGTCTTATCACACTCGAGGCCGGCATTATTATTCCCCTTCGAATCCGCCCAGCCCAGCTTCTCTGCCAACTTGAGGAACTCCTCATCGTCCTCACTGGGCTCGATGCACTTGAAGAACCGTCTTTCCCACTCGCGGCCCTCTTCGCGCTCGAGCTTGCGCAGCTGGCGCTGGGCGACCTCGATCTTTGATTTCGCGACGGAGGTGGCGTCCATATCCCCCCGGGCAATGGCGGCGGCGACGTCCTTCCACGCCCGCCGTGATTCGTACAGGTCTTGTTCTTCCAGCGGGGCGAGGGTGAGTGGGGTAGTCTTTTCTGTCTTGGCGCAGTATTTGTCTATGATTTCTTGCTTTTTGCCCTTGACGGCTTTGATGACGAAGGTGTTGGACCATTGGCCTTCGGCTGTGTAAAGGGGTTTCTTCTCTCCATCGTTCTCGTGGTATACGATGGCGCTGAAGGAGTTCTTTTTGCCGCTCAACCAGCCTTTGCCAGAGTATTCGATCTTGGAGACGTAGCCGGTTGAGCTGACTATCTGAGTGTATCTGTTGAGCTCAACGAAGGGGGTTCCGTAGATTAGGGATTCGATGTGTAGTGAAGGGAGGGTTATGAGATATGTTTCTCGTTTTGGGGACGGGTTGTCTGCGGTGGGTTGCGGGGTAAGGGAGTATATGGCATGACCTATTTGCTTCACGTTTATAGTGCTCGAGAAGGAAGCTTTTTGGGCGTTGTATCCTTGGAGCTGAACGTCGGGGAAAGCAAAAAGAAGTCCCAGTGTTAGAAATGCTCTTATCTCAAGCTTATCAAGTGGTGTGATGATAGCTTACCTGCACACCATGCTTCTCATTCTCAATTTCATAACCCGTTACCGGCGGGTGATGGCTACAAGACGGAGTGAGTTTTCAAGCTGTCCAGAATACCTCCAAACTTGCTGGCACACCATAGATATAAAAAATAAAGTAAAAAATAAACATCTACATAAATTACGAACCTTACTTGCTCGCTAACAAGCCGTGTCTCTCCCACATCGCCATCATCCTGCCAGCGGCCTAGAAAGAGCTCGCCCAAGAACGGGTTCAGCGGCTTCTTTTCGCTGCCCAACTTCTCGCTGCGGGTGCAATATTGCTGATGGAGGGTGCTAAGGAACCATTTTAACACCAGAAGTGCCCGCTTTTCGGGATCGGGTTCTTTGGCCGGGGCAATAAAGATCTTTGGATGTTCGGCCCAGTACGCGGAGTATTCGACGAGGGAGGTGGAGGAGAGGATGAAAGGGGGCGCGGTCAGGGAGGAGAGGTCGCCGTTAAAAGAAGCGATTGACTAGAACACACGGGTTTGGTAGATTGGAAAAGAGCTATTTCATCAAAGAGGTAGTTGGGGAATGAATAAAGATAAAAAATATATATATATATATATATTTTCTCACCTTTAAAAAGGAGGACCAGGACCCTCGACTGCTAGCGGGGACTCCAGACCCCTCATCTTTCGGGCTGGACATGGTTGGGGGAATAAGGATACGCAGGCGAGGACAAAACCAAGATAGCCAAGCGAGGGTAAGATACAGAATACGACAAGAATAGTATGGCTAGTGAAGAGAGAGAGAGAGAGAGAGAGAGAGAGAATGTGTATATGTGTGTATATGTATATGTGTGTGTATGTGTGAGAGCTTGCAGTCTGGGAGTGGAAGTGTGAAGCTGAGTCGGCGTTGGTTGGGTCCAGCAGCGTGCCAAGCTTTTCTCCCCCAAAACAAAGGCCTTAGAAGTCACTACTGGGTCACAGCTGAGCAGTCGCCTGCTTGTGTTCCCATTGTTTCCCAGCTCAAAGATACCTGTAGAGTACTTGTTCCGGGCCAATAGTCAACTCTGGTTGCTCTCTCTATCTGCTCTTGAAACATTTATACTCTGTACACTAACTATCATGAAAAATGATTTTCACAGCTTCACAGCTATATCCTCTTCAGCTTTTCAGGACATACTCTTGCCCCTATAACTAATTACCAGCTATACTGGAATATTTTCAGCTGTCTCTCACAATTCTCACTCCATCATATCTGATACCTGAGAGACGATACCTGAGAGACACATACAAAAAAAAAAAAAAAAAAAGAGACCAAAGTAAACACAAGGAGCATCAGAGATTTAACACGTTTTTAGCTGCTCTCCTTTAGTCCTTGGGCTACACGAAAATGATGTTTCGCAACATGCACAACGCAGCTGAGTCGCCTTCTCAATTTATGCAGGCAATCTGGTCTCAAGGAATCCGCTGCTGTCGGAGGAAAATGGTCAGAAGAAGAGTGGCTGGCCCCTCTTCGTTTCTATGGCAAGCTGTGTAAGTGAAGTCAAAAGGGTTAGCTTCATTCTGATATATACAAAATAAAGAAGAAGAGGGTTAAAACATCACGAATCATCATTGGGATAGTTTAGTTCAGCTCTCTCTCTCTCTCTCTCTCTCTCTCTCTCTCTCTCTCTCTTTTTTTTTTTTTTTTTTTTTTTTTTTTTTTTTTTTTTTTTCTCCCTGTGATTGTGCGGTGGTCGTTACCAGCCAAATTTCAAGAACAACAGCGGAATTCATCAAGAACAACCAACTGAGCTGAAATGAAAATATAGTTTTACTCCGCCTGGATGAACATGTGACATGTTTCACACTGACTTCCCGGGCCCAATCGGGGTGGGCCAGCGGGGGATGGGGGGATGGAACTGGCGGCTAGAACGCAACCTTAATCGTGATAACCAAGGCTATCCTATCATTCATACTCCCGTCGGATCCGTAACCTTATATAACTCTGTACTTACTCCGTATGTAGCTGGCTAACCTGCGGGTAGAAAGAGCCGCCAATCATAATAATACGAAGAAGAATAATGGCACACACTCCTTCGCGCTTGAGAGAAGGTTGACTAACTAACTAACTATACATAAATATGGCAGCTCTAATTCAGCGTGGACCGATGCCATCCATTCTGTTTCTTCCGTTCTTCCTCCCTCTTTAAAACATACACGAGCTAGGCGCATGAATTCTCCGACGGAAATAATATATTAGGTAACTGCCTGTACCCCGTACCCATGTCATCCATTTAAGTCCGGAGTGTAAAAAAAAAAAGGGCAACCCTACCTACCTAGCCATGATCCTTTCTCGAGTTCCGGGATTCACCAGGGGTGTGGCCGAGGTGCGGAACCGTGGGGGGTCGGACACATTATTGAAGTCCATTGGTTGGGAGGGCAAGGATATTAGTTATTATTATTATTATTTGCCCCTCGCCCCGAACCTTTTGTTGGATGAACGTTCATTTTTTGTCGTTGCGGATGTTGATGATGAAGGAGGGGAGAGGCCACAATGTAAGCTATCCATGTAACTGAGAGGTTGGGGTTTCGGTTTCGGCTGATCAGACAGAATTTTTTACGTGGTATGCCGTAGAGCTATGGATTACAGCTAAGAGAAAGGTGAGGCAAACTTCTATGCTCTGTTTCTCGAATATTTCCGCATGCGTGCATTTAAATCGTGACTTTTTTTTGTGGGGGGGGAGGAGGGGGGAAGGCGTGGGGAGGGAGGAAGAGTGGATTGATTGATCATCTGCGCGATTTGAGAGAATAAAAAATAATGGCAGTGAGAAGACTGAATAATAATGGAAAATGAAAGCGATTGGATGGTGTACAGTACAGAGTACCTACTCCTCCTTTATATGGGCGAGCGAGGATATAAATATAGCGCAGCAGGATTCTCGTCATTATCAGCAGATGGTCTGTTTGGAATTTTTAAGCGACACGTATCCAGACATGCCTAGGCAATGTGGGAAGCCGGGAGAAACATATCAACAGTTTGCAACCAGCAAAAGCTCTACGGAGTACTCCGTAGATTTTGAATCATACACTTTTCTCCTGTCTTTCGCGTAACGGTGATCAATGCTTGTTTCTTGATGCTACGCCTTCTGAACTTTGTTTGTTCTGTTGGAACAAAGGGCGAGTACCTCGCTCCTCCAGTCAGCCCAAGTTCAAGGCTGATAATGACAATCGGGATTGCATCGACACGGACCTCGTTGAGCAACCGCCACACAACCAACACCCCACTCGGGGTGCATGTTTGTGCGGATGCGCATGTGCTTGCGTGACCGCCCATCGAGAGGCGTCGTATGGCCTACCGCCACACGGCGTTCGCAAAACCCACTTTCAGCCCGCTGCCGGCCGCGATTGGAGATGCCGGGGGCGCGCCAAGGAAAGCCACATCGAAGATCGTTCGGCTAGGCCACACGCGTCCCATATTTCACTATTTTAGTTCAGCTTTTCTCTGCCAGCCTGTGAGGATGGTTGGTGAGGTGGAGATTCCTGGCTGAGAAAAGCTTCGCCGGCGCCCCAGCCAAGGCAGCCCCCCTGAACCTTCCCAGCCCTGCCCAAAAAAAAATCCTTAGCAGACAGAATATGGAGTGGAAGCCTTGGAAAGCCAGACAAACAAGCAAAACAGACAGTATTGTACATGTACATGTATGTACATACATCCATATATACATAACCTGAGGGCATCCATCGGTGGATTATTTCGGCGAATTGATGGATGATATGATGATGATGATGAGAAAAATAGAATAAGAATAATTGCGGATCTGTCTCCACATCTTACAAGTGACAAGTTACAACCCGTCCAGCGATCCTTGGTTGAAAAGCAACTGAGTGCAAAGGGATCTGAGAGGGGGAAGAAGAGAAGGTGAGGACGCCTAAATAAATAGGCCAATAAATCAGCGTTTTGGGAGGATAACTTACTTGTAACGACAGAAATAAAGTAGGAAATTCCCATACTTCTGATCCTTCTAGATGTACACACATACATGCATAGTACGTACCCGAACTAAATAGTCAAGGCACATTGACGTAATTGAGCAGTTGTTGGAGTCTGTTATTCCCAGCCTTGACTGAGCGTTGCTGGAGGGCTGTTGTTGTTGTAGTGTTGCAGCGGTTGCTGTCCGGGACGGGGAAATAATATGTTTTGATAGGCTATGGGCGCCGGTATTTGTCGGTTACTGTAATTGGCTGTCAGCCAATCCCTATAACCGCCCGTCAACAACAAGGAAATACCATAACCGTACACAAATGGTACAGCTTGAACCGAGGCAAGATCCCGACTAGTGGCTTGGTAACCTTTCCGCATGCGTGATCCATGATGCCATCCCGGAGCTAAACCTAGCCTAAGTGCGCCTCATAAGCCTCATAAGCCTCTTAAGCCTCTTAAACCTCCTGATGGCGTTAGGGGCTGTTTTAGAGTTCTGCCTAGCCTAGGGATCGTCATTGGTACCGACAAACACAAAAGGAACATCACACAACAACACCCGACTAACCACAGCCAGCAGTCGGCGCGGCGGTGATGGGCGTTGGGTTGGGGGTTAGGGGCTGGGGAGGAGGAGGAGGATCCTTTTGTCATGCTCCACCTGTGTCAAAATTGTGTATTCCCCATATCCAATCGCTCATCATTGCTGCTTGCTGCTTGCTTATCGCAACGCGCTCGAAACAATCTGTGCTCATCCACAGTGCGTTTTTCCTTTCGTTTTAACGTTTCGAACGCCCCGAAACGCAGATGATTAGAGATGAGGGTAACTTGGGAACTTTGTCACTAATAAGTTCATACTTCGTCCCAGAGCCGGCTGTCATCCTTTCCGCAGGCTCCCTTAACCTGTAGCTTATTTTTGCTTGCTCCCCCCCTCTTCTCCTCCTCCTTCCCCCCTTCTCCTCCTCCTCCTTCCCCTCTATCTCCACCCTAACGGCACCGCTAAACCAATGCGGAGGCCAAGGAGGAAGAGGCGCTACAGGGTTTGGACAGGGCGGAAGCTCAAAAAGTAAAACGGATGTTGGTCGGGTTTGATGTTCGTCATTTATTCGCGATTCATTCTTTGACCTCCCACGCGTGGTTTTTGGAGGTTGCTTCTGTGCTCTAAATTTACCCCCGGGCTGGTACAGCAGTTACATCCACGCGCACATCTCTGCATACATCCCATTCCTTGCCATCTACAAGTTTGGTATAGTACACATGCATGCATGCAATCCCGCGCAGTAAACTGAGCTCTCCGTGCCTTGCTTACATATATATACGCACTCCCGAACGCTTAACGCTTGCCCGTGGTCACACACACAAAGGGTCTCTTCCCAGTATATATAAGCTTCTTCCCACATCCTCCCCCATTTGTATTTTGGTCCTCACTTCCGTCTAATTTGAACTTGATCTACCACCAAATCCACCTTTCCCCACACCCGTCTATTTCGCGTCACACCACCACTCTATTCCGACGTCTGCCTGCCTTCCTTCCGCTCGAGTCTGATCTTTGATCAGCCAGCCTGTGGCCGAAGAAGATGGCGGACAACAGGAAGGACGAAGTCTCCGAGGCCGTGTCCGGAAAACCCCTTGACAAGCAGGAAATGGAGCAGGAAGTCGAGAAATTGGGTGAAAGGTGTGTCCCATTAAAAATATAATAATATCAATAATAAAAATAATAAAAATTAAAAAAAAAAAAAACCTATTCTACACATACCTTACATAGAGCACGAGAATGGATGTGCTGACTACATATTGTATTTTTGCGGCTCCAGCTCTGATCAAAGCTCTGACAATGCCGAGCGGGGCGATCGCGAAAGGATCAATCTAAATGCAAACTTATCCGCAAAGTATGATCAACCTTTCTCTCAAATGAACTCCTGACATTCCCCCGTTACGGCCATCGAGGTGGGCAGGAGCTGACTGTGTCTAAATACTGTCACGTGGTGTAGAATCAAAAATCCTCTTGCAGATATCCCTAACCCAACCTTGTTGAGAGACGTCAAAGAATTCGCCCAGAGGTTCGGCTTGGAAGACGTTTTGCCTATTCTGCAGAGGGGTGCTCTAGTCGCAAAAGATCCAGCCAATTTCGAGAATGTCGAGGGCATCACTGATGATGAGGTTGACGCCATCCGCAACGAAGTCCTTCACAAATGGCGCCAACCAAAGCCTCTCCTCTACACCATCATTTTGTGTTCAATTGGTGCCGCCGTCCAGTAAGTTTGGCGTGTGGTCTTTTCCCATTCATTGTATTGTTAGATTTCTCTAACTTTGAAGTATAGGGGATGGGATCAGACTGGTTCCAACGGCGCCAACCTGT